AAATAAATATTAACAGCTTATAATTATCTTACCAAGAGGAATGTTAAATGCCTTAAAAGAAAGCACAGACAATATTACTAAAAATACTGAATTAATGCAATTTGCACCGTCACGAGTCGCTGTGTAGTCGTAGTAATTTCACTCTGCCATTATCACAGAATCATCCATTTCTCATGTTTTGACACTAAGGCGCAACATATTAATCTGGAAAATGTCCAGATGTTTGTGACAAGTGATAAGTGGTTTAAAAAGCATTCCATCAGTAATGAAAAAAGTGAGCAAGGGTAGGTCTCTTTTTGCATGCAGCCAAGCTGCTCAGTTTGTCTTGATAAAAAGCAGTCAAAAGGCAAGATTTCGATCCCAATAATATTCTGTGTCCTTCCAAGTTTGTGCTTCACATCCTTCGATTATCGTTAAATATCTATCACCTACAAGACAGTTAATTGCTGTGTTGCATGTTAAAATAGGCTTTGGGTCAAAACGTTTGATGTAATAAGTTTCTGTCTATTAGTAGCCTCCTGATTAACTTTTTCATCAGCACAGACATAATCATAATCAAGAAAGAAAAATCCGTTTTCTCCTTTGATTTTATTTTAGGACTCTGTCTGTTTTCATTCCCTCCTGAAGTGGAGGCAAACTTTTATGTTATATAGACTGTCTGCAAGACAGAAAAGTGCGAGTTCATTACATGATGGAGTAGTCTAGATACACACAATAACTTATCAGTCTATCCTGGTTTTTCAGCGCAACACTCCATCATCGATCCTGAAGAGCTGAAACCGACCACTGTTATCGGAGGTGGGCGGGACCAAAACTATCAGCTGCAGTTTTGATTGGCATCCAGCCAGGGTTTTATTGACGAAAAACACCGTTGGTGATTCAACCACATTTTAGTCGTATTTGTCGTCAACAAGGTCGGATGTTTGAAACTGAATATTCTAGTTTTGTCAAGCAAGACTGTTTGAAAATGTCTTCATATCTTAATCACACATATTCGCCCGGTAGCCTGACCACGAGCAGACCCACAAATGAATGTCATGTTGGAGGCGACATCGCACATATTGTTTTCTGCTCTCTCGTTATTCTGTTTGGCGTGCCTGGTAATTGCGTCATCCTCCGTGTCTACTGGGCCAAGCCTAGGAAGACCACCACCCACGTCCTGATCATGGGACTGGCCTGGACCGACTTTGCGACCTGCCTGCTGTTGGTACACGCAATCCTCTCCAACTGCATATTTGGTATCAGCGAATCATTTACGCCCATCGTCATACTTCGATACCTCCTGCTGTCCTCTGTGACCGTCTCGGTGCAGTTAATTTGCCTGATTGCTATCGACCGTTATGACTCCGTTTGTCGGCCCCTAAATCGCATTTTAAACTACCGGCGGATTTTGGTGGCCATTTTGCTGTCGATTGTCTACTCCGTGGCAACAACAGGCTTGTACTTTGCCGTTCAGGTTGAAAATGAAAACAACCTCCTGATTCCAGTCGTTATGCTTTCGGTTCAACTCATTGGATATGCAATTGCAGCAGTCAACAACGTTCTTTGCTATACTGCGGTCTGTTGGACCATTCGGAATCACGTCAAGGTCAGGAATGTATCTATGACAGAGTCCAGACCTCAGCGATCTCGGAACGAGTCTGTACCCATAGAGATGACTCCAGTGACTGCGCTCTCTTGTGACGATGGTTCTAAGCTCCCCGGTCTGCCACGCAACGCAAATGCCAATGGTCAAGTGCATTATCCTCCTGATTTCACCCACAAAGACAGCGAGCCAGGCCCCTCCACTCGCGACTGTCAAGCAGTGGACAACGAAGCTACACTCAAGAACACAGTTAACAAGCTCTGCGCTCCGCGAGACAGCGACCCTAAAGCGCCCTCTACCGCCAAATGTAACAAACATTGCTCGGCTGTTGCAGTGCCTAGAGCCTCCACTGTGATCCTGCAGAGGAAGACAACCCGGATGTTACTGGTAACCAATGTGGTGTTCCTACTGGCCTGGGTACCCTATTGGATCTACGTGGGATCTCTGCTTGCCACCATCCGAGGAGCTGAGATACCTGACAAAATAGCTTACCTGTTGGAGAAGTTTGCATACCTCGAATACCTGAACAGTGCTATCAATCCGCTTATTTATGGACTCGCAAATAGGCAGTTTAGAAAGGATTGCAAAGAAGTTCTCCAGAACTGTAAATTTCATTAATCTTTACCCTGCCTGTCAGGTAGGTAGCTACCGAGTCAAATAGTCAAACCACCTTATATCAGCTGACATATTTTAACAGAAAACGTTAGAACTCGACCCGTAGCTTATCGACGAGAAAATGTATGATTTAATTTCATGAGTATGGTTTCACTAGTCATATTTTATTGTATGCGGTAGAAATTTTACGAAAGAAACACACTATACAAGAATTACGATAACTCTAACACGGTAGTGGCTAACCCTATAGCGCTCCGCCTTGACTCAAGCCTATGGCCACATAACAACAGCTAATATGACTGCAAAGACAATATTCAGCGACCCACCTCGGGAACCGACGTTTTGGTCCGTTCCATACATATATAATGTAGCATCTGTTTACATCGTTTTATTCCTGCTGTACAGTTTCAACGACCTCTCCGCAATTTACGCGCGTTTATGAAATGGCGCCATTACTCGCATGCTCGTTGAATTATAGTTACAGTATGTTTGATTATGTGTAACTGGTATGTTTTTATTGATTAACTATATTCAGTTTTACTCCATGAATTAATTTTCTCCATGTTTTGTTTGCTTTTGTCGCTCTTGTATTGATTTGCTCTGTGAGTGATTTTTGCTGCCTTTCCTTCTGATATCGTTATTTCTTCTTGGTTCTTATGTGTTTACATTTGTGCATGAACAAGTAAAATTAAATTTAGTTGATTTATGGCAAACTTTTCAGTTAGGGGAGACCTTACAAAGAAATTTATATTTCCCAACAAAAATTAAAGTTAATGTAAATGTAAAAAAAGTATAACTGGACTAGTCCACTTACAGTTGTTTTGAGCTGATGGTAGTCTCAGTGTAACGAACGAAAGAAATATTACTCACTGAAATAGGAGATAACCATTTCCAATGGCGATAATCTTTCGCGTACTGGGGTACTTTCTCATCATCCGTGTGTAAGTGCCGAAAGACCACCACCAATGTCTTGATAATGGGGCTGGCGTGAGCTGATCTCTCTGCCTGACTGCTTCTCGTCCATGCCACTAAACCAGACTGTATCTTCGACCTTGGTGATTCGCCTGTGCTCCCACGGATAATCAGGGGGTTCTTTTACGCATGTTACTGTTGTCGGTGGCTTTGTCCGTTTATAATACTGGTTTCACTGACTACGATCGCAATATTGCGCCCCCAAGTTGGACCAAGAGAGGACGCAAATGGGGACTCCGTTCGCGGAAACTGCACTTCGCTGGTTTACGAACGACTGTGAAATGCACGCATTATACTGCTGCGTCGCTAATACCAAGAAAATTAACACCCCTACCAACATGGCTCTTTTCCACCGATGGGGGGTTGCTTTTGCTCATTGCGGATTGGCTGAGTTCGCGTGGCGTTTTCTCACATGTTCATGAACAGCCGGATTTCTCGTTCGTGGGTCGGCCGATCGAACTCCAGGAACGCACAACCGGTTATCGGCAGGTAGTTAGTGACAAGCAACATATGTAACATGGCTATACGTCCATGTATGTTATTTGAAGTTAATGTTTTGATTTCTAGGTTACATTCTTTCCTATTTAAAACGAAATATTTGTTTCTGTATCATTGAAAATTATTAGTGTTAAGTTTACAAAACTTTCCATTGTCTCCGGCTTTTTCGGCCATCTGGCTATTTTTGGACGGCATGCATGGCCACTGTTGGCCTCTTCCCCCGGGGTGCAACAGTGGCCAACGTCAGAAATGATTCATAAATTTATACAGAATTTGTATCATTCCTTACTTATTTGCCTCGAAAGGCGGCAAAATGGCTTTCATCAGAGTCTTAAAATCTTTTTTAACTGGTTGTGAATAATCTGTAGCATAAATGTCATTGTGTGCCCCTTCTTCGAGTTCTCTAGGTAAATGATATCCTAAATGCAGATGTCCATTAAAAATTACTCCCGTAGGCCTCCATCAATCTGTAGGTCTGAAAGCCTCTTTGTCCGAATCTCAATTTTGCTGGAGTTGCTCGAGTTTTAATTACTAATAACGGATCAGACGGTCTGGCTATATATTGACTGTAAATCATTTTCTTGACTGCTTTTATGATAGTGAAACACTAACAAATTGCTTGACGGCACTCTAGATGTCACCAGGAACTGCCGCTTTTCATCGTATGTCAGTTCATAGAATGGTTTGTGTGGTTGTAGTTAGATAATACCGTATACCATTTCCTTAAAAAACTACCGTAGCGAGAAAACCTGTTAAAAAGATAAAAAGACCAGATTTTGCGTGCTGGATACCGGAGCAACAAATCCTGGTTACAGTCGCTCTTCTAATCATCAGTGAGTACATGTCTGGACTCCGATTTATCGTTAGGTATAAAGCAAATATTTCATGTCATGCCTTGCACACCTTATCTGCAATGGAGAATGTAGAAAATCTGATCGAAAAGGTAGAGGAATAGAGGTACATGTTATGAATTAAAGTTATTTCATGTAATTTTCACATTATTTAAATTAACAGTAACCTTGAGGATACAGCGCTCTAAATCACATCAGTGACAAGGATACACTTTTCAAGTTCATCGATGTAATTACGAGATCTGAAATGAAAATAAACTGCTCACTTTTCACGAAAGTGTGAAGTTCCAGTAGCTTTACACAAGCGTTTATTAAAGGAATGTATTAAAACATCTTTCAGTCTTTGTTGTTATGTGTGAATGCCGTCAGGTGCCTGTTGCAGTTGTCCAGTACTGTGTAGTTAAGAACTTGCTTTCAGCTCGCAAACAGCAGTGTTGGTACTTCCGGTATTTTAACAACGAAGTGCTTGTAAAGGAAAAGACATTGTTTTTGATTGTCGCTACAAAATGAAACACTACAGTCTGGGAAAGTTTAAGTGATGGTTTTAATCTCGGATGGCCCTCAGTGCAGGTAGAATGAACTGAGAAGGCCCATCGAGAAACGCGCGTAACTTTCAGTGCACAACCTGGTTTTTCAATTATAATTTATCATTATAATTTATTCGGCCAATGACAGAACAGGACAAATTACGGACAGAACAAAGGTAAAATTATACTTAACAAATGGCAAAGACTACAGGTTGGGGGAAATAGATACAACTATTCGGTACGGCGGGGGGAAGTCCAGGATGAGCAAAAGTAAGGAAAATAAATATATTAAAAAAGACATGCCGCACTCTCTCTGGGTGGGTTCCAAGCCAAGCCACGTATTTCTGTTAGAAGGTATAAAATTGCTCACTGAAAACCCAATGCACCACACCTTGTGATTGGCTGTTTTTCCAATCTCCCGCACCACGTCTCTGGGTGGGGCGTAATCGTGCTTAGTATGATGTACGTGTACAGGATTGCTTTCTATCTGAAATCCAGGTTAAACACGAACCCCTGCAAGCATTGGAAGAGTCGATATCGAGAAAAGGCAGAGTTGAGTCCGTTTTACTGTGGTAGAATAGAAAGAAGCCCATCTTCGTCGTATTGTTGGAGTGCCTGTACAAAACAATATCGATTCCGCGACGTTCTAGAGTCAGATGTACGATTTTCCTCACTGAGAAGCGGAGAGAAGATGCCTTCAAATCTGAGTATTTCAGACTCGGGTTGCGTGGATTGTTGGGAGGACGCAACACAGATTTCCCCGTGTAACATTGGGGGTGACGTATTTCATATTGTCTTCTGCTTGCTGGTCATGTTGTTTGGTATCCCTGGTAATGCTCTCATTCTCAGCGTATACTACAGCAAGCCCCGTAAGACGACCACCCACATCATGATCATTTCGCTGGCCTGGTCGGACCTCTTCTCCTGCGTGTTTCTTGTACACCCGATCATCAGCAGCTGCGTGTTCGGCATCGGAGCAACCCCTGTCCCGATAGCTGTCCTCCGGTGTTTTCTGTTTTCCGCCGTCGGTGTGTCAGTAAGCTTGACCTCCCTGATTGCCTTTGATCGCTATGATTGTATCTGCCGACGGAGCAAGCGACTTCTTAGCTTTCGAAGAGCGATAGTTGCCGTTCTGGTCATTGTTATGTTTCATCTAACAATTACCAGTATTCAAGTGGCTGTTGTGGTCTTTTCAAGGCCCGGTAGCCATAGCATTGGGGTATTCACAGTGGTGTTGCAGTTGACCAGTTACCTCGTTGCAACGGTAATGATAGTTGTCTGCTATGGGACGGTGTACCGAACCATCCGGAATCACGTCAAGGTTGGCATCAGAGCGCCACGAAGGGAGACTGCCAAGCAAGGAGAAAAGCATTCAATTCAAAGACAGACGATTTCAAACAATTCGAAATCATCTGCCACAAATGTGTCGGTAGGGCCTGCGCTTTCAAGAGATGACGTCGTTAAAGCAGTACAACCAAACGCCAAAAATTGCGTTTTACCTGGCCCCTCGATTTCCAACGACGTCGTAAATTTGCAACCCGGAGCGGCCATGTTCGGTCTTCAAAGCCGCTTAACCCAGCCAATCGAAACAATCACTTCTCAAAGTAATTCTCACGCTGAACACATGGCACCCATTAGCGATGTAAACATTACACGTGAGCCCCCTAATCCCAAACCGCCTGAGTCGGGCCTGCAACGGAAAACTACACGAATGCTGCTGGTCACTAGCATAGTGTTCTTGCTGTCGTGGGCCCCCCACTGGACCAACTTGATCTCGTATGCAGCGATTCTGTTTGGTGGTCCCCTTCCCTCTACAGAGTTCTTTTTTATTATGGCCAAGATCTCTTACTTGCTCTTTCTGAACGATGCCGTCAATCCACTCATCTACGGACTGGCAAACAGGCATTTCCGAAAGGATTGTAAGGAGACACTCCACAAGCTTAGACCTTGTTAAATAGCATCGAGACTTTCAGTACATCTGTTAATTTTATTTTACACATTTCAAGGACCATTATTAATCGACATCTTGAAGAGCAACTTCAGGTGCTCAACCTGATCACTGGAAGTATACAATGTATGCGGTATAATAATACTGTATGATTGACGATGTTTTTTGAAAGTGATTTTTACATACACTATACTGCACTATGAACTATTTAATGAAAGCCCCGTAGTGGCACTTTAAACATTTTCCAATTTCCAAAATCTATTATTTTGCAGTTGGGATCATCAGTGGAAATTTGTCGTTGAATTTGCAATTTATTAGTGAATAATGATCTTTTAGAATCCACTTGCACTAAGATACGAACCAATAATTCAGCCAGCGTTGTAACAATGCAAGAATGCCACTTTGTACGTCATTTGTATACAGATAATTAAGATCATTACTTAAAATTCTGTCGTTCGCTTTGACCTGGTTTTTGTGACACCGTAGTGTGATAAATAAGATAAACTATTACTAGTTAAAATAGAATAAAACATCGCATGCACCAACGAGTGTAAATGGTGTATTTTCTGCATGTCTTTTACCGTGCATGTAATAAAATGCAGTGGATATGAGTCAGGTCAAATTTTGTAATAATTATGTCTGTTAAAGTAGCAATTCTTTGACCGTTTTTGACTAGACGCTAATTTGTAATGAAATTTAATCAATGGAAGATATTCCTTTGCATTTTCTGCCTGTCTTCACTGATACCACATTCTTGTAAAAATCAATTGTTATCTTTCAGTGTGAGATTTGTTACATAGTTGCGAAACACGTAATGTCGACTTGTGGAACCTACAAGTGGAAAAAGTTGTAGATCACGTTAGCCTGCCTGCATGTAATAAAATGCAGTGGATGTGAATCTGGTCAAATTTTGTAATAATTATGTCTGTTAAAGTAGCGATCATTCGATCGTTTTGACTAGGTAGTAATGCGTAGTGAAATTTAGTGGAGATAATAAATTTCATGTGATATTCGTTTGGATTTCGCTTTGGAGGGATTCTGCCTGTCTTCATACCACATTCTTGTGAAAATCAATTGTTACCTTTCAGTGTATGATTTGTTACATAGTTGCGACAAAAGTCGATGCGTTGAAGAACCCATTTATATGGTTATCTGTAGAAAGCCTAAGTTACGTTGCGTCAGAAAAAGCGACATACAAAAGTGAGAATACGCACACTTCGACTACCTGGCTCCTAAGTGGAAAAAAAGTTGTAGATCACGTTAGCCTGTTCACAATTATGCTGTAGGCCTATAATTGATTCAACTTTTAAAATTATTGATGACCAACGTCAAACTAAACAGGTTTCCAAAAGGACTTACAATCCTCAGTCGCAAACAGCTTGCTAAAATCCTGTCCCTCACAGCTCTCTTGCAATGAAGAGGTCCGTAAATTACTACCCAAACGACTTTGGTGTGAAGGTCAATTACACCTTTTTGCAGTCAGTGACAATTTGATGAAATTGACTTCAATTTCGTAGAGGTTCGGGGTTTACTGCATTTTTCTCATATCAAGCATTAACGAGAGTAAATAGGTCAAAAGACAACACAACACAATTTCATTTAATGACGTAATGGATACAAGAATTAAAACAGCAGAAGAAAATGGTAGAGAAATGAACAAGCAAATAAAATGGTGTGACCGAAACAAATAAATTATTTCTTTGACTATGTGATTATCGTTATAAGGCTGCACAAAATTGCTCGAGCAGCTGGTACGTAGGACTGTAGCCTAATTTGGCATAGAAGTAAACCATTCCAAGGGTAGACGGCTTCAATTTATAGAACAGGCCTCGCAATAATGATTCGCCAAGAACTCGCCAAGTCAGTGTGGACAGTAATTAGACCATTTGTCAGTTATCTGTTAAGCGGCAAAATCGTAACTCATTATCTTTGATATATTTAAGATGTCAATCATCTTTTTCACGGAGTTATTTTTTGAGCTTTAAGTTCCTGGTACCCATTCATGTCGTTTCCGTCTCCTTTTGTGTACACTTCAGATAAATGAAAATAAATGCAGGTTTTTGACGGGCAATAAAAATCAGTACGAGATCGTGGAGGCTATTGGCGGTTGATTTTGAGTGGTTATACGCAGTTCATTTTCACTCAAAATAAGTGCTGTACATTGATATGATGATTGCATTGTCTTATGCCCTCCATCTTCCAACCTCATTCCAAAAAAGTACTATTAGTCACATGCTTTCGATTTCAAGTTAGTTGCAAACAGGTGTATTTTGGCTCACTTTTAACTGTTTTGCTTCATGTCTGTTCCCGCGAGGACTTACATGAAACAAGAAGCCTGAGAAAAAGAGAATAGGCCTATTACACAATATTATTAGAAAATTGTCTGACTATAATATCTTTACCAGAGGACACATTTTTGGCACGTTGAAAACTTCAATACTGTTCTTCCAGTTATTCCCTAGATGAATTCTAATTGATTTATAACGGAAAACTAATTAGAAGATTCAGAGCCTAGCGATAAAACAAACAAGTGCATTTGTTTTTTCTTGATGGGATGATGGCAGAATAATTGTTTTATAATCTGGCTAGCAAGCGACTCGACAAGCCATGCATACTTGTTAATCAAATAATAAACTGGACCCCTAGATTGGTTTCTCTCTGTTGGAGGCTGGCCGCAGAAATTCCTGTTCAAGGTTGAAGTCCAAAAAACGCTACATTTGGGCACTCGTTGTCGGGCTTTATTCATTGGCGGGAGTCATTTGGTCATTGATCTTATGAACCGACACGTGCACCAGAAAGGATCAGCAAAGTAGCAACTTCTTGTACAAAAGACTTATTTGGCCACTGTATAAAACTAGTATGTACTGAATTACTCACCTCGTTTATGATGTCAGATTACGCAGACTCATGAATGTTACAGAGGTGGTTTGTGACATCATTTCTGCTAATTCAAATTTAGTTCAAGTTTAATTAAGGAGGATCATCATAGCATCAACTTGTTCAACAAATATTCACTACTTAGAACTCCAAAGAGGCAATAATTATTTTTTGAGGAGTGCCGAGGCAATTTAGGGTGTAGCGCCCTCTCTAGCCTGATACTAGGAGGAGTTGCATCGAAAGATAGAGGGCGTGATTCTGTGAGCAGTCCACGTTTTTGCACTTTAGAAAAGTGTTTCCTGTGGCGGTGATTTCAAATATCAAAACTATGCCAGTGAAGATTGGGATGTAAGTTCCAGTGCAGTGCCTTATCTTGCAATTTTTCGAGCAGCTTACAAAATGAATAAATAATCTAAGTAGGTAGGTTGGTTCAAACTTTCACAAACGAAGGCTCCTGTACAAGTAACCATGCATAGTAACAGAGTAGGGGAAAGTCACAAACACAGATGCCACTTGACACCCTGTGCACAAACCCTATGACTGCAACATGACACTAGCCTAAAATTTTTGAAGTGTTTTCTAAGTAGCCGACTTGGTTTTTTCCCTCCTGAATTTAATTTTTCTAGATATGGTTTTTGCTTTTTATCGGCTAATAATAGGTCACTGTAGGGAATAATTCCTGGCCAAGCATCCGTATATGGAATTACACTTCCCCCTGACGTTGCCCAGTATCAGATTTGATGCAAGTCTTCATTCCATAACATCCTATGGCCGGTCAGGGAGTCCACCTAGGCTAGGTGCTGATACGTTAAAACATGGGTTTAAAAATACAGCCATGAGCCTTATTGCTGATACCGCATGACGGTAATTTTGCACAATGGTAGAAAGGCATTGTTGGAAGGAAAAAGGAACAAACATTGCCCCCTTTTCCTTCCCACAATGCCTTTCTACCATTGTGCAAAATCACCCAAGTGGTATCAGCAATAAGGCTTATGTTACATGACTGAGACATTTAGCCTATCTCTGCTAGACCAGTATTTTGATCACTTCACCTGATCCATGATTCCATGCATCTGTGATTAAAACCTTTGTTTCAGTCATTTTGAACAAGTTCAGCTTTCTGAGCAGCAAAAAGAACTTCTTTTGTTTGAGTTACATTACAGTCCCACTGACCAAGCTCAATGAATACTGATTGTGTCTCACTGTTCAAGCTCGTGAAAATACCGATCTGCTCACCGGTGGCATAGTCGTACCTTTCAGAGTGGTGTGCATTTTCTGAAGGGGGGGTATTATTTGGTTTTAGTGAACATGGTCATGGGGTGGGGATAAGAATGTTGCAGCTTTCCAGTCATGCCAGTGTCACGTGGTAGATTCAACGCAGATGGGAGGGATTTCAGTTTATTGGTCTATTTTCCTTTATCTATCTGTGAGTATACTAATGAGTAAATGAAACACATGGAGTTGGAGTCACCTTATGAAATCCATTGTATGAAACCCTCATTCTTTAGGAAAGAGTTATCCTGACACCTTGTGTACAAACCTTACAAGACTGGTCTGATGAATTCCAAGTAAATGCTTCAATTTTTTCCTGCTTCGTGTGCTTGACGTTGAAGGATATGTCATTGCGTTCTGATGATTGATTTGTATTACTGCAAGGAAAAAATTATTGATATCTGTGTGTGGAATTCCTCCCATTATTTGTAAAAAGTGTTCAGATGTCAGTCTAGAATAAAGAGATCTCAGTAAACAGTGTTCAGATGTCAGTCCAGAATACATAGATCTCCATTTGAATGGATTGTTGCATGAACTGCAAAACTTGTACAGCAATTTCTTGTGACCACGCAGCCAACTCTCATTCACTGATGAAATGGAAATTCTTGGTGGTAGAGCTGTTCAATAATTCTCTGACAAATAAATGTGCCTCATGATCCGTTGATTAGCTGATTGGAATTTATTTAGGTGTTGCATACTTGAAAAAAAAGCACTTCACCATAAAGTTTCATGTACTGGGTGGAGCGAACAATGTAGGCATATAATGTAAAGATGCATATTTTTTTGAAATAAATTTGTGAAGACCCTTTACTTGGCACAGTCTGTAATGTTTCACATTGTTAGTTTTTTTCTTTGGCACCGTAATGTTACAGCAAACCCTAGATTTGGGGGGGGGGAATTCTGGCAGGATTTATCTCTGTATATTTGTCTTGAGTACAGTGACCAGTTAGAAAAATTTATTTGGTATAATCTCCCAGTGTTTCTTGAAAGACTGCCAAGAACCTTTTATATGATTCCCCAATACAAGCAAATAATTTTTCTCCAGGCGAGAAAGTGGATGATCAAAACAGTTTTTGATAATTACTTGTGGACTATAGATATGTAAACATGCATGGGTAGTTGTTCTCCAGAAAATTGGCTTAAAGCATAGGTCAAACAAATCCTAAAATCACTAATGTACGGCAAGCAAAAAGGGAGAAGTTGGCTCCAAAGGGCTTCTTGGCTGAAAATTGTTTTCCTCCTCCAAAATGTTTAGAACTTGCTGTCAAGGAGTTAATTCTTTTCTTGTCCTATTTGCATATCTGACAAATGTATGGACAATCATGGAAGCTTCAAATGAGCTATTTTCTCTTGATATCTATTCCTTCCTCCATGATTAGCCACACCACCTAATGACCCCGAGACAGCAAAGAAGAAAACGATTGTCCTTTGGAACTGACTAATTACAAGTGTCACACTTTGCTGTAATTGACATCTTAACCAACGGTATTGAATTATGCGCAGGGGAAGTGCTCCCACCAGATAAGAAGAGAAGTAAAGTATACCATGTGGGAAAAACATAATTGTTGTGATCATTGCAGGGTTCGGCCATCGCAATTAGAGTTAGTTAACAGGAATAAGGTCTATGAATGGGTGAGTAAAAGCACAGAGCAAGGAAACAGCAAACAAAAGTCACTGAAATCATCCCTCAAGTGACAACTACCCCCCCCTCTCCTCCCCTCCCTGCTGCAGGACTTAGTGATGTTGTCAGGTAGTGCGCACAGTGTGTGTTCATACATGAACCGGTACGCATTCCTTCAGCCTGAATTATCTTTCTTTCTTTTTTATAAATGGGGCTAGATTCCAGCAGTGGCCCTTGCTCACAAGGGATTTCAGTAAGTAAAAAATTAATAAAGATTTTTTTTTACAACCTGGGTAAGGGATTTTAGACAAAATGTACTTTTTTTTACTGAAGAAAAAATTTACTTCAGTAACTGCAAATGGTGTATGCTATGTGCACCTAAAAGATTTAACATCATGCCCCTGAAGAGACACATGTTCAATTAATCCACAGGCAGTGCCTTTTAGAGGACCTCGTAGGAGAACTGGTCAGTTCTGGGGCCAATTTCATAGAGCTGCTTAAGCATAAAATCTGCTTAAGCAGGAAAAAAATTTGCTTAATAAACAAAGGTTACCAGCTCAAACTCTATCTTATTGTCTTGCTGACCTAAAATCAGCTAAATACAATCCCAAAATAACATACATCACATGGGGATTTGGCTGGTTACCCGATTTATCAAGTAAGGTTTTTTCACACTTAAGCACATTTTGTGCTTAAGTAGCGCTATAAAATTGGCCCCTGGTGACATGCCCTGTGTCATTTGTCTAGTTCCAAAAGGAAGGTAGACACCTTAAGTTAATTGCCTTTTGAATGTGTAGGGGCTCAAATGAGCTCTAAATCCCCCCCCTCCAGAATTCACACATGTACTTAATTGTAGATGCACTGTGAAAAGCTGATTGGAGCATATTTTATCCATCATGTCAATATCAGACACAAATAAACTCTTCACAGATCACTTTCCCTCCACCCTACCGCCCAGCCAAGAAAACAATAATTAATATCAGATGATTGAAGAATAAGGCAAAAACTGTGCATCAGAGAAGTACCCTTACATGAAAATATTTTAGCAACTGGGTTGTTTCTTTTGATTACTGGAGATTTGAGTGTGGATTCTTTTCTTATCCATTGCAGATCTTAATTGCCTATTCGTGTTATTTCAATCAGTCCCAAGGACTCTCTGTGTTGGTAATTGGTGTGAATTCTTACCTCTGAAAGGCCTGAGTGAAAGACGGCCTTTTTGGAAGAGATTAGTATTTGTAGAGAGTAGGGATTTAGGGTTTAGATGTTAATCTGGTCTGGCCTGGGGGGATCCTTGATGTCAAATTGTCAGAAAAATCTGTTGCTAGTCTGTCTGGAAGTGGGATTGGATTCCTGCCAACCCACAGAGTGCATGTAGGCACAGTGACAGCTCAGGATTGAAATTGAATGAAGGTTAAAAAACGTTAATCAATAAATAATCACTTTTTAGATGTGTTCAAAACATTAACATACTTATAAGTTATATGTAATTGTCAAAATCTGGTCAGTATATGCCTGTATACATGTATGTTTGCACTAGAGGGCTATGAGCCCTACATCAGTGGAATTTTGTGATAGCAGTTGCCATAGTGAGGTAATTTCTTTAAAGAAATGATATTGTGTTTTCCAGGCAGGATAGAGTTTGACAAATATTATAGGCATTCGATCAGTAATACTGTGGTAGGAACAAGAGGACATCGCTTTCATGTCACACTTTCTTTGTTTTGAACCAAGGATAATCTACAATTTCCAGGAAGATTTTGTATCTTCTCTATTTGTCTATGTACCATGGAGTATTTTTAACAGATAGTCAGCATTACCACAGAATGTCATAGTTCAAAAACATTTGGTGACTTATGGTTCGCCTCCCTTCCTGTTAATGGTTTCATGGGTGATTAGCATACCAGGTGTCAGCTGAAAACCCAGCCAAAGGTGTCAAATGGGGGCCAGAGGGCAGGACAGACCAGTGGAGAAGGAGAGAGCTGTTTACACGATCTCAAGTGATGCATAAATCATGTGTACAGTCAGTTGGGCCCAAAGATGGTATTGTGGCCCCGCTGTGAAGTCAGTGAATTCAACAGGGCCACAAGTTGGGGCAGTTGAGTTGCAGATAGGACGTGTGTGTGTGTGTGCTGTGGGGCTAAGCTGCGGCGGTACCAGTCCGCAGATCAAAGGGGAGAAGATCAGTGATCAATTGCTCCTTCACCAGGAGGTAAACTGGGGGACTTTTATGCCTGTTTGGCCCTCGTTAGGGGGCCCTTGCCCATCTGTTGAGAGATTGTCAAATTTTGTGCTTGCCAGCTGCACCATAAACTGATACTTTTCATGCCTGGACATGCCTGTATATTCACTCGGCTGTAACATTTTTACGAAGTGGTTCAAGTTCCCTTCTGCTGTGAGTAGTGTTGGAAAATCTTCAGGACTGAGGACAATTTTGTCTCCTAAATATTGAGGCAAGGACTGAGAGGATGATTGTGTCGAATCCTGTGCCAGGCATGTTGCGCTTCAGCACACTTGGTGCTCTGCTGGGCTGTCTGCTGTCTGGTTTCTCACCCCAAGTCTCACCATATCCCTTCACCCCTCCGTCATGGCCCTGCAGCTTCCAGGGGGCTGAGTCGGATCTAGGGGCAGGACAAAGTGAAGTAACACTGTCTGTCAGCATCCAGGGGGACCCGTTGTTTTATGTGCCTGGAAATTGGTATCAGGGTAAGTCTGATCCCAAGTATTTCATGTTACTTTTCATTTGTACAGGGGCCTCTGCGGACTTCCTTGTTTAGAAAGCTGTTCTTGTAATTAACAAAAACTGAACAAAATGAAAGGTTTAGGAAGAGGATGTGTTCCTCTCTTTTCATCTTTTAAAATGCATTCCACCTGAGAGACTTGGGAGACTAAGTAACAGTTGATATACCTTTCTTTGTAGTTCGGAAACTTTTGGTTTGGAATCTTTTATTTTTGCACACTTCTATCTTATAATTGGGCACACTTTGTGAGAAATTGATGTCTAACAGTTGAGTACTAAAATGTTCCATCTTTGTTTCAACTTCTGAGTACTGAGTTGACGTAAATAGAGAAAGGGCTTTAATTTGTGAAACTTTCAATTTTCACACTTCCTCTTTATGAAAAGGAAGAGTGAGTCAAGATTTTTTGTATTAAAATGTTCAGTTGAATACAAGAGCAAAGTTGATTTGATGCAACGCTAGTATACTATACCTAACTCCACTACAAAGAAAACACACCAAATAGTTTTTTAAAAAAATGCTAGAAATTATCCACACCAAAGGTAAGGAGCACATCCCAGGCAGAAGATTTGTAAGCAATATAAAACAGTGAGGGCAGTCAACATTAATTTGACCTGATTTCTGGAAAGAATGTTGCCAATAAAAAAGAACCTATGCACTGTTCAGTTAAGAATTTGAGCCTATTTATTTTTTTGTAACAGTTTTGTTATATTTGTCTCATGTTTTTCGTTTCTCAAGACTAATTAAATTGCTAATTTAATTTTGAAACGGCAACAGCAGTCTTGGACAGCTAGATGATTTCAATTGTAGTTTACGTTTGGTATTCTACGAATCCTGTACTCTTAAATTGACCACTTGCAGTGCAGGTGGTTAAGTAAAATTTACAACCCAAGAAATATCAGTTTATATGTTCCTGAATGCCCAAAATCCTGCATTCAACTCTTTTGATTTATACTGCCCCCAATTTGTCATCTTGGATCCACTGAGCCTTTTTAGAATCTCTCTTAGGATTTCAGAATGGATATTTCATAAGCTTGACAGTGCTGTTTCGGACAAAGATTTAGACCACCTGCATGCTAAAAAACAAAGTGCCTGTGTTGGCATCAAAGTGAAGCCACTTCATGCAGTGTTTGACAGGTGATATGATGCAGAACAGTCCAGGGTTTTACGCTGGCTCTGTGCCAGTGAAGACTAACATATTTATACATGTAGGGAGGGATTTCTTCTTGATGGAGGTTGTGGGAGAAAAAAGCAGCTAAAGAGTAACAATGTGCAAAGTGAAGGTCAAGGTTTCCCGTGCGGTGTAAACGAGACTGATGAAATTCATGTAGATTTCTATCATATTTGATGACTTTTGGCAAGGATTGCCTGTTATTTTTTTTTTTATTCTGTCCTTGGTTAGTGTTAGCTGTTTTTTTCTTATCGGTATTTACCATTACATGTGTTCAAGGAAGAGGCCTTCATGTTAATTGTGTTTTGGCCAGACAGCAGATAACTAGCTCAACGTTGCACCTTAATCTGGACTTGTGGTGAAGTCCAACTTCTGTTACGGTAATCTTAAGTTTGAGTCCATTCCCGGATGAGTTTGGGCCCTGATAAATATGAAATGTAATTATTTTTCCCGTAGTGAGTCTCACATCGAGCACGGAGTTCAATGGCATCTCCATCATTGGCGTCTTTACATCCCAAACCCCGGGCAACTCGGTGGGGTCGCCGGATTCCAGTGGTCCCCTGCCAGGCATCACCTACATGTGCTCTTTGATTCATCAGCAGATGATTCGAGTACCCCAGAGAGATGCCGTTGCCTATTGGATTGCCCCTGCAGAGGGAAGTGGCTGCGTCAGTTTTATGTGAGTCAATCAAAGATTAATGATAAAACTTTCTACGTAAAAAGATCCACCTGTGTTTGTAGCAGTATCTATCTTGTAAAGAATTTCTCCAACACAGAATCTTACATCCTGCTACTTTCAGGACACCTGGGGCCAATTTCATAGAGCTGCTTAAGCACAAAATTTGCTTAAGCGCGAGAAACCCCGGGTTGATAAATCAGGTAACCAGCCAAAGCTCCATGTGATGTATATTGTTTGGAGATGGTATTTAACTGTGTTTTGGTTAGCGTGACAATAGATAGAGTTTGAGCTGGTAACCTTTGTTTTTGTAAGCAAGTTTTTCATGCTTAAGCAAATTTGTGCTTAAGCAGCTCTATGAAATTTGCCCCAGATGAATGTGCCTATCATTCATATTTACATGTATAACCAATAATCAAATGCATTCAGTACCATTGGCAGTGGCAGGTGGAGTAGGGCCACCAGTGCCCTCCTGCCACTCTTGGCAGGCCCTTTATTGGGCAGGGTTTAATGGATCAGTCTATTAATGGACAGTGCCTAATGGTTCTAGACACTGTCTCCACTTTGAAAATTATTTCGTCACCGTTGGTCGATACTGCCTTCTAAAAGTTGCTAATCTCTCTCATTTTGGCCTCTGACACATCTCAAGTAAAGCCTGATTACAGTATGACAAACATCCCTCATCATTTCACTTCCATAATTCGTTCATTTATTAATTTCATGTTCTTCCCCTTGACTTTTGTTAATTGTATTGTGACATTTAGCAATGTACAGAGCGTAATTGTTCAATATGGAGATAAAAAATAGTGAACACGTGCAATTGTTGTCGATAAAACATGCAATCCATTTTATTCCTCCACATACATGTAACTGTAGACTCTTGTTTATTTAAAGTCATTTATGTTCTGTGCCACAGCCTACAGCTCCTGGGAACTCAAGTGGAATGTTTTCCTTCGACCCTCATGCCACTGATTGAGCCCAACATTAATGCCCTCTCACAAGTGCCGGCATGTCACCCGGCAGACATTAACCGAATGTCCTGTTTTTAGAGTGGAAATGAAATGTTTGACAAAATAAACACGAAGCCGTCTGAACAGGCACACTGGAAGTAGTCTGAAATTGTCCTCGGGTTTCCTGTTATCATGGGTGGCTGGTCTAGGACTTTGCCAGCACTGTCTGGAGCCATGAAGCATGGGTGGCTAAGTTGGTTATTCCTGCAGAATCAAATTAACCCTATCAAGGTCCATTAGAGTTCTTTTCACAGGTCACTTAACTTTTCTGTAAAATCACCCAGACAATATCTTTCAAAAGGAATTAACTCAGAGACTAAACTGACATGACTTGGCCCAGAATCTACAAAAATTTTGTTACATATTATTACTTTCCCCAATTAGAACGAACAAGCGCAACACGGAGTGTGCCAAATATATGTATTTTTTGAGTCAGGGATCATATAAGCATGACTACTTTTCATTTTAAATTTGTCAGTTGACCACAAGGGAATCTGACCAACCTTTAACCTTGCTGTCAATCAAAACCAACTTAATTTTCCACCCCGGTAAATCTCTCCAATAGGGTGACTGCTTTCCTTGGACAGCAGACGATTCTAAAGGACGCTTTAGCTTTGCAACTTTGTGAGAGGGGAATGCCATCATCTGAACCATTCAGACCCCAGTTAGGTACATACACATAAGTTATTTCACATTTTTAAAGTTCAAACATTCTTAACGTTGTATAATGTACGTTTGGAACTTTTTTAAGGCGTCATTGAGTTTAATGATCATCTATGAGTTTACACAAAATGTAAAATACACAGGTCACTCAGAGAAATCATCCAATAACCTTTTATAGTTGCCGAAAACTGGGTTTTAAATGTAGATTTCCCCTTGTTTCCAAGAGTTTAAACGGATCTAAACTGCCTGGTGGGTGGGTGGTAATGTCTCCGAATGATCTTTGCACATGTGTCTGATGTAGACTTCACAGAAAAGTGACAGTGACACGTGGCGGCATGCAGGACAAAGTTGACCTTCAAAAACATTAATCTCCATGGACTACTTCCAAGACATTAATTTCATATTCAAAATGTGGCTTACCTAGATTTGTCTCCAACATATGTCAAAGTGATTGATATTTTGACATGCCACAGTTCCACATGACTAGTTTGGTAGTGGATCATGCGGTTATCTAACGGCAGGTTTTCCCAACTAACCCAAGCCCCTTTTCCACATGTATTAAATCTCTCCCATTTCCTGTTTTTTTGGCATTGCACTTCATTTCTTCCGGTGACAAAATTCAGAAATCTGGAAAAATTTGGGATTGCTGCCCAGCAGGCATTCCGTCTCAAATCAGCAGGAAAAGTAAACAAAAACTTGTTTCAAAGGCCTTGGGTCAAAGGTCAGGAAACCGAATCGCCCTGCATGGAAGACTTTTTGGTGATCTTTTTTTTTTGCATGTGCGTAAATGCTTTTCATGTTTATTCGGTTTGAGAAAATAAACAAGTCGGCCAGTGTAACGGAGCATCCACTAAATTAAGCGCCGGGAAAGATTTATGTGAGAGACTCTATTCCTTAGTTCTCTGGAATTTCGAGAGTAGAGATGAGCCACTGAAAATCAATGATGCTGAGAGAGAGCCTCATTTGAGAAATCGGCGGAAGGATGGGCAAACATGATTGATGCGTCGTGTGGGAAAGCGCCCCCTATGGACGGAGGTGCACTGTCGTCGGCATCACTGACATTCTGTTTTTGCCTGTTTGTGACAGCGTCCGTGCACAGTGATGGGGTGATCCTAAGAGATGACTTTGATTCCTCGGAAGCCCTCGACTACACCGTCTGGTGAGTACTGCTACAAATCACCTAGATAGCTGTGTTTATTCGCATGGGACTGTGCACGGTTGAATAGAAGGAATCAAAGGCAGTTTAATTGGTTATACACGAATGGGGGAGGTGATTTGTGACCGGCTCTAGAAAAATGGGTAATAAGTCGCCAGATTCAGGTTATGAGTTTTTGATATGGCTGGATTCTGTCCATCAAAAGCTACAATTCACTATGACGCTGTGCGCTGCGTTCCAGAGATATATGGGCATTTGTCCACATTTTCGGATTCAATAAAAGCGCTTTTCAAGAAAAAGCTCATAATGTGTAGCACTTGGAAACACAATGCTAGATAGGATTTCCCACTGAATGATCAATTTTTCATCTTTATTCATCAGTATCTGTGTTTGTAATCACAATTCTGAAAATATAAATATTATAGAAGCTAAGAAAGGAAAAAACACAAAATCACAATTTTGAAGAAATTTTGCCCTCTCCAAATAGAACAGGCCATTACCTGTTTTGGCATTGCACGACTTATTACCCTTTTTTTGCAGAGCGGGTCACATTTATGTCATGCCTGGTGTTACTTATTCACAGGTCAGAATTACACGGCGGCAACATCAGCAATACCTGCGGCACAGTTCTCCATGGTAACGCCATGGTCTTCTGTAACCGGCTCGGGAGTAGAGACTTGAGCACCGTTCACTTGAATCTCACCTCAGCGTCTGTCCTACAGTTTGCTCTGAGTGAGTTTGCTCCAAATAAAAGTGCATTCATTGCCAATTAAATATTATTATTTCTTAAATGAGTTTGGCCTTGCTTGGACATGTTGCAATGTATTCTACAGCGAGTCTGTAGATATTGAAACAGCCTTTCTGACACAGTGTGTTTGGTAGTTTTGCCTTAACCAAAACTCAATTTCTCCTTCGAACTTTATTTTTGTTTCAATTGGAGCTGATATTTTTGGGCAGTCTTATGCTTGTCTTGATTGTTTCCATAATGGTTTCACGCACAGGGAATATTACATACATGTAAATGAATTCTGCATGGCCAAATATTAGCAGTTCTCTTTTAATCTCTTAAATATCTAAACAATTTTTTAAAGGATAATTGCTTTTCTATGTATGACATATTTCCAGGGAGTGAGAAAACGAAAATGTTGCTTGAAAGAAATCTTTTTTTTTTTAAAAAAACTTGACATTTCGATTTCCTGCAGCTGTTAAGAAACAAGGGAATTCCTCTCCTTTTGTACAATACTGGATTTCTGCGAGTTCCAAAACCTTAATTTGTTATTGCGTTCTTTGAAGCAGAAATAAAAAGTACTCCGTAGACTGAGGAAAAGAAGGTAAAAACTCACCTATTTGTCAAACAGAACTTCACAACCCCTCTGATGTAGGCTATGCGTAGGTTCACTGATAAGGTAGTGGAAAAGTGGTTAAGTGTAAAAACAGGACGAGAGGTGAACTAAAAGGTCAGATACATGTAGATTGTATTGATTTGACATATGCTGGACACATTTTCTTGTCGCCATAAGACTTCCCAGATTGGCACATGTCCACCTTCAGACATGGTTGTTTTTTTTTGTAAACTGTTTGCCAGGTTGAAATAATTAAATTAAACTGAAAAGTCATGTCTTGTTTAGGACAGATGTCTAAGTAAATAGTAGACCAGGCCCGATATGCTCTAGTTTAGGGAAGAAATGCGCCAAATTGGTTAAAGTCGTTGCGTGGTTGAAGATAATGGACACAATCAAACGAGGTTAAATGCTAGGCTTGGACAGGTCATTATAGTCCCCACTGTGAGCCTTGAAAGACTCTGACAGACCTTGAATACGTCATAGAGACCATGCTTTCAGGCAGTTATTTCTCTTCTGCTGAATATTCCAGTTTCTACTGATTCCTTCCAGTAGTCAGAGAAGGATTGCAAATGGAGGCGGCGGAGCAGTAAAAGTTTCAATTATGGCGTTCAATTTTACCAAGAACATCATGAGAGATGTTAGCTTCATGTATCTGAAGGATTTAAATTCAGTTTGAAAACGAAATAGTAAAATAGAATGGTGGAATTCTGTCTCAGACTGGCATCAGTGTCGACCCTTTGACCTTTGTGTGCTGTGATGGTTAAATTTTAAACAAACGCAAATTAACATAACTGTTGGTTACCCTCAATGACAGTGCCAACTGTGGCCACAGATAAAATGTACTTTGTTTTTGCCATGAAAACCTTCAAAAATAAAGTGTTATTAGAGACATAACCTAGTTTGCTTATCAGAAATCACTATCTAGAATTGTTTTGATTTTATTGTAGCTTTTCTTTGGAAAGTTTCAGTGAAACTAACTTCATTTGGCAGAAAAAATATAAGGCAGAACAGTAACCAGAAACTTTCCAGTTATTTCATGTGAACAGTGTTTGAGTTAACTTTCCACAGGCGGTAATGCTTCTGAATGGAAAATGGTTTTAACTATGTATACACAGCTAACTGTAAGCCTAGTTCTTGATTCCCTCTGGGCAAAGTTTATGTCCTTGGTTGACCTTGCCATGTGACTGAGTTCATGATTGTACCCCATCCCAAAGTGACCCGCTTAATTCCGCTTCATTAAGAGGTAATCTGTTGCCAAGGCCTCCTGATGATTTGAGTCCAAATTGTTTGTATATCATGGTGAGGATTGATCAAGTTCACAGTCTGGGGCTTTTGAGGTTTGCCCTCCAGTGGAGTTGACTTTTTCAACAGTTTTTTTTTTCCCTTTTTGAGTTGCTGTCTGAGATAATGTTTCCATCCTGAATCATTTTCCAGATTCAAGTCAAATCTAACAACTGTTGCTTTCGTTTCAGTTTGCCTGTGGATTCGATAGACTTTTATGTATCATTTTGCCTGCTTTGACAGTGTTAAACCTGAATTCAAAAGACTTTGAGAGACTAGTTTCATTTTTTGGCCAAGTTGTTGTCCACATTGTCGTCTTTTCTGGACGGACATGGCTTATGATGTCATTTTTTTTTCTCACTGAAGTCCAAACTTTAAGGCATTTCCTTCAAAGTTCTTGTTGTTTAGTTTGTTTTCTTTTTTTATTTGCATCCCTCCCTCAGTTTGATTTGCTGAAATGTTACTACATCTTTTCCTAAATCCGACTCAGGGAGACCAGTCATTTCTCAGAATTGTTTTCAGCTTCAGGAAATTTGTAACCTTGGCTGTTGCAACACATTCCTGTCTAATTTCTGTGTTTGGCCTTCAATTTGATTGCGCATGTTGTCACTTACTGCTTTTATGTGACCCCTGAGACCAGTCATTCCTGGTTTATTTTGGGGTTTTGGTAAAACTGTCTCTTCTGATTCATAATGATACAGGTGTATGTACATGGTATGTTGATGTGATTTAATTCTAGAACGCCTGTCTGATACGAGTGTTCAAGATTTTATGATGGCTTAAACACAATGTGACTCATCTTGAGCACAGTGTGACTCATCCTGAGGCAATTTGTTACCAAAGTTTAACAAAATGAGTCACAAGTCACCAGAGAGATTAAAAGTCCCTTAATAGACTTTTGCATCATGTGAATCGATTTGAACCATCAACATTTTTCATCTTCATAGTGTTCATATCAAAACAGATCTTGTTTACAGCTCTTTCAAGTGCAAACTTACACAAAATTGCCAAAAATATGGCCTTAAGAGTCATTTTGTGGGATCCAGTCACATTTTGAATCAGAGCAAATTTCAGAATTTGTGTGGAACTCGTCTACTTCTCGGGTGTTACTTCTTCCAGGTTCAGGTGTTTGTACGCCAGGTATCGGTGATTACAGCCTGTCTGTGTCCTACGCTGTCAATGATCGCGTGGACTGGCATCTGATTGAGAAAATCAGGTGAGTAGGTGACCCAAGGCAAGGTAGAGTTCTCAGAAGCAGATTTCTCCTCCTTCCTGGTTTTTATTACAAAAGAGACACATTTTTGTCGTCTTTGTTTGCCCTTGACTGGTTGCTAAGTACACGCAACTTTAAAATCAGAAATTCTTATTATGGTTATGTCCAACTTATATTTGGGTTCGCCTCCATATTCGGTGCCCCCATTTCATAAATTCCAGGTGCCCCCTTTATGTAAATGTTGGATTTGCCACAAATTCCGGAATCTTTCCCCAACAGAAAATTTTCAACCTACTATTCTATTTCAGATCACTATAAAAACTCTGGAATGCAGAATATTTCTAAATTGAAGTGCAGGATTTTTGGAGTATTAAAATTGGAGGATTTCTGACTGTTTGGGTTAAAATATCTCGCAGTTGTTTAATTAACAATGAATAAATGATAATTTTTCACCGACCACGGTGTCTGGCACATTTGATATATTTTTCAAGGATAGTTTCATGAAACTGGTGTCAAAACCTGCCTGGGACATCACTTGGCAAGGTTAGAACAACTTTGCAAGGTTTTGACACAGACAAGAAAATATATGGCAGTGATCAGAAAGACGGAATGGAGGCTGGATTCACAGTGCAAAGGCTGTCAAGGATAATGAGAAAGGAGATTGCAAACCTTCCCTTCTTCATTTTCCCCCCTTTCCCTAGAGTCCCCACAGATGGCCACACCACCATTCACATCATCCACCTGCCGGCCGCAGCTCGTCAGCCGGATGTGTGCCTACGTTTGCATCAGGACCTGGCCATGGACGTCCACAGCTTCTTTGGCTGTTGGGCTTTAGATAATGTCCTCATCACCAGCACTGCCCACAGACCCACTGTGCTGGAGGAGGACTTTGACCCTATTGCTATGGACAATTGGCTCTTCTTCCCGAGCGGAAACATCAGGGTGGGTGGTCTTGTGAATGGTCTTGTGAGTGGTCTTGTGAATGGTTTTGTGAATGGTCTTGTGAATGGTCTTTGTCTTGTGAGTGGTCTTGTGAGTGGTCTTGTGAGCGGTCTTGTGACTGGTCTTGTAAGTGGTCTTGTGAATGGTCTTGTGACTGGACTTGGTCTTGTGAGTGGTCTTGTGACTGGTCTTGTGAGTGGTCTTGTGAGCGGTCTTGTGACTTGTCTTGTGACTGGTCTTGTGACTGGTCTTGTGACTGGTCTTGTGACTGGACTTGGTCTTGTGAATGGCCTTGTGATCATCGGAACACAACACTGATCCTTAGGACGAGTTTCAAGTTCTTGTTATAGACAGCCAGGGGTTATTTCACAAAACACTGTAATGTATCATTTCTCACCATAAGCTATGACGGATAACCCATTGCATCTCACAGTGATTCTAAGAAACAATTTTGAACTGACAATTGATTGAGTTGTCCCGATCATCATTCCCCCTGGAGATTTAAAATGGTCACTTCCATTTCATTTTCCAGTTGTTTCTCTGTTCTGCCTGGTTTTGTCATATACCACATCCCATATGGCCGACAGTGAGTGATGCAAGTGTCATTGGATGAATGCCACAACTGCCACAGTTCTCAGATTCTCTGAATTAGAAGCAATTGTAGTATTTCACTAAATGTTTCTACTTTTTGATCTTTCAGTCTGCTTGTCACTCTGAAGGTGAGGCTCTCTTCTTCCACAGCCCTGATGAAAGTGTCCAGGACATCTATCAGTTTGTCACCACTCATGATCTGGACCTCTACATGCCTGCATCCAGTCTCATCCTTGAAGAACATATCCATGGCGATAGGTTGCCACCAGAGTAAGCTGCTGTAGCTGAGGGACTGCCCCACCCGCCCCAAAAGAGGACTTTGGTCTTGGTTTTGTTGAACTTATGAAGGAACATACCTCCGCACATTAACTTCAATTTCTTGGCAAGCCTCTTGGTACCACATCATTTTGTCTTTTAAGGCCATGTAGTATATTTTTGTGTGTAGCCGTGAAGAGAGTATGTTGGGTTTGTGCTAACAGTTAGATTGAACATACCCTGCATTTCAGCTTTACCGTTTACCTTGTGTGCCGCAATTGTGTCACATTAAAGTAATCCTTTACCACCTGTGAAGTCTCTTATAGACTGTAATGTTATAAGGTTAGTGGGAGTGAGCTTTCTTTCATTAAGAATCTTCTGCGAACTTTTGACTTTTTGTTTCCATTTAGTTTTAAGAAAAATACGTTCACCTTTCTTTTTCCAGTTGGAACGTCACTGGTGGCCACGTGAGTCAGATGTGTGGCACTGTGCACTCTGGTTCTTCGCTGGTATTCAGCGGTGATGGAGAGCGGTTAGCCTGTACCCAGTACATCAACGCAACCGAAGCTGGCAACTTGAGATTCTACTTCGCAATGGGTACAATGAATTGAAGATGCTCATTCTCTTGATAGCTTCCTTTGACAATGACGTCACACTGACGCCAAAGATGAGTTGAACATGAGTGATTTACCCATGTATTGGCTGTGCATGAGTACGCCAGGCTGACTGTCTGGTTCCTGCCTCGGTTATTATTCAAAGTTAGGACTACAGTGGTGGGACTGGGAACGGACTACCTGCCTTCCCAGGTATATTTGAATAGATGTGAATAGTGGAGGGGCAATTATCAACCAATCAACTCTGCCTTACCATGGAAGATTATTTCTACATAACAGAATGTCTTCCCGCAAGATAAGCAAGTTTAAGAAATGTATCTGTGAATGATACTTTCCCTTGTGAAGCCGGGTTCTGCAACTTCCCTTTTCTTTGGTTGACTTCATCGTTTTGATCATTTCCCTCGGTGGTAGTAAATATGAGCTTTGTGTTTTCTTTTGATAAGGTGGAGGCTCTTGTGATCCTGCCGACTCCATGGATGTCCAAGTGGAGGTATTAGCTCATGTTGACGGGATGCAAGCACCCATCCTGCTAAACACCTTGGCCTATAACTCCTACCGGGTAAGAAACTCAAAGAGTTTTTAGCAAAATGTCCCCACTGGAACACTTTTTAATCTCCAACTATATTAACTTGTTCAAATTTTCATAGGCTGTTTAGAATAACTGAGTACTTTTTTTTTGAGAATGCTGAATGGGACAGAAAAATTTTGAGTAACAAGAAAGACTAATAGCAGGGCAGCTAAGAAAAAGCTAACGTTCTTTCTGATAGTTATTTTATTCTGTGATTTCAAACACTCTATTTACTGCACAGAAACCCCAGCCTATCTCTGTGGCTATCCCATCTGCCGCCCGCTCCCCGGCGACAAAGTTCTGCCTCCAGCAACGGATCCACCACGGCCTGAATCGCAACGTCTGGGCAGTGGACGAATTCCTCATATTGCCGTGGAGACCGGATCGCATCACCCACCATCTGCAGTTTGACATCAGCCTGGCGTGCCGTTCGGACGAGGTGCCGGCCTTGGATGGAAGTGCCGTTCACGTGGAATTCTCCACGGATCGGGGCCGGTCATGGTCCCTGGTGAGAGGCCAATGCCACCCAGGTACTTGCCAAGGCTCAGTTATTGCCGAGAGCTCGGTCTATGGTTCAGAAGATGTTCAGGAGGGGTAAGTCACTCGGTTAAATAGTCACCCAAACTCTTTTGCCTCTTAGAAAAATTGAAAGCACACAAATTATTCAAGGTGGAACACTGTATGATATTTTGCAGGCAAAGCAGGTTTTTATAGCAAAAGTTTGGCTCTGCCTGACAAGTTAATTTTATGTATTTTTGTCAGTTTGGCCCTACTGATCTCTTACACAGAGTCAAATTTATTCAGTGTGTTTTTTTGTAATTGACCATGGTTTTTTTAAGTTTAATGTTTATAAAGAATTTGTAAAGTTTATTTAAAACCAAAGTGTTTGTTTGTCTGTAGATATGGCAGAGCAAGGCGTTTTGGTCTTAACTTTCATATCCTTGATATCAGTAAAAATTAAGAACTATCTTGGTAAAGATCGCATAAACCTTCCAATGATATCTGAACATGTGAGAGATGTTGTGCATTTCTATCAAGGCATTTTATTTACGCCAGCTTGGTAAGTTGCACTTCAAATACAAGTTTTCATTCGTCATAAGCTTCTTTTACCTATTTTCCTTCAGTTGGACGCGTGTGATCTTGCCCCTGCCTTCCACAGCTCTGACTTCAAGTGCCCGCTTCCGCTGGAGACAAGCCCAACCCACCCCACAGACAAAGTGGGCCATCGATAACGGTGAGAAACCCAGGATGAATCTGTAGCCCTTTGAATGTCCATCTCCCTTTGTGCATTGAAAACTGTCAGCCGGCTTAACGTCTAGTGTCAGCCACTCTCAACACTATTCAGAATTGGTCATTGTGCTTAATAGCTCCCATTGAAGGTAATCTGCCAACCAGAAAATGAGTAACTTGAGCATGGGTTTTTTGAGACCTGGGGAAGTTAAATCAAGTAGGTGGCTTATCTAATGACCCCATATTCAGGGAGGTCTTCTGAAAAGGCTTTCAAGTGTTGGTGGCACTAAGTGTGTTCTACGTCTGTAGTCTGATAAGATGTGTTCTTGGTGCATGTGGTCTTTGTCAGGACCGTTTATCAGCTTAGTTCCATTGTATGTAAACGAGGGCATCCACAGAAATGCAAGTGGCAGTGTGTAAACAAATCTTGAGAGTTCTCTTCAGACCTGAGTCCTTTGCAGCCGCAATTTGAGACCTGATGGAGAAAGGCAGTGATGGAGATGCAGGAGTTGTTATCTCAAATCTTGTGCTTGTCTTGCTTGACAGTGTACATCGGCGACGCCTGCTCAGATCACATGTGCAATGGCCATGGGAGATGTACATCCCAGGGCTGCAGGTATGTACTGTGGAAAATTGAAGGAGAACAAAGCGGTGGAGAATTCTGTTCGGCCTTTGCACAAATGTTTCACTCAGAAAAATGTTTCACTCAGAAAAAATTTACCCAAGATTGATTTCGGGTTTTTTTTTTATCATTGGTTAAACTATTTCTGTGACGTCCCACTATTGTGGAAAACACTGGTTATTTTCTTGAATCTGCTGCAATCTGTACATTCGTATGGAACCGTAGATGCCATAGATTGGTCAAAGATTTTTGTGAATACACAATTCTTGCACTGCCGAAATGGGGTGAAAATGGAGAACAAATTGAAAAAAGAAAACAGCAATGTTACAAACAATCACCACACTGTAAGTTTGTTAGAGTATGTTGTCGCCATTTAAATGGGTGTTGAACAGAACATATCAAAATGGATACTAAAGACAAATCCAATAATCAAGTAATCCAAAGTGAAACAATATAATAGGAGCCAAAATATATGTGTCAATAATTTTCATGCATTTTGATTAAACTTATATATCAAACTTTGCTATTCCCTTTATTACATAATCACCAGCTGTTTGGAGAAATAGCCGGAGAATAGAAAAAGTCAGAGAGTAGACTCGGAACTTTGAATTCCTGCGAAGAAAGTGTTGTCTTCGCCTCGCCCATTCATTGCTTGTCATGTCATGCTTTCTCCATGACAGACCTTGAGCAAGAAGTGTCACGGAAAACTTCATGTTTCTGATTTTACTTTCCTCTGGTTGTGACATATTGACCCAGATGTGACGAGGACTTCGCCGGCCACGACTGCCGTGTGCCCCTCTCTGTGCTGCCCACCAATTTCACAGAGAATTTTGAAAACTTCGACGCCGAGACAGACTTTAAGTTCTCCACCCTTCGCGGGGGCATTGTGGGATATGACTGTGGGGTGCTGGCATCAGGCAAGGCACTGGTCTTTAATCAAGCTGGCAAGAGAGAGATTGTTACACAGGAACTCGACAGCACCAACAGTCGGTACGACAATTGCTAATTAACTGTTGTTGAAAATAAAGAGGCTGTTTGGTGACTACATCCCGTTATTGAGGCATTCTCTCCAACTCTGTGGAATTGTAAAAAGGTGGAATTTTCTGTTCAAGCTAGGTTCATGCCTTTTTTTTTCCTCTGAAAAAAAGAGGGTTCTGGAATTGGAAACAAAATAGTCAGACGACCAACACAGTTGATGGACTTGAGAAGTTCAGAGCAGATTGGAAGTTTGAAAATTTAAGCATTCCCAACCGATGACTAGGAAATAGTGGGCATGACGACAAAAATGCTGAGAATAAGTTTGTAATACACAGCTTGTTTAACTTTTTACACCCTAGGTTTTTGCAGTTTACTGTTCGTATAGGCAGCCAGTCCAGTATTGGCACCTGTGCATCTCCCGACGACCAATCAGAGAGCTTACTGCTGTTCTACAGCTGTGACAATGGCATTGAATGGCAGCTGCTGAAACACATGGGACATAACGCGTACAAAACTCCCAGGCAAGCTCAAAATATGATTTCTTTAAAAAAAAATTATTTGCCCTGAAAAGTTCTCTTTCAGTTGCTTCTGTTGATAGGGTTGTTCTGCTGAAAAAAGAACTCATTAACTACAGTGTAGTACCGTATTTTCATTTAAAATCATAAAAATTAGCCTTACAAAATTTTAAATGAGAAAATGTAAACTACTGAAAAAAAAATTCTGTCTAGAAAGTTTCACCCATGATGCATTTCTTCCTTTGTCATTTCTGAAGTTTTAGTTCCGTAAGTTCCATATGAAAATTGTAGGTAGCTTTTTAGACACTGTGTCCCCCTTTCAACTTTGTCCTCTCAGATCAGAATTGGTTCATCTACCTGATGAAGCCAAGGGTCCTGCCTGTCGTTTCCGTTGGTGGCAGCCTTCTCATTCGGGCAGTGGACATGACGTCTGGGCGCTGGACGGTGTCTCGCTAACACCAGTGCTCTTCAACACCATCAATCTGGACATGAGCGACGACTCGGTGGTGAAGCAATCGCTCAGCTTTCACCTGGGGGAGATCAGAGATTTCTGCAAGGCCCACGAGGCTCTGGTGTGAGTCTCACTTCAGTCATTGTTAGAGCCATTTCCCTGTTTAGGTTTACTCTCCGACGATAGTGCACATGTCTTTTATATTTATCATTTGTAATAGTCTGTAGCTGTCACCATAATTGGATGCTACAGTGCAGTGAAGCTATGAACACTGTTACAAAACTACTTCTACTAACTTAAAGTATCAAGTGAGACCGGAGCCTTTGTTTCTGCATTTATTTACAACCCGGGGGCCTATTTACACAGTGAGCAGTCAAGGATATTCTGTAAGATGAAACGAATCAGACACAGTGGTTTCCTGTGGGACTATTTCTACTGAGAGCGGGCAAACCATATGATAGGTCATTCAACCACTGTAGTAAACCTGAGCCCTTTCTCAACGATATCGCACAGAGATAGCGTGATCTGGCCAATAAGCAGTCTCATTGGGTATGACACGATGGACTAAAATGCATTGTTAAAGTGGAGAGTGCTTTGCATACCATGCGGCTTCTGCCTTTTGTCTGAATTCATTACATCGCACTGGGTACCATTTAAGTCACTGCTTCGAGCTACTTTTTCTGCAAAAATAGGTACCGAAGGTGACCGACCCAAAATAGTTTGGTGCTAAGAGTCACGACAGTTTTCTTCCCACTTTGACCATCGTCCAGGTTTTCTGGAAGCTCAGAGCCAGGTGGTGTTCGATATGCTGAGACCCAGAGCTTACAGATTGGGGCTTCTTACATCCTACAGTTTGATCTGGTCATGGGTTGTGGGCGGAGATATGGCCATCCACACAGAGATGGTAGGTGACAGCAATATCTCTGTCTGCGTACTTTTACTTTACTGGTAGTGAGCAACTACAGCTTTTGAAAAGGTTTCCAAAATTACCCAACACATTTATTTATCGTTAGGGAGCCTTCATCAAACAGATTTATTTGACATTGTTTCAAATTGAAAACGATTTAATTAAAACTAAACTAGGATTAGTTGTGTCACTACAAACTTTGGTCATTTTATTGGCAAATTGAGAGTTGAATATGAAAATTTGTACTCACTTCAGACCAGCTAACAAAAGTTATATTTTCTTGTTTTGTTTTAAATATTTTCAGATAAGAAGGTCTACCTTGAGTATTCTACTGACCATGGCCTTACCTGGCAGCTAGTCACCCAGGAATGCCTACCAGGCCAGACCCACTGCCAAAATGACTACCACAGCGCGAGTGTCTATGACGACACGCAGTATGGGGAATGGTCACGGATTACTGTACGACTTCCGCCCGCCTTGAGGTGAGTGTAGTCTCGTCACGGCCATCACTCGCGAGTTTATACCCAAATTGACACAAGAAATTCAGAAGTATGTTTGGCGCTGCATCTCTGTATTTATGGAAAGAACCAGTTTGTTGTTACTTGCATCCCCTGTAAACATGGGCCTCTTGTGGGGACAGGGGGTTTCTTGCCCCCCTCCCCATGAAACAAGGAAAAAAGAGGAGAAGAAAAGAGAAAGAAAAGAACAAGAAAAGAGAAAAGGGAATGGAAGACACCAATTTGCTTGAAAATACGTCAGAATTGACCACCCTCCAAGCACCATTGATGGCCACCCTCCAAGCACCATTGATGGCCACCCTCCAAGCACCATTGATGACCACCCTCCAAGCACCATTGATGGTTAGTCAGTTTGCTGGTAATGAGTGCCTTGCCCCATCCCCTTTGGAAGGAGTTTTCCACCTTCCTAGCGAAGCCCATCTCTGAATGATAACCTTGGCTAATTTTGTGAAGACCTTCTTTGTAATGTTGATTGATTCCAGGACTGTGTCAACAAGATTCCGATGGCAACAGTCTGTCTTCAATGGCATTGACTCCTGGGCTATCGATAACATCTACATTGGCAAAGATTGTCCCGAACTCTGCCATGGACAGGGACGTTGTGTGGATGGTGTCTGCAGGTATATAAACAAAGGAAATGCTAGGCTGCTAAGCGCACAAAATAATGCTTACAAAGTCTTTGTGCTTACCATTAGAAAAAAAACTCTTGGCCAACCGTAGCAAGAAACTTCATGCTAACGGTTTGCATATTTCACAGGTTAGCAAGGAACTTTGGTTATGTCATGGTAACACACATGCGTAAATCCTGTAACTAAGGATTTCTTTGCTTATTGGTTAATGCAGAAAGTTTTGGCTAGTACTATAAATTGAACTGTTCCTTGGTTTAATGGCTCAAAACATGTTCTACGTTAAAGCATATTTTTTTCTAGTAAGAGGTCCATGGAGGATGCATCACGTGTGTACACTCACTTTAGCGAGTGAATAGCGTAGGTCTGTGGTGAACTTATACTCTCCATAAAAAGATTCCATAAAACGTCTGTCTGGTTTTACTAGCTGTGACAGTTCGCGCTACAGCGGCGATACCTGCACGCCCAACTACCTCCCCTCTTCCGTCCAATCAGATTTTGACGAGGCTGCCGTCCTCTTCTCTGATTGGAGGGATGTCCACGGTGGAACCATCAGGGGTGTTGAGGATGGATGTGGAATTGTCACTTCGGGATCCTCTCTGTATTTCTACGGAGTAAGTCGAACTCTTCTGTCCCTTTTCTGTATATTCAATATAATTGTAACAGTAGCCCTGTTTAACTGTTTGACAGATTTATATCACGGCCAGCTGGCCCCAGGTGTGGCATTGGTTAACCCCCCACCCTGAAAACCAGACTTTTGAAGCATCAAGACACCACAGTATCAGTCCATAACTAAGATGGACTTGATAAGTGCCAGCCCTTGTGAGTTATTTGTGTAGCATTTGGTAGCTTCATTTTTGGAACACTCCAGGGCCCTACCATATTTGAGTGTTTGCTAAATCATAGGCCCTACACTGAAAGCGTGTTCGAGTTCAACACATGGTCACCACCACAGACTTGTGTGTGTACAAAATGAATGGGAAACTGACAGGTTACCATGCTGCCTGCAGCTGCAGTTATGCACAGCTGGAATGTTACCATGTTGACAGTTGTCACAAAAAAAATTTTACAGGCTGACTTATCTTCCGGCATAAGTTGGCTAGATGTACTTATTGAGAGGAGGATTTTCGGATCGCCTGTCAGTTAACTTTTATCATTTAACTGAAGATGAAAACCAATATGGATGGGGTGCATTAATTGGACTTCTTTTCTTGAATGTTCATTCAGCCCGGAGTACGGGAGCTGATCAGTCATGACCTCAACACAGCGTCAGCTTCCTTCGTTCAGTTCTACATCCGGCTGGGCGGTGACGGCACGCTGCCAACGTGTCGCGGCATCGATCGCAGGGAGGAAGGGGTGCTACTCCAGTACTCCAATGACGGGGGTATCACGTGGCACCTGCTGTTGGAACTGTACTACAGTGATTACAGGCAAGCCAAGTAAGTTGAAATCAGGCTACACATAGTACGCAAGATCTGATTCATCCTTAGTAGCCTTCACCAACTAGCATTATTTCTAGAAATTGCTTGACTTTTTTCTCTTGTATTGTGCATATTTTAAGTGTATGTCTGCTATTGGCAGATGTGCTGTTCTTATTGCCTGGTCAAAAAATGTCCAAGTTATCCCTTTGCTCCTAGAAATTATCTCCTGCAGAAAAAAAAGATTTGTTTTTTCAAATAACGACTCATTCGTGTGACCTTGAAACATGCCACATCTAAATTCTCTGTCCTCTAATAGTGTTCAACTCCAACAAGTTCACAGAGTGTCCTGAAAATGCAGAGGTTTAAGGTTTCAATGAAAGCCTTGTTTGTTCCAATTGGGAACACCGACAGTTCCTTCCTAGAACAACATATATATGTTCCTGAATTGGAACATTCATCTTTGTTTTCGCATGCTAACTTGAGAGTGTCATGTTCCCAGTGAGAGTAGAGAGCATTCCTATTGGGAACATTCCAGGTGAAGCAGAAACTTCCAAACATATGAAATGTTCCCTCACGACACAAATCGTCACTGTGAAATTGCAGGTCGCATTCACAATTTGCATTTTATTCTGACTGGAGACCCAGCCTCGGTGGTGCACTGATGTCATGGAATGGAATTTTTTTTTTCTGCCCTTGGTAACCAAGGTTTGTCCACCAGAAGCTCCCTCAGTCAGCCAAGGCGAGCAGCACCAGGTTCCGCTGGTGGCAACCTAGCCACAGTGGGGCATTTGAGGACCAGTGGGCCCTGGATGATGTCTACATTGGTAACGAGTTCAACGTACAGGCGGACCATGATGCCTATCTGCAGGTACATCGTTGGATATAGCTTTGTGGGGCAAACAAGTTACGTAGGGACTAATGAATCGTCAGTGAAACGATGCCTACTTTCAGTGACACTAACCAATCACGAGCCATCAGAAGTAATCATAAGATATCACATCGCAAGCTATCAAGTCTTTTCATTCACAAGCCAATCACAAGTCATCATGAAGGTTATCACAAACTCTCATGTCACAATCATTACAATTTATACAAAAGTCACAAGCCAAGCACAACTCATCGCAGGCCACCACTGTCAGTCACAAACCAATTGCAAGGCACCATAAATTAACACACGTCCATCCGAAGTCGTTTCCAGTTGAAACAAGTCACCACAATCCGTCGACCAACAGCAAGTTATCCAGCCTCAAGTAATTAATGCACAAGCAGTCTATGTCCCCTATAACTTCAATGTCTGACCTTTCTAGTGACCAGACTTTAGCTTGATGTGCGATTGACTTTCTTTCTCATAATGCAATTCTCCTTCCCAGGATGAAGGCGCAAGCCCAGATAGCCTGTGGATGACGGTTAGTAACGGGGAACCAGGCAGCTATTGTAGCTCAGTGAACATGAATGCGCTAGTGTTCAATCAGCTAGGCGGGGACCGGTTTGCTGTCACTAGGAAGATGGCACTTAAAGGCGGTGATGTCATACAGTTCAAGGTGTGCTTGGCTTTCCTTGTCAATCACGTTGTAAATTTCGTGACATTTGGTACAAGATGTTGTTAATATTTGTCAGTTATTTTCATTGCTTTTTAATTTTCATTAAAAAATATGACCCTTTAATAGTTTTATTATCTTGTGTATTTTGATACGTTGGTGTCGCGCCCACAATCAACTTTCTTCTTGCTGACTGACGATTGTGAACAGAACCAATTTCAAAATTTGTCACAGAAGCCTTTTCCTTTGTGTCATTGAACTATTTGTTATATCTCAGCTTGTGATTGGCTGCCTGTCCGGTTTCACCCACTTTGCCCCCGTCTATCTCCAATATTCCCATGACAACGGCCTTCACTGGAATCAAGTCATCGAGAGCTGCTATCCCTCCAGCCTAGAGGAAGGGCTCTGCACAGGGGCAGGGCAAACCTATCAGGAAGGGAGTGTCTACCACATGGGGCAGTATGCCTATTGGAGACTGGTGGTCATACGACTCCCAGAACACATCACTCAAAAGTAGGTCTCCTCCTGGCTTTGTTGACACTCAAACCTCAAAACTGATGAAGTGGGGTAAGATTCGAACCTGTCACCATCGGAACACAGTGCCTGTATTACGCCAACATTCTCCGAAACAAAACTAGGCAAAAAACATGTGCAGTTAAGGTCACAGCAACCAGAATGCCTTTGGCCATTTTTCAGAGGGATGCATGATGTCCTCACATACATGAGGACGTAAAAGCTTATAGTGCCTGTGTATCTCCATAGCTACAACTGTTGGATACGTCTTTGCCTTTACAGGAAGACCCAGTTCCGTTTTTGGCAGGCGGAGGATGAGTTTGCTCCCACCTTCAGCATCGGAGCAGTGTACATCGGGGAGGCCTGTCCGGACAACTGCCGTGGTCATGGCGTGTGCTTGGAGGGGAGATGTCATTGTGATTATGGTCATACAGGTAAGGCTGTAGGTGTACATGAGAGAAGAGAATATCAGAGAGAGAGAATATCGGGCGTTGAAGTTTCAGAAACTGGAAAACTAGATTTAGACTCAAAAATGATTACTTTAACTTAATGATTACCTGTACAATTTCATTAATATGTAAACTGTTTTTTTGAAGAAGAACGCATTGTTGTCGATTTACTACTTGCAGATAATAAGTGACAGGATTCCACAACAGGGAGTCTCAGTAATGCCATATATTTAGTCATTATTTTCATGCACTAGAAAGATCACTTTAAGCTCTTTGTTTTGATGTATTACTTGGTTTGGCGTCTGGATGAAAATGGATGTGATGGACAGTATATGGCCGGAAACTTTTGAAGATTCCTGTTGAATTACAAAGTGCCAGATTTAGAGGCCTTCATCTCATAAGTGTCACCACTTGTGCCATGGCATCCCTGAGTGTGGAAAAAAGCCATGTCTATCGTCACTGCAGCCAGAATTATTGTTGTGAATTACTGAGGCCAGGTTGACCTGATGGCTTTTAATATGCCTTTAGGCGTGAGCTGCCAGCCCTTGAGAGAGAACCCTGTTGGTCTGATGGACGAGTTCGAAGGCCGGACACTCGGTGCATCGTGGGCCAGCCCACAGAGCGGGGCCATCGGTCAGGGGTGTGGTGTCATCAAGATGGACAACACTCTGTACTTTGGGTCTGTTGGTCCGAGAGAGGCTCGGACGGTCCCCTTGAACACATCAGCTATCAAGTGAGTGCAGTTGAAGTTTGTTGCCGATTAGAATCCTATGCCACAGGTGACGTGATTCAAAGGACATCTGGTACTTGCCTTGATACTCCGTAACATGGGTAACTTTGGTCAGTAACCACTAGAGGGTTTGAAACGTTGTTATTCTCTCAAACCCACAGTGGATGCGGACGTATTTAGTATCATTTTATTCAGAAATATCATAGTTATTCATTATTTAACATTTTCGTTGTTTGTGGTAACCATGGCAACCATTTTTATTTTGATTTTCATGCCCCATTTTGATGAAGGCCAAAAACAAAAGGTTGCCAATGTTGCCCCAAACCCAGGGTAACTTCGGTCACCCCTTTTTTTAATCTCTAAGACACCAATAAATTTTGAACTTCCTTTTCTTCAGCATCAAAGTTTAGATGAGTATCACAATGCTCTGAAAAGAAAAGAAATTGAAATTGATTGTCTTTAACTGAGAAGAAATGATAACATACATGCAAAAAATGGCCCAAAGTTACCTCATGTTACGGTAGGTACACATAGGGACAGTTGGACCTGTGAAAGCATTTCCTTGTCTTTTACCTCTGTGGTCTGGGTTTGATTCCTGACTCGGTCCACGTGTGGATTGGGTTTTCGGTCCCTACCTAATTCCGTGGGTTTTACCCAGAATATTCCTCTGGGGTTTTCCTCCCACCTCTAAAACTGTAACTGCTTCTCATTGTCTCCTCTCTACAGGTTTCTTCAGGCTTGTTTATGAGCTACAGTGCCTGGGGCACTTTTTTAGGAATGTGTGGATCCTTCTCAGAAATACTTTACAATAATATGTTTTGCCATTGAGGGTACTTTTTACATATAAAAATCCATTAAAATTCAGAGAATCAGCTTCTGAACATTCTTATAAAACGAACAGGAAAAACAGGCCACACATTGAGCAAATCGATCAGTAAATTGGATTCCTGTTAGTTTATGCACAAGAAGTTCTGGCAGTGTTGGACAAACCTGTTAACAAGCAGATTCCCTGTAACAAAGGATTTTAGAATCCCCACATGTCGGAACTGATTGACTTTTAACTTGAAGGATGATTCCCGTCTTGTGCTCGCTGCCAGGATCCTTCAGTTCTACCTACGCATTGGAAGCCCGGACTTAGGATCCCAGTGCCAACTTGCTACGTCACGTCAGGAGACAGTCATCGTACAGTTCTCCGCAGACAACGGCATTACTTGGCATACCCTGCAAGCTATCGACCCAACCGCGATGGACATGGCTTCCTCTGTCAAAGTAAGGAAAGTCAGCCTTGGAATGAATTGTTACGATGCCATTTAGCTTGGTTGCTACTCTGTAGCACCAAACAGTCCCTGGTGTCATAAAACATGAGTAAGACTGTACTGTAACTACTTGGCCCCTTCTATTTGCATGCCTCTCAATCTTCTTCCCGTCTCATAAGAATTTTTCTCCTTCTGGTTGCAGGTAACCATAGAACTGCCCACAGAAGCTAAGACGAATGACACCGTATTCCGATGGTGGCAGCCGTTTATATCCATGGGTAGGTATGGATTTGAAGAAAGCTGTTTTGTATCTGAATCATAAAAACAAGCTGAACACCACTTTCTTGACACGTCCAGGCTTAGCCAATTCAGACTTTTTGTTTTGACGCATGTGCTTTACAGAAAGTCAATGTCATATTTCCTTCAACATTTCAGATGGAAGACAAGCACAGTGGGCCATCGACAACGTTCTGATTGGAGCCAACGACACCAATGCACACGGCTTCTATGAAGGATTTGATGCAGAATTGAGCAATAGCTGGTACTCCGTCATGTCTGGTACCCGAAAGACACACTGCCACTCTAGGCTAGAAGCACTTGTCTTTGATGGCGGAAGTGGTGAGTATCGTGACCCACAGTAATGCATTTTCTGTAGATCAGTTAAAAAAAAAAATTATTCATTGTTATCAGATTATATTTTATCATAGCCATTTTACTGCAGAAAATTACTTCATGTAAAGATCTTCCAAATTAAGGCATTAATTTGTTCCGAATATAAATCATTTAGGGGGAGTATAAGTTTGTTTACTTGTTTCTTTATTGTAATTTAAGCTCGTAACAATGTGAACATTCATAACGTCTCACCCACAGATTCTACATCTTGATTGGCCAAAGTGTGTCATGTGATGCTTGCCAGGTTTACTATTTTTGTGCCACCACTCCAAAAAGAATATACACATTCAGCCTCGCCCTGAAAAGAACTATACCCGTAGCAACCAAAGAACTACATCCATAGCAACGAAACCATGAATAATAGGCCTACTGTTGAACCAGGCTACGTACTAGGTACTACTAGCTGAATAGGTTAAAAGAACGAAGATGCAAATATTCAGGTCCGGTATGTCACATGGTATATGTTGGCAGTACACACATTCTAACATCGCACACAATTTGCAAAATGGCACACTAACACTTTGCTTTTTGATATGGTATTATTGCAGCGGTGTGAAAATTCAGCTTTCTAGCTGATTTCAGGGGGGTTTTTTGGTAGATGTTGACCAAGAAATTAATTTTTTTTGTGCACCTCCTGTGTACAAACGTGTGGGGACTTCTTTACATTTCAGCTTTTTGCTAGCTGTTTTCAGCTTTAATTTTGAATGGCCACTCACACCCATGTCATTGATTTTTAGCTTAAATTGTGCAGAATCTGTGGCGAGGTGTTATAAAACAAATATTGACTGCTTCGAGTTGTATAGTAAAACTAGTCTCCCTCGGGGATCCATGGAGCATTCTATTTTCCCTCAGCTTTGCCTCAGGAAAATAGAACGCTCCATGGATCACCTCGGGAGGCTGGTTTTACTGTACCACTCAAAGTGGTCAATATTTGTAGATTATATTTCTGAAGTCATTGCAAGAAAAGCATCAAAGTTAAATTAACATATACTTGACTGCTTGACAAACACATACAAATATCACATTTGGGGGGAGATTTACTCAACAAAATTTAAAGCTAGGTCAGTGTTATCCACACAAGGTATGATCAACTGATCCCAGGCAACCTGTGAAAATGAAAATCAACTTCCGTTTCACCCAGTCTCCTGAGAAGTGTCTTTATCCTGCCTGTAAATTCATCTGCTTCCCCTAGCTCATGGTGAATAAAAAGTGCTTGAAGAAAACCACCTTGTGCGACCTGGTACCAACCTTCTTTAAACATTACAGGTGCTCCTCGCTACGCGGAAACGTGGGACTTTGAGATCACACCAGCAACATTCCTTCAATTTGAAATCGTCGCTGGATGTAGGCACCAGACCACCTTCTCACCCGAGCACTCCATCGCCTTGGAGTACTCAGTAGATATGGGACGGTCTTGGCACCTCGTGAAAGAGGAATGCATCCCGCCAGACATGGGGTGTGGGGGTTACGACCTCGGCAGCGTGTACACGGCCGAGATGTACTCCAAGTGGACGCGGGTGACCGTCTACCTCCCCATAGCTGCTGTGTGAGTTATCTAACCCAGAAAATTCTCATCGCATTATGCATTTAGTTATATTTCATTTCAGTTGGATATCTCCAGAGCTGCTTTTTGAGTTACGGGCCTTTAAAAAAAATCTTGCGCAATGTAAATCCGTTGGAACTATCAACGTTTTTCATCGGCACAGCATCTGTTTCCCTCTGGATGGCCAACTCGGTGATACGTCAAAACAAATTGGCCGGTTTACACACTGTGACAAATTTACTGACATAGAAAGGCCTCAGGACTAATTCTGTGAGATCTGGTCACACTTGGCCTTTTTTAAAATTGTGGAACTATATCCATTTCGTGGCGACAGAAGCTGCTTGAGAAATGATTCCTCTGCCTGACATAAAGCCAAGACTTCTGGCAAGACTGAGGTTTGGAAAATCTTCCTTGCTGTTACGCTACAAGAGACCAATCCTTGTTGCACCTACCAATTCCTTTTTTGCCGTATTTTGAAGCTGTTGTGTCTTGATTGCATCATCATCTCTCAACAGATCGCCTTCCACCCGTTTCCGCTGGATCCAGCCAGCTTTCACCGGTGAGCAAGATGTCTGGGCTCTAGACTCCATCCACCTAGGTCTGTATGACTGTCCCTGGATGTGCTCTGGCCATGGTGGGTGCCATCACGGTCAGTGTATGTAAGTACAGAAAGCGTTGCCACTATGATTGGTCAGATGTGACTTGTGTCTGAAATGTGATGTATCCATTTGAAAAACAGAGGGATTCGAAAAAGTACGCACATTTTTGTTCATTTCTTTTGTGGAAACAAGCTCTCTATGTCAACACGAGTCAAAAGCTAAATGGTTCATGTACTCCACCTTTTGGGAAAAATCAGCAAAAAATCTGAATTTTAAAAATCAAATGGAAAATTTTGATTAGGCATTGAAAAATATTGGATTATATGCTTTACCACGAAAGCCCTTTTTTTGGCTAGATGAAGTTTTGGGATGATTAATTTTGATAGCTGTTCGTCTTTTTAATGTTGATTTTTTCAGTTGTGATGCTGGCTTTGGCGGTTCTCGTTGCGTCCCTCAGCATCCTCTTCCCAAGATGCTCAAAGACAACTTTGAAGGGCAGCTCTCCGAAACCCGTTGGTCTAGTTCCTATGGTGCACACATTGGTAACATGTGTGGTATACTGGTATCAGGAACTGCCGCAGTCTTTCGAGAGGTATCTTCAAAGTCAAGCCAGTATACATTGATATGTTGTGCCTTTAGAGTTGCTTTATATCCGTGAAACAAACAACATGTATATGGGAAACTGACCAGTAGAGCACCGGTAAGGTGTTCCGGAGGTTGCAGGATCAAGTCCTGCTCCACTGAGTTTCTTTGTTTTTATCATTTATAAGCACCTAGTCAGTTTCCCTATATAGTTTGTTTCGTGATTTATGTTCAAAAAGCCGCATCCTCTCTGAATGATCCCTGGTCACCACTTCCCAGGTTGTATCGTTTAATTAGGGCATGATCCCTGGCTATGTGGTGTTTCAGGTTTAAACCGCTTCTGGCTAGTGCCTCCCAAACAGAAATAGTGACAAATGGGAAGAGCCACCAACATAGGGCTGGATAGCTCAGTTTGTAGAGCGTTACCGGTACGGTGTTACGAAGGTCGGAGGTTCGAGTCCCACTCCAGTTAATTTCCTTGTTCATATCTTTATAATGCTTTACATCCAGACGTGTCAAAGCAGTTCACAGTTTTTGTGCCACCTGTTCATTGGGCTATGAGATCAGTTTTCGGCAGCTTGTGATCTGTGAATCTGTTTGCTACCCTCAGAAGCACTCTTACTCCTGGGTTGGGAGAGGCAATTGTTGTAAAGCATCCTGCTTAAGAAGAACACAAGCACTGTGGTACTTATCAGGGTTTGAATCCAAACACCATCACATTTGAAACAGTAAAAATGGAACTAATAACCCTATGAAACAGAACCACTGGATTGTGGTACGGCTACACTTAAGCCCACTTTCAGTGGATTTCTGTCAAAATATTACTTGAATTTGATGGCTTGTGTATCTCCGCAACTCGACAGGCAGGGCCCCGAATGCTGGTCACGCAGGACATTGACTGCACCATGATGCAATACATGCAGTTCACCTTCCAGTACAGCTGTCCATCGCAGAGTACCAGCATCGATCCTGACCGGTCCCGTGCCGTACTAGTCCAGTATTCCAACAATGGGGGTACCACCTGGGAGACGTTACGTGAGCTGCACTACACAACGCCACTCAGACCGACCTTCATCAACATCAAGCTGCCCATGTTCCAGAACAATGCCACCAAGTTCCGGTTCTGGCAACCCAAACACTCAGGTATTTTCCAAGACCAAAACTTGAAGCCCGAGAAATGAGCATTTCTTGTTTAGGTGAAATAGTCTCATTGACTTACAGCATTACATTTCTTTCGAAAGTCAGCCACAAGCATTTTTGCTTTTAGCTTGAGCTTTTGCTATTGATATACCATCAAAGTAATGCTTCAGGTTTTAAAAGTAGCAGCTAATGAGCATATTCCTTTCCTCAAGAGGAGTTTTGATACTGACTTGTGTTTATTTTTACCTCTCATCGTCTACAGCATATTCTCTTTGATTACTTCAACTACATGTTCATCTGGGTCGGATCTACACAGTCTACCCAAAACAGAAACACTACAAACACCTGAGAACCACATTTTCTTAATTCCAGGCAATGGTGATTCCTGGGCCATTGACGGCCTCGTCATCGGTGGAAACCTCATGGGCAGTAACATGCTGTCAGGAGACTTTGACTCAGGAATCTCAGAGGAAGATTGGCTCTTCTATCCTGGAGCACGGCTGGATCACCTCTGCCTTCCATCTACAGATGATGATGTGCAATCAACACACCCCAGGTTCCGATTTTTTTTTAAATTTCTAAGCATGCATATAGGTTGATATGTTGACGTAATTCTGCGTCTGTTTTGTAGATGCCTACACCATAACCTAGTTCAACCACAAAGTGAATAAAGATCTTTCACATTGAATGCGACAGATCTTTGTTTTTCTCTCAGCCTTTCCTTTCTTTTCCGTATAGCCCTCATCTTAAGTAGTCACTGATGGCCTTGTGCCGGGCGAATTATGTAAAAAGAAATTGATTTTTTGTTTTGAGCTCAACTGTATGGGCAAAACATGGGACCAAATCCTGCTTCTGTCCGTGTGCCTCTTGTTTAAAGCATTTGTAACTCTGTAATTTATTAATTTCTTTTTAGTAATTTTTGTGACACTTCCTTGATATATTATGAATACTGAAACCATCTGAGCTGAAATAATGGCTGACTTTGAGTAACTTGAATTCTCGGAGGCCAGGTTGACAGCAGGTTCTAGCCTGGGCTTGGTGTACCAGCTAGAACCGGGGGAACATTCAGTGACGACGAGGGACATTGACGTCAACGAGCACACCATGGTGCAATTTGAGGTGAGGGGAAAAATGACAAATGGTCTGACTCACTGGTGCTTGAATTAAGCTTCGTCTTTCCCGGCCAGGGGGATTAATTGTGCACACAGGTGGTCACGATGGACTTCTGTGACAAGACCTTCAGCCAGATAATTACAACCGTATTGTGAAATCAAATTGTTTTGCTTTCTGACACTTTGACTTGGGTTCGAATCCTGCTCAGGGGATGGATTAGGTTTTCAGTCCATGACTGACTCAATGAATTTCCTGAAGTACAACTCAGGTGTGTTCCTTCCCTTCTGTTAAAAATGAACATTTCTTGATTGTTTTCCAGATTTCTCTAGTTTCCTGATCTGCCGTAACTCACTTGTTCACTTTTGATTGTGTTATCAAAGCTATACAAATACCTGTGTCTTTTACATCTCATTTTATCAACTCTCAATCACTGAGACATTAGGTGCTGATAATCACCACAAAAGCATTCTGGCTTTTATAAGTTTGTCTCAATATTCTTTCAGCCTACTTTGTTCACCTTCGCTCATGTACAGATCAATGTTGGCTGTGCAAGTGAAACCATATCAGCCAACCCTATCTCCCTGGAGTTCTCGCGAGACCATGGATCCACATGGAACCTGCTCAAACCAGATTGCTTCGGCCAGAACTGGTCCAGCACTGTGTGCTCCGGTCATGTTTCTGAACCCAGCGTGTATTATATCGGGGAGCTGGAACCTTGGAAGAGAGTCACCATACTAATCAATGGACTGCATATATGTGGGTATGTCTATGAATATTCATATTTCACTTTTTTTTTCAGTTTTTCAAGTTAAACTTTAAACCTGCCCTTCATTCAACTATATTTAGTCATTGGTTTCATAATTTGCTTTGGGATAGTCACTGACAAGTCACTGGATTTGACTGTCTTAAAGGTGTAAGAGCCTTTGTTATGAAAATCACATTTTGGCAGCTGTGTGAGTCTATCTTTTGTTTTCTTTTAAGAACTGTTCGTTTCCGATGGTATCAAGGCTTCTATCGGTCACATGATCAGCCTCGCCCGTGGGCTCTAGATAACGTCTACATTGGTCCTCTCTGCCCGGAACTGTGTGGTGGGCATGGAGCCTGCGTTGATGGGCACCAGTGTCGTTGTGACCAAGGTTATGGCGGCAGAAACTGTTATGCCCTCCAGCAGAACCCGCGGTACCTGAAGGAGGAGTTTGAAGGTGACACATGACAATAAATTAATGGTCATGAAACGTAATCTGTGTAATTGGAAATAGTAAACAACCTTGCCGAGTATGTTTACGGTGAAAGATTTAAGTGATGTTAAGGAAACAAGTGAAAATAATATATTCTTCTACGATTGTAGCATGTAATTTATTAACCATAAAAGGAGAACATTTTGCTTTTCTTACATTGATTAATTTAAATCCCCTAGAATTTCCCTATTAATTTTCCCAACTTAAAAATAAAGTGTTACATGCACATGATCAACAAGAAGTGCTGATAGCATATTCATACACTTCCATTTGTTATACCTTGGATGCTTTCCTGTCCTTATAGCTCCCAAGGTTGACTCAATGAAGTTCCTCCAGTGGAGTGGTGGAGAGGTGACTAACAAGTGTGGCACCCTGATCACAGGCACCAGTCTACACTTTGTCGGCAGTGGTAAAAGAATGCTGGTGACGAGGGATCTGAACCTGACTGCTGCAAGGTGAGCTGACCACAGAATATGGAACACAACCTTGTTAATTTCCAAATGAACAAAAGGATATTGGACAGAAATAGCATTTGAATCTAAGCCCTCTGGAATTCGTACAGCGCACTAGCTCTCCCATCTTGGTCACATCTTGATTATTTTTTTTTTTCGGCAGTATCGTTCACTTCTTCATCCGCCTTGGTTGCGAGCATGCCCCACCCAGTACCAAGAACCACCCTGTCCAGCTTCAGTATTCCATCAACGGAGGCGTCACCTGGAGCCTCTTGGAGGAGATGGGCTTCAACAACGACAGCTACGCAGCGCGGTACGTCATGCTGGAACTGCCCAGCGGGGCCAGGAGCAATGCCACCAGGATCAGATGGTGGCAACCATCCCACGAGGGAAGCTTCTACGATGACTGGGCCATTGATCAGGTAAGGCTGGAATCCAATCTAATCAATTGTCAACTTCAGAGGCAAGGATTCTATCCAAACATTTGATTTCTCGGTGCTTTCCATGTAAGAAATCCAAATGTCCTAGGTTGAGATTAATCTTTAAACGTTTAGATTTTGCCTGATTAAGTTTTGGGATTCTGTGAGGGTTTCTAAAAATAAGTCTCAAAATCATTTGTTCCAAGGTAGGATTACTTTTGTATTCATGAATCAGTGCTCATAAACTCAGAGTTGTAGACGAGGCCATTGCAAGTCTTCTCCTAAGACCAGTCTAAAAGAACAAGTTTAACATTAATAAAACAATGCTTTTGTCTTGTCTCATTTTCATCGCTTATGGCTTGGTTTAAGACTGAATGACTTTGTGAAGGACTCAACTGCAACACTGACCAGACTGTCAAAGTCATCAACCAGTCCTTGAGGTCACATTATTTGATTTGTTTTTGAGGATATTTCTTGAATATACACATTCCATTGGAAAACTGTGTTGGGAATGTGCTGTGTTCTAAACACACTGCATAAAACAATGAATACATTTGAAATTCTAGAGGTTTCCTGTACATTTTACAGTGTGAATGAGCTCATAAGAACTAAAACTGTTGAATTGAAATCGATTTGGTTGACTTCCCTCGTAGATATTCATCGGTGGCCACGGGCAGCCTGTGCTACAAGATGACTTTGATTCCTCCATGCAGCGAGACAGCAACGAAATCACCTCACCCCATGATCAGAATTGGCTCTTGTCTCCCGGTGGCGTCATGGAGCAGGTCAGTATCCCTGGTGTCTACGTTTCTCATCCATCTGTGTATCAACACCTCTAATACCGATTTACGAATCAACTTGGCCTGCCAAAATCAGTCAGACACCTACTCCACTATGATGTCATTCTTGGATCTTGGATATGTCAAGTTTACTAAGCAGAGATTAGAAGGAACACATGCACCTTTGGAATCCAGTGGCTAAGCAGCTGCAGCTCTTGTCATAGGCATGCTTGTTAATCTCAGCCGTAGCCAGTCAGTTTGTACACGGCTTTATCTCCATGTAAGATTAAAAAGCTCTCATCACTTACTGCAGCAACGGACCCGCATGGAAATCGTTGCCTACCTGAGGAATTAATATAAAAAAAGAAACAAATTGAGCTGGCTTCATCACACTGTGTGGCTTACTCATAAGAACCGTTGTCGATGGAAAGAGTGTTGCGTACAACAATCTTTATCAAGTTCATTTATCAAATAAATTTACAAAGGTGAGTCTGTATGAGCTTCATCTACTCAGGAGTCACTAATTATTTACCAGTGAGGACAAAGAGCTACTCACACCAGCAATGCTAAATTTCGTCAGAATGTGCACAACCCAAATGTCATTTTCTAAAATTGCATGCTGGTTGGTGTCGTACAAGTGCCCCTAGTATCTTGTTTATTACAGTTTATCAGGCGTCAGATTGAACTCACACATCAGCCTTTCACTTGCAGCTGAGGATTTTGTTTCATTCTGAGTCACGGACAGGCAAAGAATCAGGGTATCTTCACTCGATAGTGTCTGTCGTTGTAGACTAAACTCTTGGTCAGAACGGATCAACAACAGCTCAACAGTTGTGGAGAGGTTTCCAGAGTGAATTTGTGTTTTTTTTTCTGTTTTTTTTTGGCCTTTGTTCTGAAACTTGTTCACAAGGTTTGTGATTCGGGGGTGAATGCACTGCACTTCTCCAGCAATGATCTGATGCGTTACATGGTCAGCACCGACATCATGGTAACGGAGCAGTCATTTCTACAGTTTGAGCTAGCGATGGGATGCACTCGCTCCAACCAGTGTTACAGTAAGTCTGGAGTCATCCAACTGAGTGAAAAAATGGCTTTATATTCATATTCTGTATACAGTCTTGGAATGTTTGGATTACTAAGCTTAAAGTTTCAGTAAATGGTCCGGTCGAGACAATAGTTTGGTTTGGCCTGTTCTGATGATTTATGTTACTGCTTTGCTCTGTTCTCTCCCAGCCGAGTTTGGGATTTCATCATTATTTTCACTTATTCGATTCAATCTCAACTGGTCTTTTTTTAATATTGAACTTCTTCTGTACGTGGACAGGTATTAATTTGGAGTACTCTCTGGACATGGGCAAACATTGGCAACTGGTATACGGAGCATGTCTGCCGTCCGACGTTGACTGCTCAAGTTATCATCCGAGCAGCCAATTAGGTGCTGATGTCTACGCTGGCTGGAACCGTGTCGTCATGCCACTCCCTCCTCACACAAGGTCAGCCAGCCTTAGGGCCCATTTAGTCAATGGGTGATGAAGGTTTGTCTGCGTCATTATAAAAATCTGACGCAGTAGTGTCCTATGAGGCTATTAATTTGCACTGAGTGGACAAACTATATACGTGATAAAGTGGTGAATTAATGGCTGTGTTTATAAATACAGAAACCTGTGTGATTTGTCACAGATACCAAGCTGAGATTCACTTTCTGTAGCCAATCGCCAGTGTTGTTGGGAATGATGTTATGGACTGACGGTCATAGTTGAGCATGACCTTGTTGTGTCTTTGATTCTTGAAGGTTCATTAATCGACATACGGAGCCGTTCTGCCTTTGTATGGACCTTAAATCATTGAGTCATTTACCATATCCCATCACCATATTCGGTTATCACTCATCTGTGTAAATGGACTGGAACTGTTTCATTACCAGTCCATCAAAGTGAGTTTTGCCCACCTTCCAGACGCACAGGTTTTGGCTGTGTCATTCCCCAATCATCTTCATATCAACAACCTTGCCTCTTAGGTCTAAATCTACCCAATTCCGTTGGCGGCAACCGACTGGATTTGAACCATCCAGCACCTGGGCTCTGAGCTATGTGTACATTGGCTCCGAGTGTTCAACAATGTGTACTGGGCACGGCAGATGTAATGCAGGCTACTGTGTGTAAGTGACCACTTTCTTCTGGTGTTTAAATTGTATAGACTGCCATTCGGTCCATGAGGTGTACAATGTATAGATATTTTTTGGTGGATTGCTTCATTTTTCTGGGATTATGTTGCTCATTATCTAATGAGAGATCCTGGTAGTCATAGATTTATTGTTCCCTCAATAAGGCCTCTGGTCGGGACAGAAACATTCTACCAATGGTTTTTCAGAAAAAGTTTCAACTGCTAGTTATTTCCTTCGTATTGATGCCCTTCCTTGAGATCACATGACTGGATTCATATTTCCACAGTAACAAATTTCAAACAAGACCAAAAATGGAGTTGTTTAGTTAAAGTCAAAGTTAATTGAAAGACACAAACTTGCGGATTCAGAATTTGTCAACACCTTGAAGCATGTTTGGTGTTGGAGTCATGTTCTTGATTTTGAATGAACTGTGCTGTTTTTCTTGCTCTTTTGACAGATGTGATGCGAGCTGGCAGGGACCAGCCTGCGAGCTCCCCATCAGGCCACTACCTCAACAAGTCAGGGAACCATTCTCCCATCAACCTGTAGTGGCGGAAGGAGGGGTGTGGCTTAACGTCAACGGTGGGATGGTCTCCAGCGCATGTGGGCCAGTAGCCTCCGGGAAGGCCCTGCATTTTACTGGGGTAGGTCTGAACAATATTATGTAACTTTGGTTTAATAGGAAAAAAATGGAAATTTGAAGTAATCGTGGAGAGGGAGCTACTTTACATTCAGAGTCATTCTGGAATTGGAATTATGTTTTTTTTAGATTTTTATATCATCATTTCAGTTTCACTAGTTCCAGACTATTTATGTTATGGATGCTTATGTAGAAGCTTGTTTTCTGTTGGTGATGTCTTCAATCTTGGAAGCGAGGGCTGATTTTCAGACAGTTTCGGGGGGAATTTTGCCAGTTTTGATAAGAAATTTTCAGGAATCCACAAAGTGAGTCCCCAGACTGCAGAGCTACCAACATCTCTCAGCAGATCTCTGTTTTTTACCCTGTGATGCATTGAAATTGTTGCTGAAGATTTGCTCATATTCTGATCACTTTGTTTGTACCCTAGGCCTGCACGCGTCAACTGACCACCACAGATCTGGACCTAAGCCGTGGTAGTCAAGTACAGTTCTACCTTCGTTACGGCTGCCTGTCCTTGCCGACTCAACGTAGCCATAATGTTCTGTTGCAGTATTCCATCGATGGTGGTGTGCACTGGACGTTGCTTTCAGAACTCCATTACAGTAGATACTCCATGTCCAGGTAACCAGGCAAGATAACAGCACCAGAATAAGGCTATTAAGTCATTCTTAGCCATATCAGATTTGGGCATTGTTATGGATATGGCTCTGGGTTTTTGCCATTGTGCCCTATTAAGAATAGCCATAGCTGTCGACAGTCTTGTCCATCTCAAACATGGTGATGGAGGGTTTTCATTGTGGCTGTGGACAGTCATTACTGTTTGACATATGCAAAAGCCTTAGCCCAGATGCATACTCAGAGTTGAGGCTAAATTAGTGAGTGTCCAGTGAGATTTATTTCTAGATTCCAAACCTTGTCTGTGTTACCAGTGTTCTGCATCACACTTCAGTATTATGAATTGACTTTTCTGGGTCTGTTAAGACCACGGTGTGAGTCTCTGGAGTGTGTGTTTGGTTTTGGTTTCAACTGTAAAATGTTTGGAAATGATTTTTGAAGCCATCATCAAACGATGAGTTCACAAATTGGAAACACATATTGAATGTGGATGTTAAACTGTGATGTTTGCATTCATAGATATGTTCCTATTCCATTGTGCTAATTTGTGTTCCATTGTATTCTTGGACTTTGATCTAAATAAACTTTACAAAAGACCGAAAGACCATTAGGACTCTGAAATATATTTTAGAATCCTGATGAAGTCGCACTTGCTTAATATTTCACTGTATTCGTCCTAAATTGCTCATCTAAGCCTACTGGTGCAATAGGAGGTTTTTATCTTTTGCCTCCCCAGTTTTGTCACCATTACATTACCCACTGCCGCCCGCACCATTGGTACCCGGTTTAGCTGGTGGCAGCCCAACCACCCAGGACTCAACCAAGCCGACTGGGCCGTCGACAACATCGTGATTGGTGGCTCGTCAAACAGCCGACCCACCGCCATGTCCGACAGCTTTGACTCTGGTCAGCCCAGTGTGGACTGGCTGTTTGCTGACAACGCGGCCGTCCTCTCCTTCTGCAATGAATTGGACCGAGAAGGGGTGTCAAATGGGGTGCTGGACACCGCTGGGGAGAACCTGTCACTGGTCGGAGGTCTAGATCCTGAGGAAGGATCCGTGATAACAACGGTAGACCTTCAGCTACAACAAGGGACTGTTTTGGAGTTCAAGGTACCGTACTGAAGTACATGTAATGAAGTAATAGTAAGTAAGTTATGTACATGACTTGGCCAGCAATCTGCGATCATCTCTTATTTCGGTGGTTGTCATTCCTCCTGATAAGAACTATGCTTGGTGAAGGACCCCGCTCAACTTAAGTTACTCTGAGCTGAATCAAAACCTATACTTTGAAGATTTGGTTGAAGAGAATAATCATGAAATGGCACAGAAAGATGCCCATTTGTTGGAAGAATGCAAGTGCTGACTGCGAAGGATAATTGAAGACTATTGTTTATGTGCATTCATTCACTGATAATTTAGAAATTGATTGCTTGCACCTGCATCAAACACAAAAACATGTGAACCGTTTGGCATGAAACGAGTTAGAAATCTAACCCACGACAATGGCACCAGCAGATTCAAAAATTAACTGGGAACAACGCCCGTAAGCAGCTGTCCATACTGGAGCTGTCTTCGTTTGAAGCCGCAAATGAGGTCAACCGCCGCTTTATGTCTGTAGCTAAGGACATATCTGAACTGGATTTAAGCCAGATATCTTCTTACCTCCTGGCACGTAGGCCTGTCTCCTCCATTTCTCCAGAAGATGTGTTCAACAGGCTTATGAGATTGAATTTGAACAAGAGCGCCAGTCCAGACAGGTTCCCTCCACGCTGCATAAAGGAATTTGCTTATGAGCTTTGCTTCCTATTAGCTGAGATATTTAACTGCTCTCTTGAGGCCGGAGTTCTACCGGACATATGGAAAAGAGCCATTGTGATTCCTGTTCTAAAGACACAGCCTCCAAACATTGATCAACTGCGTCCAATTTTCCTCACATGTTTTTGGGGAAGGTGTTTGAAGATTTTGTTGTTAAGTAGATAATAACCGATATTAACAATTCGCTGGATAATTATCAATTTGGGTCATTGAAGGGATCTTCAACTACGCATTGCTTGGTTAAACTAATTGATGATGTAAGTAGGGAAATGGATAAACCTAAACGATCTGGTGTAGTTGTAGCTACAGATTCCTCTAAGGTATTTGAGAGAGTAAGTCACCAAATCGTTGTCAAGAAGTTCATTGATCAAGGTGTACGGCGGTCGATCATACCTTGGATTTGTGATTTTTTGTCAAACCATTTGCAAAGCGTTCGCCATGCTGGTACTTTGTCTGATTGGCAAACTATTAATGCACGAGTGCCACAAGGCACCAAGATTGGTCCAAATGCCTTCTTGGCTACGATGAATGAATCTAAACCAGCCACTGCGGAAATATTTCAGTATAAGTATGTAGATGACATAACTTTATTTTTCCCTTTTGATGAGATGGACCGAACAACAGTTTTGCAGAGTGAACTTGACAATCTGAAGCAGGATGTGGTCAGATAATAATTTCATGCGTTTAAATCCGACAGAGTGCAATTTCAGGACTGTCTGTTTTCAGCAGCCTCCTGTCAAATCTCGGTTTTACATACATGTAGACAATTTGCCGATTAACCAAAATAGTTGCCTTAAACTCCTTGGAAGGAGAATATCAAATGGAATACCCAGATTGATTCAATGTGTAAATCGTTTAATCGTAAACTTTACTTTTTACGGCAGCTGAAGAAGACATTACAGAAGAAGGCCTTCCGTATTATTCTGACCTATGATTATTGTTTGATTCCTTCATATCAGAATATTTGTGACGAACTAAATATTCCCCCAATATTACACAGACTCGAGAGGTTGACCCTCAATTTTGGCACATCACTCCTTGGTTCAAACAGATTTCAAGACTGACTTCCTCCTACCAGGAACAATAATCTAAGAAATGTAAATCACTTAACTACAATAGAATGCAAAACAAACAGATACAAGAATAGTTGCATTCCAAGCCTAACCAAGTTACTGAACAAGCAGGATAAGCTGATTAATAATGAGTGATATGGTTTGTATTGTGTGATTTCCCTCGGATCATTTGTATTATCTTTTTAACTGGTTTTATATGTATATAATGTAACACTTTGTGTTTGTGTACATGTATATGTGCATATATATGTGTATATGTCTATGTACCGTACAAACTCCTTCCTTCCTCCCCTTTTGCCTATAATTCTACGTCTAAACGCTTGTATTTGTTAGATACAATATCTTACAACTTTATTATCATACCTTTTTTTAAAACAATTTTTGTGATGTATGAATGTAGAGTGCAATTCAACCTACTGGTTGCCATAGTGTGCCTTTTTAAAATGTGAGTTTATCTTATGAAATAAACCAATAACAATAATAATAATGATCGAGTAACGTTTTGTCAGGGACTTATTGAATTCTTTGTATATCTTGCTACTTTCAGATCAGCACTGGCTGCAATGCCTCCTGGGATAGTTCCTTCAATCCGGTCCAGCTGATCTTCTCTATGGACCACGGCATCACCTGGTCACACCTGATACATCAGTGTCTTCCCTCGGAGCCAGAATGCAACGATGTCGTCACACCGTCCAGCTCTTACTACACCCACCATGGATGGAAGAGGATTTCGATTCTGATCCCAGAGGAAGCGATATCAGGGTGAGCCGAATTCCCTGCCAGGGTAGTTAGATGGAATACCCTTGTAGTCTGTACTTAATGGTGTGGTATTCCATGTTCATCATTTGTGCATGTAAGTTGCCAACATGCACCGTCCAGTTTGTGTATGTGCTTGTCAAGCTATAGGTACAAAGGTTTCAGCAAGCAGACTGGACAAGTAAACAATCTGTCCCTGACCCAGTTAACTGACCTACAACTGAAAAATAATTAATGTAGCTCGAGCAAATTGTTAATTCAGTGCAGGTTTTGCACAGCTAACACCTCAACAATATTCTAAATTCCATNGGCTATGATGAATGAATCTAAACCAGCCACTGCGGAAATATTTCAGTATAAGTATGTAGATGACATAACTTTATTTTTCCCTTTTGATGAGATGGACCGAACAACAGTTTTGCAGAGTGAACTTGACAATCTGAAGCAGGATGTGGTCAGATAATAATTTCATGCGTTTAAATCCGACAGAGTGCAATTTCAGGACTGTCTGTTTTTATCTCGGTTTTACATACATGTAGACAATTTGCCAATTAACCAAAATAGTTGCCTTAAACTCCTTGGAAGGAGAATATCAAATGGGATACCCAGATTGATTTAATGTGCAAATCGTTTAATCGTAAACTTTACTTTTTACGGCAGCTGAAGAAGACATTACAGAAGAAGGCCTTCCGTATTATTCTGACCTATGATTATTGTTTGATTCCTTCATATCAGAATATTTGTGACGAACTAAATATTCCCCCCAATATCACACAGACTCAAGAGGTTGACCCTCAATTTTGGCACATCACTCCTTGGTTCAAACAGATTTCAAGACTGACTTCCTCCTACCAGGAACAATAATCTAAGAAATGTAAATCACTTAACTACAATAAAATGTACTGTACCAACTCTTGACCTTCCTCCCCTTTTGCCTATACTTAGACTTCTAAATGCTTGTAATTTGTTAGAAACGATCTCTTACAAATTTATTATCATACCTTTTTAAAACAATTTTTGTGATGTATGAATGTAGAGTGCAATTCAACCTACCGGTTGCCATAATGTGCATTTTTAAAATGTTATTTTATTTTATGAAATAAACCAATAACAATAATAATAATGTTCCAGTAACGTTTTGTCAGGGACTTATTGAATTCTTTGTATATCTTGCTACTTTCAGATCAGCACTGGCTGCAATGCCTCCTGGGATAGTTCCTTCAATCCGGTCCAGCTGATCTTCTCTATGGACCACGGCATCACCTGGTCACACCTGATACATCAGTGTCTTCCCTCGGAGCCAGAATGCAACGATATCGTCACCCCATCCAGCTCTTACTACACCCACCATGGATGGAAGAGGATTTCGATTCCGATCCCAGAGGAAGCGATATCAGGGTGAGCCGAATTCCCTGCCAGGGTAGTTAGATGGAATACCCTTGTAGTCTGTACTTAATGGTGTGGTATTCCATGTTCATCATTTGTGCATGTAAGTTGCCAACATGCACCGTCCAGTTTGTGTATGTGCTTGTCAAGCTATAGGTACAAAGGTTTCAGCAAGCAGACTGGACAAGTAGACAATCTGTCCCTGACCCAGTTAACTGACCTACAACTGACAAAATAATTAATGTGGCTCGAGCAAATTGTTAATTCAGTGCAGGTTTTGCACAGCTAACACCTCAACAATATTCTAAATTCCAGACCAAAGTTGACTGCATTTTATTGTATAATGTTATTAAAAATCTGACTGTAATTATTCAAGTATGCAGCAAAACAAAATAATGAAATCTGTATCATCTGAGGATTTGGAATTGGACGCTTGCCAAATTTTCTAAAAACAAAATTTGTAGTTCTGCCAAGTGACCTAGTTGCTGTTTTAAAGGCACGTTTAAAGTTCCTATTAGTTTTTTTGGAAACACTAATTCCTAAATGGGGGCATGATGGGAAGAGTGATGCGTAAGAGCTGACTTGCGTGCCGTTTTCAATTACAGGCACACTCGTTTCCGCTGGTTCCAGGAAGTTCTTCCTGGTTCCCTGCCCCAGCGCTGGGCACTTGATGATGTCCACATCAGTCCAGCTTGCCCAGACATGTGCAGCGGCCACGGAACTTGTGACTACCCACAATGCATCTGTGATGAGGGATTTGATGGTTCCGCCTGTGAGCACAGTCTTGGCACAAGGGTATGTGAGCGACATTTTGACTTCGTGCCCTCTTCATACAAACATAAACCAATAAAAATCCTTTGGCTGTAAACTAAATTGAAAACCAAGTTCACCCAAATACCCACTCATCTTTTGAGGAGAAAAGTATTTTTACAATCAACAGCCTTGCCAAGAACACAACTTATCTAGAATTTTACCATGCCTTGTGATGTCATTGCCCTTGAAATACCATGAAGATATAAACTAGTCTTCATCACATGAAACACCAAAAGATCGGTCAGTTAATTTCTCTCTTTCGTCCCTCAGAATAATTTAAAGGAAAGCTTCCCGGGCCCAGACCTTGACTCCTCAGCTTGGAACTTGGTCCAAGGAGGCAGCATCACCATGTCTCAAGACTGCGGCACCGTCAGGGAAGGATGGTCGCTCTACTTCAGTGGACCAGGACTTCGAGTGGCCGAGACAGTGGACTTAGACCTCAGAGATGCAAGGTGATTGTGGTTACTTCCCAAAGCGATAACCCAGCTCAAAAGCCCCAACAGAGGGGCTGAAATAAACGTAGCTTCTTTCCTCTTGGTTCACTTTAATTTAAAAAGAAATCCAATCAACTGCGGCATTTCTCATCCAATGATGGTGCATTTCTCTGTATTCAATTCAAGGGAGCAGATGTAAGGCATTTTGGCAATTTAATAGAATTGAATAACTGTTGATTGTAGTCTCTTAATGATTAGCCTTTTACATTACTTACCAACCCAGCATGTCCCAGGTACAACTTTGTATAAAAGAATTCGTGGTTGAGGTGTTGCTAAAGGAAACCCCGTAAATTCAATACTGTTAAAATGTCCAGGCTCTCCCACTCCCTCTAACCCCCATTCCGAATTCCACGGCAAAATCTGTGCTTCAGTGTACAACCTTTTCTTTTTCAAATGATTCCAAATCTGCAAATTTACATTTTTTTTTCAGTTTTGTGCATTACCATGCCGTGATTGGTAGCCATTATGACATCCCATCATGCCTTAGGCCAGGAGGCCGGTCAGAGAGCGTCCTACTCCAGTACTCTGTCGACGGGGGTAAGGGACATTTTTGAATTGAATATGCAGTTGGTTAAGTTTTCAAAGCTAAGTCTCAGTTTTAGGAAGTGAATACTTCGAACTTTCCTTCTCAGGAGAAGTTTAAAGTTACTGTTGGATAACAACTCACAGTCTGCTGAGATGAAGGTTGAGTTAGCATAGTGATACATGTATTTGCTTTGTCTTTTACCATTGGGGACCCGGTCCAAACTCCACCTGGTGAACTGCATGGACTGGTTTTCAAATTCCAGGATGATTGTGTGGGCTTGTTCACAGCATTATCCCAACAGGATTTCCCTCACTATGATAACTGGTGAAGAGTGACTTTGCTTTATTGTCCATACGTAGTGTTTGCTAAGAGATTAACCTTACCGACCTGTGACCCTCCCAATAAATTCAAGTTGCACTTCTGATCAAATTGATAACCTAGGTTACAAAATCCTGACTGATTGCTGGCAGGATATTTCATCAGTTATTGGTTTGAATCCAACACCACTCTTTATTGCGAAAAAATAATCCAACATGGGCCGATACAATTTCCCTTGTGGGAATCAAAGTTCATTCTTAAAACACCAATTTCATTTCCATTATCCTCAAAATTTATCCAGTGATTGATTTTTTTTTGCACGTATCCTTCATTGTTATTTCACTGTGAACAATTATCACCATGGCAACTCAGGTATCTCTTGGAGCCTACTAGCAGAACTGTACTACGAGCATTACACCAACCCGCAGCGTGACTACTTCACCCTGCCTGCTGCTGCCCGCACCCAGGCAACACGACTCCGTTGGTGGCAGCCAGTTGGAGACGGACAAAGAGCCCAGTGGGCGCTGGATGACATTTATATCGGTAAGAGAAAACAGATCTCATTGAAATAAAAGACCTCATTGGCACGAATGGAAGTGCTGAAGTCACTGGTCACTCAATAGAAGCAAGTGTGTGAAGTTGATCAAGCGATGATATTCTCGTCTCATAGCAAAATTTGCCTATTACCTGATCTTATTAATATTTAGAGTGGTTAGAGGGTTATAGTGTTGAATATCTGGGTTCAGCAGTCAGTCACCTGCAGTGGCTTCAAATGGTGACTATTAAAAGCTCTGGCAATAATCATGAGCAGTTGGTGAAAACAAATTTCACACTAGTACATGAAACAATATAATTGGCACCGATGTGCATTTAGCATTAAACTGTAGTTATTGTTTAACCTTTGCCTGCTAGAACCCTTTGAATGTATGTTCTTTTGAATTCTTAGGAGCAAATGTTTAGTGTGACTGCGGTCAATATCTTTAACTTATTTAAGTGATTTTTAGGAGTTTTCATACTTGTTATTTTGGAAATTCACAATATTAATTTTGCCACGGTTTATTCGTTATAGCCCCCCCTCCCTGATACTGAAAAACTAAAAGGTCTTTTTCCTAATAACGTATTCTCAATTACACAGGCGGTTCAGAAATAAACCCCACTCACCTGAGGGAGTCTTTTAACTTGGGTCTGACTGAGACCCTATGGGACTTCTATCCGTACGGACAGGTGCAAGTCGGTGTCTGCCTCAACAGTGACAGAGCCCTCTACTGGGCCAATCGACGACACAGTCAACGAGACAGTGTAGCTGTCACCAGGCAGCTCATTATTGACACCAACTACATGCTGCAATTCAAAGTGAGTTGACACCATCTACATGCTGCAATCAAAGTGATTTGAATAGGAGGCTGTCTTGTCTTTTAGAAATTAGAAGTGTCTGCTCCTTCCGTGAGTTCCGGTTTTCTCATCTCTAAAGTTATCTGTTTTGGATTAACTTTTCGAATAACAGAAAGTTTCCCCCTTTTTTTCTTCACCACTAATTTCCCTCTATTATGCTTTTATATATTTGTTTCCCTCAAACTGATTGCTAGTGTAAAAAAACCGACTGATTGAAATTGACCATATTTTGTAGAAGCGTTTCTTGTTTTGGATATATTTAATTGAAATATTTCCTGCATGGAATTTCGTGAATGAAGTTCTATTGCGACATTCTCCTTTTCTGTCTTTTTTGCCGAAACTTTTTCAATCTAATGTTTAGTCTGATACCATCTTTTTAACCCATCAAAGTCTCTTTTTGGCCCATGTATATTTTTGCATTTTTCTGTGCCTTTGGAAGTTCTGGCGTTGAAGTTTCCTCATCATCTCTTGAGGTTTCCTGTCGTTGGCACAGATACATTCGCATTATGATTGACTTTTTTCAAAAATCCTTCTTTCTTGAACATTATCAATCTTTTTGTTTTCAAGATTGTCGTTGGTTGCCAAGATATTGCCCCGTCCTGTCTGGAAGACTTCCCCGTCAGACTGGAGTACAAGACCCATCCTACCAAGTCTGACTGGACTCTACTGAAGCCCAGCTGTCTGCCAGACGGTGGAGACGGAACGAGGTGTCAACCCAGGGAGTTTGACCGGGGCAGTATCTACACGGCTAACGGGTACAATGTCTGGCGGCGCATGGTGTATTCCTTACCACAAGAAGTGGTGTCGAGGTTAGTGCATATGTCTAGACAGTCTGCGTATCAAGCCTCCAAACTTTGCAGAAGAGCTGATGTTGGTACCTGTTGGTTTTCAAATCTTAAAACTAGTAGAGAAGATTTATTGTTGTACCTCTTTGGCTACAAACAGTTTGTATTTTTGCTTGATATTCAGAGTTGGAGTCAAACTGGAGCCTAATCATTTAAAGTCGATCTTGACATGAAGAATTGTTTCAAATGGGAACAGTATAGTTAAGAGTTTGGACTTACAGATTTTCTGCTGTTTTGGTAAAGAAATCAAGTGTATATAGATTAAAATGTGACCTGCTCATGAAGGCTGAGAAAAATGACATGCATTTGCACTGGACTCCAGCATTCTGAGAACTTGTATCTGATTTTGATACAGTCTGACTTATTGGAGTTTATCGATACGTGTTATTAAGTCCTCCAAAAATTACGTAGGAATCCACAATCAGATCTGCCAGGTTACAACCAGGACCTGTCTTCCTGGTTTTACTTTTTCTTTTGTTGTCATAGACTGGAACAGGTGGTCCAGCTGAACAGCAGTACTGCATGGTTATGGTTATGGTATACCTGAAACCAACAACCAATTCCCAATCTGTAAAGACAGTATTGTTTGACAGACTAACTAATCAATGGTCCAATTTGTTGAATTCTTTCAACTCTTTTTGTTGCAATGGCAATCTGATAGATCAGCTGCCGGTAAGCAAAATGTAAATCTGTACCTTTATGCTTTCTCTTCATTAGTTCCACCCAGTTCCGCTGGGTGCAGCTCGCTGCCAGCCAGTCAGCTCCACCCTGGTCCTTAGATGACATCTACGTCGGAGCCAGCTGCCCCAGACTGTGTAGTGGACACGGCACCTGTGGCTCTGATGGAAGATGCCAATGTGACCCAGGGTTCATAGGTCAGTAGGTCATCGAACCTATTAGATCTGTTAGTGGGATTGTTTGAAGGGTATGCAGTACATCGTGCAGTTTAAGGGCAATTTTTGTTTGTGTATTGATGAGTTTAGCCTAGCGGTCCTATATTACAAATGCTTTCTTCAAGCAAAAAGTATACTATGTTCACTGTTGATGCCCAAACAGCTGATTAATCAATTCGTGACATTCCTGACAGGTGATGAATGCGTTCCCATGCGACTCCTGCCCATCCATCTGAACGACAACTTTGAAGGAGGCATCACGGACCGCACCTGGTCGTCAGTGAAAGGAGGTCAGCTTGGGATGGGTTGCGGGGCCCTGGTACCATACGCACACGGCAAGTCGCTGTACTTCAGCCAGTGTGGGCTAAGGGAGGCAGTCACGGTGGAACTCGATACGACTAGGGCAAGGTGAGGGAATAGGTGACTCATGGTCACTCAGGTACAGAGTTACTCAATGAATGAGCAGTGAAACTTCAAAATGTTGGTATTGAGTGACACTTGATGATAATAGCTTAGATGATATACTTTTATAGCAATGTTGACTCACGTGATGAAGCATGCATCTGGAAAACTAGTCCCGATGCATACGCGTTATTTTCCCCGCTCTCTAGGCCTGTAGAGATTCCTCAATCTATCCTAGCCACCTGGGGCGTGCATAGCTTGACTCTGCCATTTCAGGCACAAACAACATTTGAGTAGTGTTCATGGCACCATCTAATGTCCCATAATGTGTTTGTGTAGTTATATTTAGTTGACAGCTTGCCCAGTGCGTGCCATCATCATGAAGGGTTGGTTGGTCTTTGTTCCTGTGGGGTAGACCGTTCCTTTTTATTTTTCATTGAATTTCATTACCAAAACAGCCTATCGATGAGGGTGAACCGTGCAAAGCACAATATTATGGCATTCACCTGTTGGAAATATTGATTGAGTCTGCATTTTTTTTACCTGTATCTAGTGAGATCATGTTTGTTCTTCAAATTGGAAGCGCCTCTCTTAACAACCCCAGCTGCTTTGTAAACCTGTCTTCCCCGGCCCTCGGCAACAAAGTCGTCCTCTTGCAGTACACAGCCAACAATGGCATTGGGTGGCATCTGTTGGAGTCACATGACCCCGCCGACTACCAGCGGGCTCAGCGCGTGTCCTACCGACTGCCTGCCAAGGCGCGAGGGCGGGCCATTCGATTCCGCTGGTGGCAACCCCAGCACGGCGGTCAGGGGACGGACCAGTGGGCACTAGATCATGTACAGCTAGTAATGTGAGTACTCTTACCGTGGGATCAAAGCCAAGTTAATGTCTTTGAGCCTTTTGTTACTGGGAATGCAGTCTCGTGTATCCTGTCACGTCTTTTGTCAGACCGTCAGTTGGTGTCTCAAAAACAGCATCTTTATACTATGCATTTGATATTGTCTGGTATCTGTTTGGGTCCTTTCACAAGTCTATTCAGACGTCCACTTACAAGTCTTGTGACAAGCCCAGTCAGGGTAAACAAGGACGAAGGAATGCCTTCTTTGCAGTGCATTTGAACACCTTGGATGACTTTAACATTTCTGGAGAGTGCCCCTCCATAACTACTTTGTGATGAAGAAGTCAAAGTCTTAGTCGCGCTGAGGGCCACGAGAAAGTGAGACTGGTGTAGGACTGATTTCTTGTCGTTTTTGTAAAAATCATTCTTCATAAAATGAGATCTGGAAGATTTTGGTTTTGTGCCTTGCCTTCTGCAGGTCTAGACGTGCCATGTTGAAACCCTACTTCATATGAGAATTCCATTACTAGCCAGCCGTGTGTAATCACCACTAAAGAGCCAAGGCAGAGTAGAAGCTAGAAATGATGGACCCCCTCTGACCAGCCGGGCCTGATCGCCTTAATCCCCCCCCCCCCGTAGGGAGGTGTAATCCAAAAGTGCATAAGCAGTGAAATTGGGACAGTTTGAATATCATGTCTAATTTGTTGTCATGGATTTTAAAATGTCGCATTTTGGAGTATTTTAGGTCAATACTTGTCAGGGTTAAAATCACAATTATCTCATTCAACGTCACTTAAAATGTAATTCCTTTTTCTTACAGTTTACCAGTGTTGGAATATGCATATTTCTCTCTCAACTTCTCTATTACGAAAAGAAACAGGGTCCCTTTTTCAATGTGTATGGAATGGGTCATTGAAACCATTGTGAAACTGGAATCTTTGGTGATGCTTTCATCTGGGAGTAATCAAGTATAATTATTATCTGAAGGAAATCAACAGATAGCTCATTTTTTTGTCCGTGTTGCACAAAAAGATTCATGTTGCTTTGCATTCGGGGCAGGACAGGGTGTTCTGTTTCTTACAAATAGTCTTTTTTAAGAGAAAGCTTCCTTAATTGTACACATTGCAAGTTTTGCTGTCCCAAAGTCCACATCTGGTAAGCTGCCTAGGGTGCTGTAAATTCTAGTGTCACACAAGTACATGGTTGTGACCTGACAAAGAATGACAGCCAGTTTTTTATTGTACTCGTCCAAACAATGGACTGTTCAATAGACCACCAAAAAACAGTACTCTTCATGTAAGTTAGAGTCATCTTGTAAATATTTTATTTCCAGCCATTGGAAAATAATTGGGGTAGGGTAGAATCATGTAACATAAATGTCAAAGAAAATTAATTATAACTCTCAAATAGTTTTATACTTTTTTAAAAACAGGTCTTCTTTGCTACCATACCATTTTGTACTTTTTTTGTTTACTTGCTTGTAATAAACCATTTAAAACAAGAAACTTTTATCTTCAGCGTAAGTCTGATTTTTGTCAATTCAGAGTACATGTAGGTCTCACAATTTTGGGTCACTTTTGATGTGCTGTGTTTGAATGAGAATTTTCTTCCCAAAAGCAAGTTCTGAGTAAAAATGACTTTTTTCTATAAACCTGTTTTGAAAATGCAGAAAACTGTTAAGAATGATAAAATATGTGCATGTAGAGTAAGTTAGCATGTTGAAACTAAATACCACCCAACAGAGTAGATTATGTATGTATATACCAAAATAACATAACCTTGAGAAGGCGGTCCAAATCGAAGAATTTCTAAAACTGGGAGTGTGCATTTAGACACATTTCAAATGTCCTGTCACTTCTGAATATGTTAAAGTGTTGGACACTTGTCAGTTTTTATTCTTTGTCTTCATACACACATGTCTCTGTGTTACAGAAATTGGTTTGATCATGGAGGAAGGAACACTCCATGGTTTGATGCCATCCAAGTTTTGTTTTTTTAAATACCAATCTTATGTATTTTTATATCATTTACAAAATTAATTTTGCCACCTGACTGTCGGGTGGCTACTCAATCTGACAGGCAAGTTCCATTGACATTACAACCAGAACCAGGCCTGCCGCCTAGCAAAGAGAGCCCAGAATTAGGATGCGTTGCGTAATTTCTTTTGTTCCCTGTTTTCGTAAATAGCAGTGGCCTTCATTACAAATGCGGCCAGATTGGCGTGCATTGCTGGAGAGCAAGATCACTTTCCTTCCTGCTACTAATCCCCATGTGGGCAGAATGCCGCATGACCTCCGCTGATGCCAACTAAAAAAACATGGCAATTCCCAGCAACTGGTCTTTTGTTCGAAGTACGGTCTTTTGTTACTTAACCAAGCTCTTTGTCCGATTTCGGTTACCCGCGCTATGCGCTCAAACCCAAGGTGCCCACTTCCTGTGCATGGTACCAGAGACTTTGTCAATATATTCATGGCTGGGCTACCCGAAATCAGAACTTTCTTTTAAAAGCTGCTGGGCGTTTATAGACAAATTTTACTTGTCAGTCAAAAGCCCACGGCCAGCGGAGGTAATTCCATCACCGATAGGGCAAGAATGGATTCCCAGAGCCGGAGACCAGGTCCTTTATTCATGGCTGGGGGAACCGAACTCGGAAAATACTTCGACAAAAGACCCACCTGCTGGGCCCTGCCAATTAACGTTCATAATTATGCATAGTGCTGGCATTAGCGGAGGTAATCCGTCATTGTTGACAATTGTTTGCCGCTGCCAGCGCTGGCGCCCGAGGAGAATATCAGCTGGGACAAAAGCAGGTTCCGGGAAAGAGCGATACAATGACGATACCGCCGCACGGGGTTCATTACTATGCATGCTGGTGTGCCCCGCTCGGATTACCCTCACGGTCACACAGTGCTAGCAATGTACAGTACATGTACATCCATGTATATACACAAAACAGCATCTTTTGAGTAATTTTCATATCACAATATTCATTTTGGCACTTAACAAATATCTGAAAAATAACGACATGAAAGGCTTTCAAGGGGTGTATATATATAAAATATATACGAAAAACATCAGTTTTACAATGTGAAAAGATAACATCGCAAATTTAGATATGCTCAAGCCTTGGTGAAAATTACGACATGAACATGTAAATGAACAGTTTTTAAATTTTCCGCTTTCAAAAATGCATCACGTCATTTACTTGAGGTTTACACCCACGGATAACCGTCTGGTGGCTATACTCGAATCAGACTGGAAAGTTCCATTGACAACCAGGCCTTCCGCCTGGCAAAGAAAGCCCAGAATTAGAAGGTGTTGCATAATATCCTTTTGTTCCCTGTTTTCGTAAGTAGCAGTGGCCTTCATTACAAATGCGGCCAGATTAGCGTGCATTGCTGGAGAGCTGGAGTACTTTTCTTCCTACACCATTGGGCTGAATGCCGCATGACCTCCGCTGATGCCAACTGAAAAAATATGGCCGACAATTTTCTCCGGCTCTGGGAACCCCTTGATGGAATTGCCTCGGCTGGTGGGCTTTTGACTGACAAATACTTTTCTAAAAACGTCCAGCAACTTTTTAAGAAAGTTCCGATTTCAAGCTGTGAATATATGGACAACTTAGTCTCTGGTACCGGGAAGCGTAAGTGGACCTCTTGGGTTTGTATGCGTAGCGGGGGTAACCAAAATCGGACAAAGGAGCTTGGTCAAGTTAGTAACAAAAGCCCGTACTTGGAACAAAAGACCAGTTGCTGGGAAGGGCCTTTATATCTGGGGGAACCGAACTCGGAAAATACTTTGACAAAAGACCCAGCTGCTGGGCCTCGCCAATCAATGTTCCTAATTATGCATAGTGCTGGCATTAGCGGAGGTGACCCTTCATTGTTTGCCGCTGCCTGCCCTGGCACCTGAGGATATCAGCTGGGACAAAGCAGGCTTCGGGAATGAGCCATACAATACCACTGCACAAGGTTCATTATGCCGGTGTGGCCCACTCGGATTACCCTCACGGTCACGCCGTGCTAGCAATGTGCATGCAGAGTACATGTACAATGTACATGTACAAAACAGCAGTGCAACAGCGTTCATTGTGCCCCTGCCTGACACGGCTTATCCCCACTTCCCCACGAGCGGCTAGAGAACAAAACCACGGTGCATCCGCCATTGCATGTACAGTCTACTCTGTTAGGTCTCAAGTTACAAGCACACGCACCATTGCAGCGCTCTAAAAATATGGCCGATGAAGTTATATCTGGCGAGTCCAGTTATTCCAGTGACGGGAGTGAATTTTGGCAAAGTTCTGACGAGGATTTTTCATGTCCTTCACCACCGGCACCTGCCCAAGTACACTCGAGTACTCGTGATGTAGATATTGGCGTACCCTTGCCGGTGTACGTCAAGCAAGAGAGACTGTCCCCGACTGCACAGGACGTCGAGGGCGGGAGGCTGTCCCCAACTGTATACATGTACGTCAAGCAAGAGAGATTGTCCCCGACTTGGCAGGACTTCGAGGAACAGTTCCCTACTGCGGAGGCTGCCGCATCAACCAGCACCCGTGCCCCATCGTTCCAATGGAATGACGAGGACAGCACGCCGCTAAAGTACGGCTTCACCGGTAACGGCGGTGCTGTCGACCCCCGCCTGCATCCCAGCTGCACCTGCAGTGAGTCGTTTGGGGTGTTTTTTGACAACGTTCTGTACAGCAACATAGTCCAAGAAACCAACCGATTTGCTGCACAGAGACCCGTCACGACATCAGCACACATGAGGTCATGGACTGATGTGAATAGCCGAGAGCTAAAGGCCTTTCTGGGCCTTTACATCATGATGGGTATCACAAAGCACCCCACCCTTCACAGCTACTGGTCGACTGATCCACTGCTGAAGGCAAACCTTTTTCCATCCGTCATGCCCCGAGACCGGTTTCTTGCCATACTTCAGGCCCTACACTTCAATGACAACAGCGCCATGCCGGAGGACTGCCCTGACCGCCTGTTCAAGTTACGTCCTGTCATCGACCATCTCCTTGAGAGGTTCTCCACTGCGTACATCCCACAGCGGGACATTGCTGTCGATGACTCCTCGTTGAAGTTCTTCGGGTGTCTTCGCTTTGGCACCTACAACCCCAGAAATCGAAAGAAGGCCCGCTTTGGCATCAAGGCGTACAAGTTGTGCCAGAGCACCGGGAACGCTGCCGGGTACTGCTACAACTTTAAGATATACACCGGCCAAAGCAAGGGAGAGCTCCCAGCTGCGACACAAGTGGTCATGGACCTTGTGAGCAGTCTGAATGGCAAGGGCTACAACCTCGCCCTCGACCGGGCCTTCAGCAGTCCTGATTTGTATCGCCGGCTTTACTGCGAGAAGTTCAACGTCGTCGGCACGGTCATGCCCAACAGAAAGGGCATGCCCGAAGACCTTAAGTCGGTCAAGCTCCAGCGAGGTGAAACGGCGTACCAGTCGGCCGACCTCGGTGCGAACGGTTCGCTCCTGGCAATGGTATGGAAAGACCAACGGAATGTGTGTATGCTTTCCACCATGCATACAGCCGAGATCCGTGGCACCGGCAAGCGAGACAGGACGGGGGCAGAAAAGCGGAAACCTGCCTGCGTCATCGAGTACAACGCCCTGATGGGGGGCGTTGACAAGAGCGAGCAGCTAGCGGCTAGTCACCGAGCAATTCGGAAGTCCATGAAGTGGTACAAGAAGTTGTTCTTCTACTTGCTGGACTTGACCCTGGTGAACAGCTACTGTGTGCACCTGGCCGTTGGTCACCGCCTCTCCTTTCTCGACTTCCGCTTGCAACTCGTCCGTGAACTTCTCGACGAACCCTTGCCCCATTACCGACCCCAGCGCGATGCACCGCCAGTCAGCAACTCCCGCTTTGTTGGCCGCCACTTCCCCATTGTCGTGGGAAAGACCGACTACGGTGAATATCGCTACCGGCGATGTGTTGTGTGTTCTTCCAAAGGGCTACGAAAGAAGACGCGACACGAGTGTGACTCGTGTAACATGCCCCTCTGCATCGACCCATGCTTCCGGGAGTATCACACTGTCCACTAAGCTTTGCATTTCCTTGACATTAATTTTGTGCATTTCATGATTTGTGGTACTTTATATAAAGTGTAAAAGAATAGTTCTTACGTTAAGGGCAAAACCCGTTATAAAAATATCTCCCAACACAAAAGTACATCCTGAAAATAGTGACATATAGTTCTTGTGAGTTTAGACACTATTTTTACGTCTTGAATGACAGAAGTGAAGTTTGCATTTCATTGGCATTATTTTTGTTTCATGAGTTATGACACTATTCCATCTCTTAAACTACAAAGGGTAAAAGAATAGCTTGTTTACTTGTGAGTTGTGGCGCTATTGCATCATCTCGAAAATGCGAAGGGTTAAAAAATAGTTCTTTGTACATTTGAGCTGTGGCACTATTTCATTTCTTGAAGATGACAAAAGTAAAGAAATTTCTGGTACTCATTTCAGGAGTTGTGGCACTATTTCCGGAAAAATGCAAAGGGTAAATTAATGTTTTAACAAGGTGTTATTGTTCTCGGTAATAGTTTTTTTCATGAGATGGCTGCCTTGTACATACATGTACATGTACCTATTGGTCATCTTACGGTGCCTTTCCTTGTAGCTGTAAATTCTGTTGCACAATCAAATGCAGTGTAAACTGACAAACAATGACAGCCAATTTTCTCCACACAATGGACTGTTCAAGAGACCACGAAAAACAATTAGTCTTCATGAAAGTCAAAGTCATCTTGTAAATATTTTATTTACAGCCATTGGAAAATAATTGGGGTAGGGTAGAATCATATAACATAAATGTCACAGGAAATTAATTATAACTCTCAAATAGTTTTACCCTTTTTGAAAACAGGTTTTCTTAGCTATTATACCATTTTGCACAATGTTTTAAAACAAACTTGAATCTTTTTTGTCAATTCACAGTAGGTTTCACAATTTTGTCAATGTTGGTGTGCTGTGTTTGAATCAGAGCTTTCTTCCCTAAAGCAAGTTCTGGCGTAAGAATGATTCATTATTCTATCAATCTTTTCCTAATCTGTTTTAAATTTGAAAATGCAGAAAGATATTGATGATAAAGTATGTTACATGTAGAGTAAGTTAGCTTGCTAAATTCATATACCACCCACCAGAGAGAAGATTGTGTGGGTATATATCAAAATATAAATGTGTAGGTGGTCCAGACGAATTTCTAAAACAGGGAATGTGCATTTAGACATTACAAAAGTTCTGTCACTGTTCTGAATATGTTACACTTTCTGAAAGAAGTCTTGGGCACCGTCAGTGTGTAAAAGAAACCAGTTTATTTGTGCCATCCAAGTTTTGTTGTTTAAAAATACTAAACTAATCTTATACAATTTTGTATCATTTACAATATTTATTTTGTCACTTTGTCACAAATATTCCAAATATGTGAAATATTGCAACCAAGAAATCAGTTTTACAATGAGAAAAGATATCAAAACATTTAGATATGCTCAAGGTGAAAATTATGACAATGGGAACGGAACTCTTTGTGTTCCGAGGAAGGCTTTCAGCCAAAAAGAAAAATGAAGTCATAAAGTCGATATTTGCAAGTAAAGGGCTTTTGGAGGTGTACATGAAAATGTATGTGAACAATGTTTTAAATGAGATTGAAATTATTCAAAATGCGTGTACCTTTGATTGCATCTTACAAATTATGAATTGGCCATAGTTTACTACAGACCTTGCAAATTACAACTTTTTTAATTACAACTGTTAAATTCCCCGGTCTTGAACACATCAGGACCGTAAAGATGAAAATGGAATATTTCAACAGTTTCAAATATTTTCATTACCAGTAGCATACAATTGCTAAACAGATTGTTGATAGCTTCTACATTATTTTTCAGGATCATTTCCCAAAAAGAAAAAAAAATCTGATATACATGTAATTGACAAGACTTTACATTCAGTTATTGATTCATGCTAAAATGAATTTTTAAAAACAGGAAAAGTTTAATGATATTGAGCCATGCAAATCCAAGGTAACAGCCTCTTATAAAGAAAACAAAAATTCCAAGTGGAAAGAAGCATTTGTTGTTAGAATTTTTTGATTAAACAAAACTCATACATTAATCACTTGGTCATTTCATACATATTCATAAGCATCGCACCCTCCTCATTGGCTAAATTCGGGTGAACAGCTAATCTGGTTCTCTGGTGAGAACAGCATTGATTTGGTGACTTCAAGACATCCCGCAATTGTCTACCAAATGCCATCAACCAGTACGGACTGTTTGCTTGGAAACATTAGAATGTTTCCGCTGGTCATTTCACCAAAACCTAAACTGGTTCTCAAACCCGGAAAGTTTACCAGGCCTTTAGAAAAGAACAATAATTTTTGAGTTGGCAAATTCTCACATTCAATAATAACCAAGACGTGTTAAAAACCTTTGAAATGGGGTCATATTAAATACAATCGCTACCACCGCAAGATTTCAATATTCTCAAGAACTGTACCCTTGACGATGTTTAATTGGCCACTAACTTTCTATAGGAATGCTAACGATCCATTCACCTGTGCATGCATTCTATGATAGTAGCCCATCACATAAAATATGCCGAATTCTTGGACCATTCCTGGAAAAAAAAAACTCCTGAGTTGTGACTCCGCAAGCAAGACTCCTTCATAACTTCTCAGCCACAACAATTAGCCTTAGACAATTGGAATGCAGTCATACATCTTACCAGTAGTCCTCGGCAATACCGCTCCACCGTATGCATTTGTAGCAGCCCCAAGCAACGATGCCGAGGACAGACACCCTCAAACCCCAGCGCAGGACACGCCCAGCCAGAGACGGAGGGGGAACACTGTAACAAGTAGATTAAAAAAGGGACTTTGACCTTTTTCTGACAAATTTAGTCACACAGCACAACCCCTAAAAGTGACAGTACATTCCAAACAGAAATGGGGAAAGGAGAGATTTCACTCACCAAAACACCAAGTGGTTCCTAAAGCTAAGATACAAAGTGATTCCTGTCCACAAGACAGCACTGAAAACTCCACACTCAATCATTCTTTCTTTGCCTGGGCTCACCTCACAAGTTCTTTGATGTCTTCAAGACTTGCCGGTTTCTGCCAGTGGTTGATGATACCTGGCACGTGACCAATTCCAACCACACCCACAACAACTGGATGACCTACAACTGAAAAAAAAAAACCAACGACCAGTAGAATTTGAGTTCTCTGGTACAAGAAATTCTAAGAGCTATTTCAATAACATTTAAGCATTGGTCAAGTCATCAAGTTTGAATCAATAAAAGTAAACAAGTCATTAGATAGTCACTGGTCATTAATTAGATAAGACAAAATAAATAGTGAAAGTTCTCTCTACAAAGAAGTAAGGCGGTCCAAACTAGTCATCCCTACAGTCCATTACCCTCCCGATTCAATACAATTTTGTACCAAACCCTAGGGGTGTTACAATTAAGGTGAGGCTCACAAGCACCATAGTACTCAGTAAAGATGCAATCAAGACCGAGGACTGCTCAAAGGTACATGTACGCAAAACCTCTCAAACGCCAGAGTTATTGGGTTCCAGGGGACATCAGACACGTATCTACCACACCCAAAATTGTACATAGATTATGACAATCCCTCGCGCCCTCCTCCCCCGCTAGTGGACCCATGTCATGTTAGAGGGGTGTTATACCTACCTTCATCTTGCATATCTTGGGGATATCTGAGGGACTCGGCACACAGTCTAAGCGAGTTGGCCAGGTACATGTCTCTCTCTGCCACAAAGACCTGGCTGAGCGTGGGGAACTCTCCCATCATCTCCTCCAAGAGTTCCATCAACAGGTCTTTCTGCTTGAAGCGTTCAACGTCCTCAGGACTGCAGACGCACAACATAAACTACTTATACTAAGTAATCAGGAAAATACTGGCATATTAAGTGTTAAGGTGCTGAAAAATGATTCTTCATTCATGATAGGCAGTTTTATTGGCAGCTAATTACTTTTTGGTTATACATGTAACGAAGAGGGTGAAATTAAGGTCAAAAATCTGACCTGTTTGGCCATATGCTTTATTTTTTCCAAGCAAATGTTGGTGAGATTCCTCAGACCGTTCATAAATACTGTCTCAAACAACCACTCTTCTTGCATTATAGTTCATGGTTACAAGTGTACAACTTACAGCAAATAGCAACAGTGTTTAATGGAGTAAGACACGGCAGTTCATATAACCTTAACTCTAGCAGAGGGATGACACATGAGCACAGTACATTAATGTGTCCAATTTCACCTCTGTGACGAACAAACCTGGAGGTGCCGTGCTAGGCCGACAAACTTACGTGATTGGATCTTTACTTGTCAGCAGACACCAAGCAAGGCGTAGTTTCTGGAATATCGTCAATGCTCCCATAGCTCTGTTCAGGGTGATCTGAATCGGTCTGTCACCCAGATGAACCTTGCAGCCTGGAACTTTCTGTGCCTGATGTGATCAGTTTGCAAAATATCCAACATTTCTGATATTATCTGATATTGAAAGAAGTCCCACTAAATGAATTAACACACCCATGTACCTGGAAATCAAAAACACGAGATTCTTAACCATTTCAGATTCAGCACAGAGTTTTTCAATTGTGGCAAATGCGGAGAGTGCATCTTTTCCAATCAGAAATCAGCTGTTTCAAGACAGTCTTGTGTCAGAGTTTTCCCCAAAAGCTAGCAACCTCTACACCTTGGTACCCTCAGGGCTTACCTCCTGGAATGCCTTCCTGAACTCTCCACCAGGTGCCATGCCTAGTTCCTTGGTCAGGTGAGCTGACATATGGAGTAATAAGACCTGCATCACTCCACCAATCAGTCCGTGCTGAGATCAAGAAAGAGTGAGAAACAGTGAGCAGGGGAGTGATGGAGACGGTATGCAAAGTATTTAATAATCTCTGATGATAGTCAAGTTTTTACACAAGCAAACAAACGTTTTGTCCTCATTTCAATTACCACAACTCATACATATTCATGCCGGAGACAAGCTCTCATTGGTCCATTCATCATCACATGCCAGCTGGTACATTAGCTATTTATCAGGCAAACATCCCCTCACAAATCACGCATGATCATGAACAGTACCCCAGGAACAGTTCAGTGAGACTACTACATGGGTGAAGGAGGTACACGGAACCATCGCCTTAGCTACGTTACATGCACACTACACATGAACAGATGGCGGCTAGTGTACATGCACCCTTTCTCTTGCTCCTGGGGAAACCAGTTAATTAACTTCCAATACCTTGGGGAGCTAAAATAGACTATTCACCCTTAAATCATGTGACACTTGTATACCACCGCTTTCTCGTCACCAGTGTCGTTGTGGCATCAATGTTGTCATGGAATGATGTGTCATACAAAGCTACTCAAGAAAAAACTGGCATTTTACATAAAGACTGGGCTCTGCAGTCCTGAATCCAACCAATTCAGCTGCAACCATTTCCATAGCTTCAGGATACGCATAACTGGGATATAGTACACGTGCAATATGAGACCAGGCCAATAGTCTACTATTTACCTGTTTTATAGAAACTCTTAGTTTCTCCATGTTGAGTTCTTTAGCTTCCTCCAGTAGCGTCTCCTCATCAAGCTGAAGAATGCTGAGTCGACCTTTACAGAGTTCAACCATGACTATGTCTGGTTGCACTGCCCATATTAACTGTAAGTAATCAAAAGAATGCAAACAAAAGTAAGGCCCCATCCCAAAGACACAATCGGATTTTTTCAGTCACATGCTTTTTGACAGTCAGCGTTAAAGTTTCACAGATGTGTGCGGAAATGCAAGCAACTTTGAAGTCTCTCAACATTTTTGTGTGCATGAAAATGCTCATAGACAGATTCAAAAATGCACATGCCTCAATGGACATGGCACGCTTCCTGACATGCGTTTGCCCGTCATATTACGTCAGGAGAAAACCTCTATAGGCATACTGGTCAAACATCAACTGCTTATCTACCATTTCTACTCAAATGATCTTACCACTCAATAGATACCATTCAGTGTTTTTTTTTTTGGCAAACTTTTTCACCGTTATTTGCTAGCACATATTCGTTAGTGGTTTCATATATAAAACGAAACAAAAACCCCCCAGATGTATCAATCTTTTAAAGTGGGGACGTCAGACATGGCAAACTCATGAAGGGAAAGGGATAGGTAAACTAGGCATTGTTTACAAGTCCTCTGAGCACAAAGATCCTCTCAACGTTGGAAAAGGACAAATGAGATGAGGCCATTTGAGTGCCATTGCTGCTATGTGCCTGTACTCTGGCAAAGATGCTGTGTTTGTGCACATTCCAATGAAAATAGGTCAAATATAATATGCCATGCCATATGCAGACAAAAACCAGCGTGTGTACGCAATGTGTACTGGGGTCTCTTGAGCAGGCCACAGAGCTGTAGTGAATACATTCCTTACTATCATTACCTCAGCCACGTCTTGTTGGCTTTGTTCACTGAAGTGAGCTGTACCGACGACATACACCTTCGCTCCGTCTTCTGTCTCCAGTGTCGTGACAGTGTCCGGTAGCTGCGGGTTCTCTTGTCTGAGGTTGTACTTGACCCTCAGCAATTCCACGCCACTAAATTCCTCGTCACCGTCCTCGTCTGAGGCTTCGCCGCTGCTGCTCACATCGTACTCGCCTCCACTGCTCTCGCTCTCCTCCAAAATGCCGTCAGCCTCGTCCGAGTTAATGTGGTAGCTGCCTAGGTCGCTCTCGCTGTCGTCGCACATGTCGTGCTCGGCGTGGTCGATCAAGTCCTCAATGACTTGGTTGGGGTTAGCCTGGTCATTCTGAGCATTGTCTTGCTGACCGCCTATTTGAGCACCGTCTACGTTGTCGTCAACCTCCACTGAGAGAGGTCGGTATGTTCCTTCATCTAATCCTGACTGATCCCGGAAGAGCTGGTCAGCATTAGGAGAGTAGCTTCCTGATTCACTCACGCTGTCTCCAGCACTATCCTTGTCGCTGTTGAGAACATAGTTCCCTTCTGTGTTGCCGTCATCACCATCACTGTAGTCCAAACTCTCATCATTGTTATCGTTGACTTCCAATGATGGCAACTTTTCGCTGGTTTCATCTGTGCCAAGAACCTCACATGGCGACATCAAATCACCACTTGATGACCCATTAACCACTATACCGCCTGTACCAACGAAATGAAATACACGTTTATTTTGTTTCATTTTATAAAGCAAGTAGCCCTACTTCTTTTTTAAAAAGAATTTAGGAAAGAAAAATTGATTTCTGCTTTTTGTTTTCGTTCGGTTTTTCAAAAAAACAAAGGTCTGTGCATTAAACACTCTAGCATTGAAGCAGTGATTCACAAATTCACTACTGCTTAATTTTCTGCATATATACAAATATGCAGAAATTCCCAAATCTAAAGTTTATCACAATCTTCAATTTCAGTAACACATCTAAGATGACTTAAAACCAATATGACCAAACAAATAATTAGACCACGCAGACTCAGCAACTGTGGTACCAACTCACGGTTTTAAGTTTCTTCTTAAGACTTTGGTCTGTCATCTTTGTCGTCCAATGGACACATAGGCCTAATTAGTGCCTTGGCCAATAACATTAATGGTCTAGAAATAAACAAATTCAAACATCACCATGTCTATCTTCCCAAGTAGATGCTGACTGATGACTGTCGTCTGCCATTTTGACCAGATGACTGACCAGTCCAACAGCAATGAAGCAGAGCAGCTAAAACTATAACATTGGTAGGCCCTTATTTTTTAAATATCTTGACTAGGGCAGGTTGAAGCTTACTCTGGCCCCTAGACCACGTAGACTAGAAAGACTACTTTGTCCTGCTTGTCGGAGTCAAAACTTCGCCCTTAACTTCACAAACTAATGATCTGACGAGATAATTCCGACTGAAAAATCTATTAAGTCAAAGAATTATTATGTTTAACACTAAGCTTTAACTGAATTCGTTAAGAAGATGTAATTTAGGTATAAAATCTCAACATGGTCATGGACACAAACATGCTGTGGACCAATATGGCACGCTCAGTCATGCATGCATGCAGCATAGCAGATACTGCAGCTAGCATGCAAAGCAGCATTTATTTTGTGCATTATTAAATGGTTCGCATATTTCTCTAGTCAATGCACGCGTAAACACGGATACCAGTGATAATAATACCGCCTACCGAATGGGACAGGAATCCAGACATTAACTTATTTAATTTTATTTTACTGAGGTGGCCAGACTACAAAATTGCATGTTGTTCAGCGCGCAGGCAATGGCTGGCTATCCAACGTGACCTATGATCATCACTCCCCGATCATGTGTACTGGTTGAAAAGTAGGTCAAGCATCATGAATTTTTGTGACAACCAGCTGCCATGGCTTTACCAGAAAACCATACGAAAGCTCTATATATCTTTCGACATGTTCGAGATAGGTAGGCCATAAACATAGTAAACAGAGCTTCTCTATGGTGCTCAGTATTGTACTGTAGGTAACAGGCAGGTGGGCGTAGTGTACTGTACATGCATTATACCATGATTATACCATTAACACAACAAGATAAGAGGGCGGGACTCTACCCCCAGAACTGTGGGGTTCGACGTCCGCCCCGCGCTCCTGAGGAAGCGTGTGGACGTTGGACCCCACAGTTCTGGGGGTAAGTGTTGACAGCAATGAACACTGGAGACAACTAAATTTTAGATTGAGCACCGTTTAAGAGGTCCTTGATCATGTTCATATCCATAATCCAGGTTAACTTTTAGGCCTAAGTCAAATTTAGGCTAATGTCAGAAAGATTTTCCTAACGGTAATGTGCATGACCGTATTATTGGCAGGTCCCTTACCCTTTACTTTGAAAACCAATCAGACTTAACAGTACAGTAGGTAGCAAAATTAAGGACCTGGCCACTGTACGGTCACATACATTTATACTACACGCCGGACATCACTTGACACCATGTGCACAGACCCAGTGAGGCTGGTCTGAAAAGGTATGTTCTAAGCATAGAACAAGCATATTTCCCTACTTAAAGTAACTTTTTAGGACGTTATTGCTTTCCGATGGCTGATGTACTACTGTCAGTGACCATATCGGGAAAGATTTGTGATGTCCATATGAAACTCTTCCCAGAATTATTTTCCTACATTGCGATTTATAGTACTTCCTGTATTGGCTTTCTGGAGCTATATATGCAATCACACATATGAAGCCAAACCACAGTTCATAACCATGCACAATGCATGACATCTAGATGCTCAACCAACCATCAAAACTTTGTGTGTGTGTTTTGTGTTTCTTTTGGGGTGCCACCCCCCCCTTGATTCACCCCTGGCCATATTTGGGGCATAGCAGGTTAATGACCCTCTTTCTTCTCTGAAAACCCTTAATCTCTACATACAAGCAGTAAAAGCCACTGTCTTTTTAACTTTTTGTTTGGGTGTATGTGTCGCCCTCAAAAATGGTCCGATGTTGTATTCTTCCCAAGCTTTGTGTCATCACCGTCATGTGTTGCTGCCTGTAACTGCATTTATTACATGCACACTGATAATGATTCATGTTGCAGTTAAACAGAAGCAGAGATGAGAAGTTGCTAACAGCCATCATTTAATCTAGATTAAAAAATGAATTGTGCATAATTAATTAATTGGAATGTATTATAGCAAGTTATTTATATCAATTTTTTTGTCTTGCATTTTTCGCTTTTCTTGCAAGTTGAAAGATTTTGTCTCAAGTCGGAAGACTGAAAATTCGTTGCAATTTTAAAGTCTTTTCTTTAATCCACTGCTTATTAGAATATCTAATGGTAGGGTTGAAGTTGTGCAAGAGTGGCTAAAAATGCACAGAGCCTTCAAAGGCAGTTTGAAAATTAAAAAAATACTTGAGCCTAAATATCAAATCCACTGCCTCATATACATGTATCTCTACGCAATTAACATGAAAAATGAAGTTGATCTTTTTTGTTTGCCTGTATGGATCTGGATGCTGTAGCAATGCTATGATGCATCATGGGTAATGTGGAGACACACAACTTGCCTCCAGTCAGGCCAGATGAGAGGAGACAGTTGAAGCTGACGAGAAAGATCACGCCACGGCAATATCAAAAGGTACAAGGGGATCATTAGGGAATGGGAGGGGACAGGGAGAACAGGGGGTGGGATAGACCTTGCAAAACTGTGTTGAGAGATACCCCACCTAACTACTGGATTGTCGACTTTTAAGAGAGTTGAAAGTTAGTCATTGATTTCATTCACTGATGCAACAAAGTGAGGTAAACTTTGAAGAGACAAGCGTTCTTTAGCTTGTAGAAGTTGTTTGGCCCCCTTCAAGTTTTGTTTTCCTCTCACCTTGTTTAAAAGTAGCCACCGAGCTTTAAAATCTGGCCGTCAAGTCTAAGATTTTGGGGTGCCACGTTTACATTCTGGAAGATTTCATCTTACTCCAAATTATCTTGATGAAAGAAATGGTCTGTGGATGTCTTAAACAATACTTGATCAGTCCCCACCAAGTTAAACAACTTTGAGAATGCTGATACTAGAGACATCAAAGTAGGGCTAACTGAAGTCTGTTGATTTTGTTTGTTCAGCATGTTGATGGCAGCAATGATATTCCGGGTGCTCTGACTGCGTTACCATGGGAACTGGTAGATTCCATCTCACTGTATGAACACCTGGATGTTTCTTTCAACCTCCTGCACTGCTTGCCGTCAGAACTTCCCATGCGGCTCCCTCACCTGGCCTTCCTGGACCTCAGTCACAATCGCCTCACCAACCTCCCCGAGAGCTTTGCCCTCCTGTTTCACCTCAGCACTCTCCTCCTGCACCACAACGTGTTGCAGGTGCTACCCGAGTCCTTTGTCAACCTCGTCAAGCTGGAGAGACTGGACCTGTCCCACAATGCCCTGGAGCGGCTCCCAGGGGGCATGGGCCGAATGGAGTCCCTGAGGAAGCTGAAAGTCAGCGACAACTTTCTGACCACGCTGCCAACCTCCCTTGGACAGTCAGACTGCCTTGAGGTCATCTTGGCCGTCAACAACAGATGTGTAGTTCCGCCGCAGTCTGTTTGCAATGAAGGATCAGATGCCGTGCTGAGATATCTGAGAAAGCAATGCAAGAATGGTGTAGCAACCACCAAAGGAGCAGACCAAGGCAACATCTTCATAAGAACTAGAGGTGTGACTGTCTTTCCTCAAGTAAAGATATAAGCTTTTCCAGTTAAAGGCCATAGGGCACCAGTGCACCTATAACTTGTAATATTCAGACCACAGGCTTTAGTACTATGGCACTCCCACAGAGAAAAAAATGAAACATTGGGCAAGTTTGACTGAGCATTAATCAACCTCCTGGTCCATTTTGCCTGGTACCCAGGATGTGTTTTGTGCACAGGTTGCCGGGGAAAATTGCCCCGTGGTAGATAAGTGGCCATATCTCAAATCTACCCATTGATGTCAGTGTTGGATCTTCCCCCGACATGCAGTGAATTCAAACGGTGCACACTTGCACATTTAATGTAGACTTATTTCAGTTTTCATGTTAAAGTCTGCAATCTAAGTCAGTAGTGAGGAACAGCCTACTTTTTTGTAAAAGCTCTCATTTTAAGGCAAAAGCTCACTGTCCCTGGTATGTGTGCAGTGATTTTCAAGTTGAAGCAAATCTGCACCAGTGAAATAGCCTCATTGCTGAGATAAACAGCGCCCTCTTAGTTCATTGATGGAGTCTATACACCGGTATTACCAATAAATAGCAAAGTATTTTGTCAGCACTTTTGGATATTCTCACTTGCAAAGGGCTTGATTGCAATATGTCTATCATGCCAATGTTCAACCACTGACGTTTAAACCAGACGTTAGCGTCACAGTCAAAGATTTTTTTTTCATCATTAAGGCGATGTGTTACAATCAGCGGTGTCCAATCCACACTCGGCACGAGCTCAATACCTACAGCAGCAAACGGAAACCACAAACACGACGAGCAGAATTCGAACACCGCTCAGACCGCCGCTGAACGCTACAACACTGGAAGCAGATGAGCTCCGAGACAAGATAGTGGGTAGGTCCAAAAAAATACCTCTTGCCAAATTTGGGCTAAAAACAGCTAAACGCCACGTTCTTGTCTGTAAAAAAGCCATTTGCAAGTTAAATTTGAAAAATCCTGTACACTGAGTTATCATGATTGCGCATAAACGTAACAAATTGAATTCTCCTGACTAAAGACACTTGCTATACTTTTTGATTCAGGGCAAGCTTTTGCATAGTGACAACCATTTCTGGAATGGACTGGTTCCTTTGTGCCCGTCTAATCCACTGAGAACAGTTAATTGTTACAAGGCGTCTGTTACGTAACTAAGAAAAAGCTTGCCCCAAGTCATGAGGGATAGCAACAGTGTTTTTAGTGTGGAGAATTCGAATTATGTTCACGTGAATTTCAAGAACTCAGCATACCAAATTTATTCATGTTTAACTTGGAAAAAGGCTTATTTGAGCACTGTAAATGCCAGCTTTGTCTCACATCATGCTGGTCTAGTGATTTGATTCTGTTGGCATATTTTGTCACCAGCCCAAATTTTTTTGCAGTTCAAAACTATGAAGACGTGGTGACACAGTCAGCAACCAAACAGTGCCTTTTAGGTTTTGTAAAATAGAAAATAAAGATTTCAACTTTATTATTGGAAGAATTCTATATTTTCTAATTAATTTGGTACACTTTTCGTTTCCATTTTTTTTTTGTTCAATGAAATTGTTGTAGTTTGAACTGATACATATTAGTTTTCACTAATAGAGGGTGCCATTTCTAATGTAAGGAATGGACACTGAATTAACTGAAACTCGGACCTTGTTTTTCGGTACCTTTGACAACTGAGGTTTGCTGTACGGAGCAGCTATTGGTGATGCCTTGGGCCTGAGCACAGCCCAGATGAGTCCAGATGAATGCCGCTTCCATTATGACAAGGGTGCTCTTCAGTATCAGGACATCATTATCGACAAGTACAGACTGCAGTGGGACAAGGGTGACTGGACCACCCCGTTTGACCAAATGGTGAGGGGACTTGTCAATGGGTTAACCCCACCCTCCTCTCCACACCCCTCCCCCCAAAAGACAAACGTCCATGCATGCTTTCCTTCGGTGAGGGTACAATAATTTTTGTTGTTGGCCAGCACAACTTAACCCTAACAGTCCTCAGTCCTCCAACAGGTGAAGGATTGAGGAGTGTTAGGGTTTAAGAAAATAAATTAAATATGGAATTAAATACGGTGAGACAAGTTAAATAATATTGGATTTGAATTAGTTCTGTTAAACTTAAGTGTGAACCTAAAACTGATGTGAAATAAGTGTCTTTGTAATACAATTGGAATACATACATTTTAACTCCAGTTTTAATTCCATCTACATACCTCGGTTGTCTTGATGTCCTTAAACTAACAATTTCAATGGACTTCCTTGATGGTATACCACCACAGCGATGTTGGTTGACTTTCTCCATTCAAGGATGCCATTTTCAGCTAAGAACAAGTGCACAATAGGGACTTGCTTGCTCGTGAGAAATGCAGAGGCCTGTCACGTGGACCACACAGAAAACACGATGCTTGATGTATGGTTGTCATGCGGCATAAAGTCATGAAAGATTGTATCGCATGGCACACTGTTGTTAAACTACATGTAATTCTTATGATTTTGCATTGGCTGCCGTGTCAAAAACAGAGCGTCCTACCCTTCATCAGTCAGCATTTGGCAGTTGACAGAAAGTCATCGAATGATAACACAGGCACATATTCAACCTTTAACCCCAATCCAAAAAAATCAAAATCAAGATGTCAATATTTTACTGGTTGGTAAAGTTCTGAGTGCTCTGAAATGGTCTGTTTTTGTTGTGTCCCTCGTTTGCTCATTGCAGGTCTTGGTGTTGGACTCTTTGCTGCACTGGGCGGGGGTCGTTGACGAGCTAGACTTTGCCAAGAGACTGTACCACTGGGCACAATATGGCTTCCCAGAGCTTGGCGACAAACAGGGAGCTACTGGCTTCAGCAACACCATCGCCAAGGTGAGAAACAGAGCCTTTTGAAGCATTGCATCACCACCTCTGAATTTCCTTTTTTGCCAGCAGATTTTGCCACTTTGGAAGCAGAAAACTCACAAGAACATATTTTTATGTTGGCTGTTCCGTCAACCAAACTTTGTCTGTCTGGAAATTCTGTTTCAGCTAGTGCTCATTATTAGAGGCTAAATTTATCTTAACATAAAAGTTTGGCATGTCTTGGAAGATGTGGCTGTTCTACAAGTCAATGGAAGGAAAAGGAGACAGAGTTTTTTTTTAATCGGGCCAATATTGCAGGATATAGTTTTGGTGATAAGTGCTTAGTTCCTAAATTCAACAGTGTCTTGCTGTCCAATCCACTCAGAGTGGAATAAAAGGAGACGTGTTTTGGTACTCACCGCAGAGGCGCACGTTTCTAATAAAGATCAATGGCGCGTTTGATGCAGATCCCACTGAGTACAAATTTGTTCCAGAATGTATGGTCTTTGCGTACACGTGGAACGCAAGCAAGAACCCGCTTGGAAAACTTACTACCATCTGTCTTTCTTTTGCTGCTTGGAGGTGCACTTCAACTCGGGGTGGATAGGTCCAGCTACTTGGAGCATTCAAGTGTGTGGACATGTGAAATTGAGTCTATCAAGTACACATGCCAAATGAGTGGATGAGTCCATCTAAAGTCCTTTTACAAGTCCCCTCACAAGACCAGTCAAAAAATGACAAAGGAATGGCTCTGTCACATCTCATTTGAACAGCTTGTGAGTTGGTTTAAGACCAAATGACTTTTGACGGACTTGCAGGGACTTGTATTTGACTCATCTACAACACTGTTAATTTGTATGTAAACTGTATTGTAATGGAAATGCGGCTGTCTGATTGTGGAATCAGTTAAGCACTTTCACAGATCCATTTGACTTGATGTACATCCGCCATTGTCATATAGGCAAGCCTTGAAAACTATTTTAAAATGCGCATCAGCACCCGGGTATTGAGTAGAACGATATTGACAACCGTACATGGCGCAGGAAATGACCATTCTGTCATTTAAATGAAGAAGTCCCAGTTACTTTTGCAATGGACAGTGCACGGTTGCAAACATAACACTTCCCTACTGCAATGGTGGCCCATTTTGGGTAAACCTTGTTTTGATCTGCTGCTATCATTGAGCCATGAAAATAATATTTATATTCCAGAGTACCTGTCCACAAATGGTTATAAGCCAGAGCTGCATGTAATAGAGAGAGTTGCGACATGAGTGTCTTAACTGTTGGAACCAAAATGGTGGATTATACGTCAGTGCATATGGACAATTAGCACACAAGAGCTGCAAACATTTTGGTTCCAAAGTCTGAAGTTGGCACTACTCTATCTAGCCAGATAGAGATCTGTAGTCATTGAACGCTGTCCTTACTTGCAGCTTAGCAAATCAGAACACATTTTCACCTTGCATTCCAGTTTGTGGCCTCAGCTTATGGCCCGGGCACTAGAGTGGCTTTTTTGGAGGTGAAATTGTTAAGTCAGTAAACAACTGATCCAGGAATTCCCTCGAGGCATTGTAGGCTTTCCTGTCAGCCTAGGGCAATCAGCTTTGGAACGCTGTGTCTAAACCCTGAGTAAAGGTCACTGCACAGTTGGACAGATACCTGTCCTTTGGCAGGGAATTTGTTGGCCTCATTTGCATAAATCAAATTTGCGTTCATGATTTTTAATGCGACTGGGGCAGGAACTCCCAGAACGTTGGCACTTTTCAGGGAAAACCGTGAAGATTGAGATGGTGGGTGGTACCCTGAAATGTTGCACAATCTTTTAAACATTTTTTTCCCACTTACTCCCACAACAATTATGCTTGTCAAGTGCCTGTATGCTTTGGGAAAATATCAGCTCATGGTTTACTGCAAAAATATGTCTGTATTCTACTGTGGTTTAGATTTCATGACAACTGTGCATGAAACTACCCACACAAGTTTTCAGGTGGTTTAAGCTATGTTCCCATTGGACGTTTTCTTCCGCGGAAACTTACTGCGACATTCCTTTTGTGTCAATCTATCACACATTCCCATGTGGACATTTTTGACTGTAACAGAATGTTTGTTTGCTGTTTTAGGCCGAATAAGACCAGCTGATTACATTGCCTGCACTGTACAAATCATGACAAAATCGGCAAAATCTGACACAAACAAAATTAGACAAATTCTGTCAAATCTGCCACGAAGTAGACAAATCCATACCGAAAAAAATCCGGACACAATGTGTGTATAGCATTATCAGGGCACGCTTCACTGTGTGTGCGCAGCTTGCTGCTGTACTGTACGCACAGAGCTGGAGACTTGGAACCATACAACCATTTTTGCGTGCCTGCAATCGATTTCTGTGAGGGCAGTCGTCTGGTTTGTATGTTTAGCGTGGTTGTGGTCAATCTACATTGTTTGGAAACTGTTCCCACTGGACTTTTTTGCACCCCTGCTAACTTACCGTGGCTGCGTGGAAATCTTCTGTGACCCTTTTCGGCCTGATAGTTTTACATTGCGATCGCGGTAAGTTGACAGGGAGTTAGTTTAAATTCTACAGGAAAGTTAATTAAAAAAAAAGTCCAATCGGAACACAGCTTTGAGTAAGTTTCTTTGGTTTTTGAAATATGCAGTTTGTTCCTAGTTACTGACACCAGAAATCTAGTACATTTACTGCATTTTACTAAATGTTGAGCCCAGTAGGCTAAGCAGAATTCTCTTTGCTAGTTCATTATTCGATTACTGGAGCATTTACTCAAGCACTTAATAAAAGTTCAGAGTCCAATGTGGATGTTGTAGCAGGCGAGACCTGGACAAGGGGCACCAGCCTCCCCCTTGAAAAAAAATTATTTAAATTCAGAATTAAACTCTTCCACAAGAGCTGTGCCCTGGCACCCCCCCCCTCTTGGAAGAATTCCTGCTGGCAAAGCCCACGTTTCTGAGGGGCATTGGTTGCAGAAAAACAAACTTCCCTGGGAGAGCAGGTTATTCGACTGGTTAGTTGAAGTGACATAAAACTCCGCTCTTCCTCCCTCAAAAGAGTTCCGCATTTCACACAATTCTCTCTTCAAATCTGTGAGTGATTCAGAAAACAGCAGGATGATTGTCCCACTGTTGCCTTCAAATTCTCACTGGAATTTCTCTGAAACTAGAAAAGTGAGCTGTGAACTCCATGCAGGAAAGGCGGTGACTTATCCATGCATGATTTTGAGTTTCAGCCGCAGCTAGTGTTTTTAGAGTGTATCAAAATAATAACCATAAATAAAGCTTCAAAATAAAGTACCTGGCCACTTAGAGTCATCTTAAATGCCGCAGAGTTCAGTGTCCATTAAATGTTTTCTTTACCAGGTAGTCATGCTCTTCTTTTTTTTACACACGTGTAGCATTTATACTACTTGAATATGCCATCAGCAATCACTTGGATCTGTTTCTCAGGCATTAAAAGTCCCATTTACGTTATCTGATATTAGAGATATTCATGCCATTAGAGATAATCCCCCGTTTGAAGGCCATAAATAAAAATTACACCGTCTTCCTTGCATTTGATTTTTAAGTAATACACTGACCTCAAGTGGTTCGCCAACAGTACGTGAATATTGCCAGATGCAAAGACGCAAGAATTTACACTTTTTTGCAGTTTATTTGTATGGACTGTTGTCATTCTTATGCCAGTATTTTTCCTCCTGATCTTTTCAAGGATGTAGTGTGACTTTGATGATTTTTATTTTTCTAACTTGACTATTTGACACGTATTGCAGTGGTTATTATCTAGGCAATTCCTAAAGCTTTGTGTTATCCCAATATCAAACTCCCCTCATCAGAGTACCTTACATGTAAACGTCCATTAGTGACCCAAATGGCCGTAGTGAAGGTGTCATGGTCACAAATGTCATATTAAAAAAAAATGGACTCCGGTGGCCGTTTTATTGTGCCAAATACAAATCTCATGATCGGCTGGCTTGCCATTGTTTGATGTCGTGAACAATTTGGGTTAAGAATAGCCGGCAAGCTTTTGTATTACCTTTTGTATTTGGCACAACAGATGGCCACCCATAGGTGTCAGTGACCTCTTTGATTTGGGGATTACAGGTCCTGAAACTAAAATGAAGCTCTAAACAGGCCACAGGTTCCATTTTGTAAGGCTGTTTTGATTAGTATATGTGTCATTTGATCTATCATATTTTGGCCCCTGATATCTTGGAGGCAATCAGGCGGTACTGTTTTGATAATGTTTGTGGTGGATACTTTGCTTTTTATACAAAGATGGAAACGCGTACATGAAGTGCAAGTGGATTAAATTGTGACGTACTTGTATGCATTTTGCTTCTTATCTGTACTGTTTCGGTGTATATTCAGTACATAGTTTAAATGATTTCTTGTTCGGAAAGAAATGCCTAGTTTTGTTTTCTGTGGTTGGCCAAATGTCAGAATTCTTTTCCTATGCAACTTTTTCTTTACCTTAAGAGCTGTACTTTGCAGTCAGAGAGAGTTTTCAGAAACAATAATCCTTATTTGTTCAATTTTAGACAGTTATCTTTTGTTGTAAAATGGTCTTCCCACGTACATGTACCTTAACCCTAACCGTCCTCAATCCTTCACCTGTTGGAGGATTGAGGACTGTTAGGGTTAATGAGGACATAAGCAAGTGAAGCCGGATAAGATTCCAGTAGTGTCGCTCAGGCTCAAGTAATACTAAGGTCAGCATTGGTTTGATGGAACCTGTAATTAATTACCCCTGTGGGCTATCTTGTTTGGAACGTGAGTGGATCACTCCAACAAGGTTGCTATGACGATGAAGAACCATAGACTGGTCAACAGCCTTCGGTGTCTGGGTGCTGATTTAGCTCTGTGCCATAATAATTTGATGACTTTTGCTCGATTGGAGTGCGGCTCAGAAGTTTAATTAACTCAAGAGCACTCATCACATCAGCAAACGTCTCACTCCGGTTCTCATGGGAAATGAACATGTCTCACTGGCATTGTACCGCTCATAGTTGACCCTCACTTGAACACGTTTTAGTCATACATGCACTCATACTTATTTTTATATACTCAGCATATGACAAAAGTACCAAACAAAACAAAAATTGACCAATGACATGTGTGTGGAGTTAAAAAAGTTTGCTTAAAACTGTACATTCCAAAAGAATAATTTTGAACACCAAGAACAATGAAGCAAGGCCCCATCCCTACGAGAAAAATATTGGTCAGATTTTTCTTCCAACAAAATTCCATGAATAAAAAAACACGTGACCGTGTTTGGAAGTACAGTAGCTCTCAAACATTTTTCTTTGAGGCAGGAGGTCGTGGGTTCGAGTCCCACCCGAGTGAGCTTGTGAGGTTTTTTCGCAGGCTCTCGGACAGGCACTGAGCATGCAGTGCTTATTGATATGCGTTGGGTGGGGGCAAAAAAACCAGTTATATATATAATTTTTCTTTGTCTTTAATATCGTTTTTAATTTTGTGTATTATTTTTTTTGTCTTTTGAAGTTGTTGGGGGCACTGTTCACCGTGGCGGGGTGCTTCTTAGTTTCTCTGTCAAAATCTTTCTGTGAAATCCTTTTTTATCATTGCTTACTTACATGTTCCCAACCCCACCTGTTGATGAAGAACACATTTTCATGCTTTTGGTACATTTTGCATGTAAGCTGAGTTGTGAAACAGACTGATTTTCCAGTGTATCCCGGTGAAGGTGAGTCTCCACACACAGGCCTGCCTGTGTGACTTGGACTGTATCCTGTATAGTGTGTAGATTTTGAACTGGCTGCTCAGTGACCATTTCTTACTGCCACAATGAATATCAGCGTAGCGTTTATATGTACTCTCATCTGACTGGTTAATCCGTGCACACCTGGAGAAACGTTTTGTGTTCACAAACTGATAGATGCCAATACTTAATTGAGAACGAAGTATGGTCATCCAATGCAGTACTACGATAAACACACAGCTACATGTACCTTTCACATGATTCTGGCCATCCTGGTTGATGGAGATATTCACCCTAACCCTGGCCCGGTGCAAAATCCCTGTGTCATTTGTGATAAGCCAGTTGCACGTAATCACCAAGCTGTTGATTGTAATGAAAGTGCAAAAAATTCTGTTACCCCTAAAGCAGGATAAATCTTCTGGTCCTGATGAGATCTCACCTAAGAAGTTGAAGCTTGCTGCTTCTTACATTTCTGGAAATTTGCAATATCTTTACGCTCGGGCTTAATTCTGGTTGACTGGAAATCTGCCAATGTTGTTCCTGTGTAAGTCAGGCCATGTAAATGATATTGATATATCTAATTATCGGCTGATTTCTTTATGATCTGTAACTTGTAAGGTCGTGGAGACTGTTGTTAAAGATATAGGCATACATGTATTTCTTCACACAATGTGCAATCACCAACTCAACATGGCTTCTGGAAACGTAGGTCTTGTGTTGCTTGGGTTTCTGCTTTATTTCATCATTTGGCAGGAACTCTGGATAACATAACCCTTCGAGAATTGAGGTTTTCAATTATCCATCAATAGTCATAGAAATGACACTCTGCATTTTACTCATCCATTTGCCGGAACTGATGCTTTTAAACATTCGGTTTTCTTAGATTTTCCCGCACATGAAGTTTGCTCCCCCATCAAGTTAGAGATGAAATTGCTTAAGCCGGGTTTAGACAGTTTAGTGGTTGTATATTAGTTGTCATTCTGTGGATGGACCATGCAGTCACTGATGGAGCTGGGGTACCTTGGTTTGCTTCTCTGCGTGGGTTTGGGTTATTTGTGGGTGGGTTTTATCTTTTATCTTCCTTTTTTCTGTTGTTCTTGTGGTCTATTTCATGGACAGGAACTTGCAACCATCTTTGGTGGGTTTGTATAGCCTATTTTAATAATATGGTGTTTCTGATCCGTTCTTGTAATTTTTTTCTTTTCATTTGTTTGTGTAAATTTGTGCTGATGGAGTCGGAGAGCCTCTTGATAAGCCTTAATTCGGCTTTCTGGGCAATCCCGCGGGCCTGCATATTGCACATTTTTGTTGATCTGGGATTGCACTTTTCGACAGGTTTTGCTCAAGTTTCTCGTCTTTGTTGTATATATTTACATGATTTGTGTGTGCAATCTCCATTTGTTGGTTTTATCTTATAATTTGTATTTTTATGAATGTATTGTCAGTTGTCCATGATTCTTGCCTGAAAACTTATCTAAATAAATTTTAAAAAAAATAAACAAATAAATACCGGGGCTGGAGTGACTGACATTTTGACATTTTATGAATTTTAGTCTTCATCCCATATGCACATTTCTTACTCTACTGGATTAAATACATTATGCCTGTACATTTGCTTTTTGTCACTGCATTGCGAGGGGACATTGTCTGGTGTTCATCAGCTTTTTTGGATTTTCTCTACATCTATGAGCAGCTCAGCCTCAGCTCAACACTTGTATGAGCGTAGAGGTTTCAACTGTTATACTTGGACATGAGGAGCCCAGTTTGTAGCATTTATTGTACATGTATATGTATATCATCGATTGTGAAGCCCTCTTGGGCAGTTTCATCCGTAAATTTTGATATAATTTGTATTTTATTATGGCTTTTGGTCTCGTTTCCTTTTTTGGGGGGGTGGTTGCTTTTGATTGTGTGTGGTATTACCATCAGTTTCAGAAGTATTTCATGTAAGGAAAGTTCTTCATTTTCAGAACAATGTTCAATTATTTCCCACTTTGTCTACACTGAGTCATCAGCAATGTTGGAATTCTTTATCCAATTCTTTTTGCTGCTGTTTTGGTTTAATTTGACCCATTTGCCTTCCTCTTCTCCTCAGGAGGTAAGCCAGAAATTACACTTGAGTAGGCTTACCTGGATCACTGCCAACAATGTGTTTGATATCTCCAGACTCCAGAAGCCAAAGTTGGCATTTGCAAGATATTTTGACATGGTCATTCCCCATTGGCTGTTGAGCAAGCACTCAGGCCAAACAATTTTTGCTATACATTACCTGGTTTGTCTGAGATGGGAAAATCGGAATACATGTATGTGTGTGTTTTCCACTATTTGAGATGGAATAAGGAACCAGGTCAATATTGGGATTTACCCATTGTAGGCTTTAAGTTTAAAGCAGTAAGTGTTGAGTAGCGTTTGAGAGCTTATGAGGAAACAGCAAAACACAGGACTTCAGAAATATTATTCAGGTTGCATTAGAAGCTGCTAGTTGGAAGTGCAGATGTCTTTCCATGGAATTTCTGAGTTTGCAAGGTAATAAGCATTGTAACAGATTGAATTTGATAAAGAAACTTATATCATTCAACATCATAACCTATTCAAGAAAGTTTGTTGATTTTTTCACATTTTCCTTAAATCCATTTTCTGTCAGGTTCTTACAAATCCAAAGTACACCAATGACCCTCATGGGGCATCACAAGGATTGTGGGATAGGTCACATGACCAGCTGGACAGTGAATCTTGCGATCATCTGGCGGACAATGCAGCCATTGTGCGGGCGGCCATCTTGGGTATCCCACAATTCCACAACCTGAAGGAAGTTGTCAACAATACAACCAGAATTTGCAAGGCCACCCACTTTGACCCAAGGTATTGCAGTTATTGTGAAAAGACTTAGTACTCTGACAAACTTAGTGCTAAGTAACAATTGGCCATAAACCAGTCAGATCCAGTAAACCTCTTCAATACTCTTAATGAACTGTGGGTTTTGATGACAAACAAGCAATGCATTTTATGTGAATCTATAGGACATATGATCCCGTCAACAATCAATTTATAAATTTATTCGGAATATTTCATCAGTACCTGCTCATCAAGTCACACATGCATGCATAGTATACAAGAAACATTTTAGAAGGTTGTAAGAAGAAAAAAGTTGCCCTTAGTGGTCTGTTTTGTCTGTTTTAAAAGGGCACCAGGCAATTAAGGATGAAAAATGAATGTTACTTGTTAATGTGGGATGAATGAGCTTCAAGTCATGATTCTGACTAGCTCATTAATATTCACGATCTTATTCCAAGACAAAAACTGGTGTTCATGGAAGGGTTTGCCCAAATTTCATTTTTCTGATAAGCTTTACAATTCGAAGTTTGTGAATATATTTATCCCAAATTTACAATGCAGCAGTGTTTGAGAAGAGGATGGCTTGAATTGGAATATGCAATAAAATGGAAACAGGTTCATGTTTTGCAGGTATATTTCTCCCACAGGCTTGTGCATAAAATGCATTGCTTGTTCGTGATTCAAACCCATAATGCATTGTGGACGTCAAAAAGGTTTAGTGTCTTGTATTTTTCCAAGTGAGCACTGAGTACCCCTCTCTGTCTCGCACTTTCGCAGGTACCATCAGACTGGCTCAAAAGCTTGAACGGGAAAACACTGTCATTTAAATGGAAATCATCAACCAAAACAAGTGGTCTTTGCTTGGGATTATGGGATCAAATGGGATGTCGGATCTGGATTTAGATACATGCCAAATTTTCCTCAACTCAGAAAAAAGAGACGCATTTATCAACTTCTCTTTTCTTTTTCTTTTTTTTGGGCAGTCTTGTGGTACATTCCCAATGCATGAGAATTATTCATAGATGGGCCCCATGCTGTTGATCAGTTCGATTTGTAAATTGTAATTTTGTGAAGATGGCATATTTCAGACATCTGTTTATTTTCCATCCCCATTGTTTTTATCTTTTTTGCCGTCTCTAAAGTTGTTGAGATTAGAGCTGATAATACATTATTCAAACCCTTTTAACCTCTTACGGATGATATTATTTTAGCTGGAGGTATCGACTTTCAAAATGGTAAGATCCCCTGGTCACCCTGTAATATGCAGTCAAATGCCTCAAAGACTGACCGCTCAGAGTTAGTTGAACAATATTTGCACATTTCCCACGCCAGCCTCATAGTCTGCTATATTCTGGGGTGCCGCCATGAAGCGATATTTGCTAATTAAGTTTTACCTCAATACAAGGTCCATCTCCAGAGACATTTTGGACAGTGTGGTAATTTTTGTGTAACAATTGAAGATTAGCAGTTCCCTCTAATGGTGGAAGTGGCTTAAGGCATGCATGGTGGCTTTAGCCTGTGAGCCATCCCTGGGTACATGCAGACAGCTACGGAGATCATGTGTACATGTCTTCCTGTACGAATTGGCTCAGCAGGGCATTTTAGACGTTTGAAATTTGTGATATATATAAGATATTAACCCTTTCCCACATTGACAATGTTTGTTGTGTATCCAATTTTAAATTTGACTTCAGTTTAATCATGTGTTTGTTTGCATAGATGGACCAATGGAATCCTTGAAATTGAGTTGAAGAACTTTGAAACAAGTCTTTTTGACTTTGAGTAAAGTATTTTATTGCAGTTATCAGCACCTCTGGTGTAATTTCTGTGTAAGGATTGTCATGTTTGATCTGGTAACTAACCCACCTTGTCAATGAGATCAAAATATTTTTTCAGATTTGCGGCCCATCATATAACCAGGCTAAAATAAGAGCTACAAACTGCTGTCTGGAAAATGATTCCAGTGTATACACAAACAATGCAAAGAAAAAACAGTTTTTCGACATTTGCATCACAGGATTGGATGACGCGTACAAAACAAGTGTTACGTATATCATAGTCCTTTGAAATTAAGTTACATGTCAGCTTTAATGCCTATAATTGGTCGATTTTTGTCCTTTCTTTCCACTTTTGGTCTGATAGGTGCCAAGCCAGCTGTGTCGTTGTGTCCGTGCTGATAGCTTTACTGCTCCAAAATGACCACAGCTGTTGCACCTCACCCGATCAGTCTTTTCTGCCTTTCATCGTTTCTGTAGCAACGGATATGGGCAGGAAGCAGCTAACAGAAGCATCACATCTGCAAGACTTTGACGACTTCAGCAATCTGGAAGACTTGGCAGAGTAAGGACAGACCCTTTGGTTGGAACTTTGATCGCCAAGAGCCTGTAAAAGCAAACTCAGGCAACCTCTCGCTGCCACTATAAAACAGCAGTCACCTGAAACTTAGTTGGACAATCATTTCTTTTTAAATTCCTAGTGTACTGACCCTTGTGTAAACTGTGCAGTATCTGGCTGAATTGAGCTTGGTTGGATTTTAATTTTTTTTTGGGAAAGGTATAAAGTGAAAAGCAAAAGTAAAAATGACAAACAAATTTGACTTTATTTTTGGTGAAAATAGTAATTGGATAGTTGAATGAACTTGATTAAACACAAAGTCATCATTGGTACCCTAAAGAAGGCAATGTTGGTATAAAAAGCTTACTTCCCCCCCAAAAAAAAATTTCAGAATGAAAGTTTCTTGTTTGTGGTTTAATTTCAAATTTCTATTATTTTGACCCCAGGGGAAAAATGAATTTGACAAACATGTTGATAGTTTTATTAATTTGAAAGATCTCTACTTTGATGGTAACAGTATGTTTGGCTTACCGGTACATACTTACATGGATTAGGTTTGCCTAATATTTTATGAGCTGTGGCACAAATTATTCTAGTTGTAAAGTATTGTCATGTAAGCCGATAACTTTGGGCCACCAGAGAAAACTCATCCCCAAGAAGTGGTGTCAAATAGTCAACAGGGATTGGACCGTGATCTGTAATATCAATGCATAGGTCATATTACTGCAGCTTGATTCTCACGAACAGGTTCTGAGTTGGAGGTTGAAAGGGCTTTTGTGTTTTCCCAAAGGTGTCAGAAGCTTTCACTTGAATGAAAACCATCATCTTAGGATTTTGTCAAAGAAAGGGTCGTAATACAGATGCAACTGTAGGCAGGAAATTTCATTCACGTTAATGATGTCCTCAGAAATGGCTGAAATGGATTTGTTTGTTGTGTTAATTTCTTACAAACTAGACATTTCTCAGTTTTTCTTAATTTGATGAATCCTCTTTTGGACTAGGTGCTAGTTTTGGACATATTTCACTAAAATAAAAATGGTTGGAAATTCATCATTTCATTAGCTTCATTTGATGTCATTTTGCTCCAGTTTACTTTTACCAATTACTAAATTGGATTTGCTTTGAAGTTTGCTTTTTCTCCTTTTAATTTGTTTAAATAGCTGGTCCAGGCTACATCCAAACCGATACAGTCATACATTCAAGCCCATGGCAGCAGCTTTGATTGTATTGAAATCAGGCATGGACTTTAGGTAAGACATCCATTGCCCCTGATTGTTGGGCCTGTAAAGTAGTTTTGGAATTTCCTCTGCTCCTGTTGGAGCAAAGCCTAACTACTGTTACCGTAAGCATGCTAAAGATGTATCCTTAAAGTAATACTCATTGTGATAAATTTCTTAGCTTGGGACAATGCTACCACCTTGGTAGGACATGAATTTGGTATTTTGTGACTGTGGCGTTGGCTTCTATGTAATGGCAAATAGCTGAAGCCATGGTAAGTAATGTTTTTGTTGGACACCAACAAGGAAATTGCCTTTGCTCTTGTTTCATGCTCTTGTTCTTCACATAGCCCATGGTCCTGAGTGGGATTGCAGGGGAAATATCCAAACCCAAGCATTGCCATCATGTGGATGATAGACTTGGGCATAACGTCTACAGGCCACATCACCGAGACAGCTTTGTGAGATAGGTCCTTAGAGTGGGTAGCCTTCTTCCAATAGCAGCAGCATTCAATCTGTACCCTTTTTACAACTAGATCAGGATGTTTCTTAAATACTACCTGGTCTCGTCCACAGGAAAGCCATCTCGGGTTTAGTGATGTTTGGCCGTGACAGCCCTAGTAATGCCAGCGTCGCCGGTGCTGCATTGGGCTGCCACTGGGGCTATCGCAAGCTGCCCCAGGAGTGGGTGTCCACCCTACGGCCCAAACAAACCCAGTGGCTGGACATCAAGATTAACGCCCTCCTGGACATGATGGCGATACCCTGACATCTGGAACATCTTCAGTGAGATATCCAACAACATTCCCAGAATGAATGGTGCAGAGTGAAATCTGGAACATTGTCATTCTGAACCCAGCTGAAGAAAGTCGAGTCATGATTCCTGAGCCCCCTGGTAGCTTAAACCAGGTTGTTTCTAGAATTTAAAAGATGGCGTTGAACCAACACCAATGCCAAAATAGTAGTTACTGCTGGTGTCTTCTTCATTTGGTAATGGAATTTTGATTTTTAAATTCTTCTGTTATGGAGAAGCAGGTGGATTTTTGTATGGGTAATTTCCTTTTATTTGGAAATCTTGACAATCAAAGTGCTGTTCACTCCTCTGCTTCCTTAGGACTATCAAAGCTTTTTTATCTTTTGAGACCAATTCAAAGTTCAAAGAAACAACTTGTTAATGTTACCAGTACATCATATTCCATAAGCCAAAAATTACTTTCGTCAGCCTAGTTTGGGGATGTTCTTGTCCCATATGTAGCACCTATATCATTGTTAATGGGATGGCGTCACAGAAATTTTCTCAGTTTCTTGAGGGATGTACAAGACCCAAGTGTGACCTGTTGTGCCCTACTATAAGCAGCTGTCCATAGTCATTAACACCTCTGTTAAAGTTACCTAGTTTGTCCTTACAATCATTTTTTGGCAACCTTAAGCAAGGTATTCAGAAAAATCTACAATTGTGTTCAGCATCCCTGATTTGTTGAAACTTTGTTAAAGTTTTTTGTACCATCAGAGCAAAGGTGTGGTTGGTAGTTGGCAGGCATTAACTAGTTATGCCCTTGGTGACACAAATTGTGACTCCTCACACAAGTTTGGAGTGGGGCCCTGTGATGTGCTTCCATTTTTAGATGTAACAAGTTTCCATGACAAAATGGTGGCACATTCTCAGTGTTTATCTTTGGAAGTTATGCTTGTCACCTCTATCATAAAAATTGCCAACATTATATGCAAGTTTATTTAAAAATATGCATTTTGGGGCCGAAATTGCCAATTTATTTTGTTGATGATTGTGTTTGTTACGCAGTGTGATTTAAGTGCAATATTCTTTCAACAAAAAGTGTCGCTTGAAAGTCTGTGAAGGGTAAAAAATCTAATATATAAAACCTAAACCTGGACATTAGATATGATTGTGTAGCATAAACAATGAAATAATTATGATCTATTATACATATTTAAGGGGTAAGATAAGGAGTAATAGGTCTAAGCAAGCATTTTCCTTCATTTAACTCACAGTCAAAGATATTATTTTGAAAGCTAGAATCTGCTCTCTATAAGGGATCATTGGTTTTTTGTTAAGCGAGATTGGTCTCAAGTTTCTAAGAATTACAGTGGCCAGTAACCTTATATTTATATTTCAAATCACACTTACTCTTTTGCATACATGCACTTGTAGAAACTTTGTGAGATGATTTGCAAAGAGAAGATGCCGTCATTGGGTTGGGCAAAGTGTGCTGGGTCCTTGCACATGAATTTGTTTCACACATTGTCAAATTGACTGATGAAACCTTGATTTTCGGGTGAATATTTTGGGAAGCCACATCTCTTGCCCCTCAAATTTAACGAAATTTGTTTACAACTTTAGTGTCGCTTATATACAATGCAAAAAATCACATATGCAAATCTGAAGAGTTAGAGAGCCCCATGTTTCGATTCTAGCAGAAGAACATTTTTTTCATAGACAAAGGCTTGGTATACTTCCATAATTATATTTATGGTACCTGAACTTCTTGGTACATGCTGAATTGCTAGCACCTTCATTGGTCAGAAGTTGCTAGCTGATGACAAAGATTTTTCAAATTCGGTGTGGCTTGCTTGAGCTGGAGTCTTTCAGATACAGTGGCAAGAGGTAGAATCACTTTGTGTCGTTTTTACTACAAACGTGCGATTGCCAGAAAGTACTGGAGTCTTACTCATGCTTGGATCATAAATGGCTTTTTTTTTCGATCGTCTTCCTCATTGCTTTCTTTTGTCAGTTCTTCTTGAATTTTATGCTATTCTTCAAGGAATGTGCTTTTCAAACCAGCCACGCTCTATCGCACAAGTCCGAAGGAAGGTGTTTTATCTGGTGGTATTTTTGCTTTGTTTAGATTTGGTTATCGGTTCTTTGAAGTGTCACGAAGTTTGAATTGTTTTAAAACGAGGGTGATTTCTTTGCAAGAGGTGGCTTTGGGTGTGACAATGTCTTACCGTTCTTTGTCATTTGGTACCATCTCTAAACGGTAAATTATGCGTATTTCTACATTTCCTTGTTAGAATCGATAAATCGGTTACTTAAAAGGATCAGACATATCGTTGGTAGACCTTGTTGCTTGTGTATGTAAATCCGCAGAAGGAGCAATATCAAACACTGTTACCGGCTAAAACCAGAAAAACGCATTTCCAGTTTTAATGCCTGGATGAATGTCTCCAATGATCTTGCTTTGAATTTATGAAGTTGTGAAAAGGGTAGATCGGAAATGTGAACGACAGTCAATTTGACAAGTTTGCAACTATGACATTTTCTTTGACTGCACACCACAAGACCATCGGTCATTGTATCATTTAGAATATTTTTCAGTGTCTGATTTGTCTAAGAGGGAGGTAAATTGTATCCATGAATTGGGGTTTTAATATGGAAATAGCAGCGCAATTTTATTTCTGAGCGTTTTACAGACCGTACGGAATCCCGTTTGTGCCATCCCAGTCTACGAGCAGCTGTTTTTAAGGGCAGCTGATTTATGGGGGGGGACGTCGCGGACGTCTCTTTAGTTTATGTCCAACAATATTACAGCCCTGATTGCGGAAAAGCCGAGAAACAACATTTCTATCCCTGTCTGAAAAATGTTACTGGACTCGAGATCTAACTTTTGAGTAACTTTCGTTGTTAACACTATTGCTATTTTTAGAGCAGTTTTTTGTGGCTATTTCTGTTATCCACTCCAGATATTTCTATTTTTCAGACCGGCTGTGTGTAAAATGTAAACTGCTGCTCGGGGTTGCTCGTCGAACTAAAAAATAATGCTCTTCGGAAAATACAAATACCTACTTTTTAAACTGAAATAGCGATGGGACTAACGGAATTTTATATGTTTTGTTTTCTGTTGTTTTTCTGGGGTTTTTTTTTCATAACAAAGGGAATCTATTGGAACATTTCGTCCGTTGCACGGTAAAAGGGCCTGAACGGAATCTGCTACCCTGTTCAATTAATTTTGCCACACCACATTTTGCTGTGTTTTTCTGAAGAGGTTATCAGGTGATAATTTACAAGTTTCGAAGGAATAAAAGTGCGAATTTTTCGACTATTAATTCCTTGATCAAATTGTGTTTCCTTAATAGTCATTCGTAAAGAAAGCACAAATGCCAACCTCCCCCCCAGCCTGACATGTACATTAGTTCCAGCCCGTAGCTTGCATTTACCAAACGAAAAGAGGCAGACAAAGCTAGGTTTGAATTGAGGTATGTCTCAAACACCATGGACAAGTTGACATATAAGTGAGGGTATACGTTACTGTAATAACTTCACATCTGCAACGTGACATTTTTTGCCTGTGTTCGTTTAATCGACTACCGGCGCGAGCTTTCACGACCCAAATGGATTTTCCGGTATGCTTCCAATATTTGGAATACATGTAGTTCTTTCCTTTGTTCTTATTATTTGGAGCCGTTGAAGGTAGATTATTATTTTGGTTTATTATGGTTTTAGAAAGCTGTTACTTTTAAAATTGCACGGGAAAGGTATGTCTTTGATTTTTTTTTGGGGGGGCGGGTTTGAAAGCATTCTGTTTTTAAATGATAAGTGCAAGTGCAAAGTGTTCTGTAATGGCTATGATATTTTTCCAGACATGTTAAAAGGCTGGTTTATACTTACGCTCAATGCGAAAGTGAAGCGAATTTGATGTCACAAAAGATTTGCTGCTAAAAATGTGTTCAACTTTTGTGAATTTACAACGCAAATATTCGAACTGACATCACAAATATCGCGTTTGTTTTGCTTTCGCGTGAAGTATGAACCAACTTCAAAGAAACTGAGGCTAATATTTTATTCTACTTACTTTTATTATGTTGACCGAAATGTCGCGAAATTGTCATGTGAAGATAAGTCACCCACACAACGTCGGCGTTAATGCTTTTGTCGTCGTCTTGTGCTCGTCGAAAACTGGAGTGACCCCTGTAGTTACTTTCTAATGATCACTATAATACGAAAGGTTCCTAAAATTTAGTAAACACCATGTCAGGGAAAACACGTAACGTGAGAAACAAGTGTAAACGATAAGGTGATTGTGTGCGTATAGATTAAGACTCAAAGCTTTGCACCATGGCAAACAGAGAATATAAAACCACTGAACTCTCTCCAGTTGGTATACATGGTCCGCGCAAAGCGTGCTTTGTACGTGAGTGTCGGTTTTCGTCAGCGATGATCAATCCCAAGATTTGTTGTCTTGTACCGATTCTAGCTCGCTGACGGAAGGACTTTCACCCTCTCTTCCTTGATTTGAATGCGTTTTCATTTTTTTTTTTAGGTACTGCTTTTATCCCTCAGAGTTTTTGGTGGCCAAGTAATCAGTGTGATGCACGTAAAACACTCGGGATTAATGAAAACGACGGCTTTGTTTCCTGCGTTTGTCCCCAGAGCTCAGTTTCCAGTCCATGACAAATCTCTTATACTTTGGGGAGATCATTAAATCTGCCAGGTACTCTAACTTACTCAACTCTAAAGATGAAACATCAGAATACATCTCAGGCTTTTCCATATTCTGCTTTGTTGGGGAGGGGTGAATTGGCCTTTTCGTTTTCTCACAACGAAAGGTCGGGCGACACACTTGTGCTCACCAAACTTTGTCTGATGTATTGTTCAGAACTGTACCTTGTGTCGAATGTTTGAAATAGAACCCTGTGATTTTCACCATCATCATAGAAGGGCGTTTTGTACGCAAGCGTACTGCTGCCAACGCGAAAGAAATAATTTTATCTCGTTTAATCGACATACACGTAGTTATCTCGTTTAAATGACTCAGTTATCTTGTTTAAACCAGAAAGCTACATGTATGTTGTTTAAACGAAATAATTTTTTAAAAAATATTTTGTCAAGCCAACAATTCCCATACCGCCGGGGCCCTATTTAAAGTTGGGACAATTTGATCGCTGTAAACAAGGATGTGCCAAGCGGACTTTGTCAGGTAGGGTGGGTTGTCTCTCTAGGCTGTTGAGACAGGCCAATGTGTATGAAGGGCTTGAAGAGCTTTGAATACCGCTCTGGTACCATAAAAGAAGCGCACAATAGCATGCAATGCACACAATTTCACTTTTGGCTTTATGAGAGCGCCACCAATACGACAAGGTTCAACACCCTCCCCGCCGCATGCAGGCAGTTTGTTAGTACATTTTCGTCCCAAATGAACGTTTTCCATTAATTCGTAAAATACTGACCACACTTGTCTGTGCTTGCTAACATGAACAGGCATATGCGTGCATCTGGCATTTGCAAAGTATCTCGTGCCAAAACAAGCACTTAAATCGCACTGGGGACGGAGCCGATGTCAAAGCTTGCTCTGATGCTAATGTGCTATTCCGATAATACCCCTGGTCCGATGACAGGCATTAAGAGATCACGGTAAAGTGAGCTACCATTTCCTGAAGACGATGATGTTCGGTACCGCGTGTCGGGCAAGGTAGCAGCTTCACCCTGCCGGTTCTCCAACGATTCCCTTTCATCCATTTTTCATGGGGTTTTCTTCAGTCTCCTTATGACGTGTATGCACGGGGAAAAGAAAACCTTCCGGAGTTTATGACCACGCGGTACATACACAGCGCTGGAGGGTGTCTCAATATTGCAGCCAAGGATGGTGTCCCTGGGGTAATTTTATATAATTCGAGTGAGAGGAGGCATCACTGCCAAGGGGGAATTCAAGCTCTTCCGGCAAGGTCGAATTTACTTCTCTGATCCATTTTAAATGAACAATAACACAATTCAAGCAACATTTAAATTAAGTAAACTTGAACCCAACCTCCTTTAAATTTACGTTGTAAGTTTTCCTTCTGAAGGTGGAACTCTGGAGGATGTGATTCGCCTTCCTACCAAGACATACCGCGGATTCGGGTCTCAAACCACGCCATTCTTGATTTCCAGGGCGAATATTTAGCTTTTCTGAAAGGAGGATGGGGACGCATGCGCCTGAGAAGGACTGCGGATGCTGTCCTCAATACGCTAAGGCGATTGGAGAAGAAAAGTTGGAACTTCAGCGTCATAAAAATACTTCAGTCCTATTTACTATGGTCTTAACATTGGCCACGGGGTGCAACCCCTATTCGGCTTGAGCAGAAGTATCCCCTCATTGGTTCAAAAAAGCCATTTTGGTTGGTGTATTCATTTCGTTGGTAGCGATGCGACCGCAACGCATTCATTTTAATGAATTCGGTTCAACTCAAGAAGACGTTTATTACATACTCTTTTCAAGAAAAAATTGTTTTAAAAAAATTGTAGATCTTATCTAATTTCGTAATCGTTCGTGAACCAGCGAAGTTTAGTTCCCACCAAAGGAGCCACAGTTGCTAAGAAAATTGCGCCCTCTCTCAATTGGTCCAGCTCGAGGCTCTAGAGGGTTTGAAAGGCTGCCATCATGCATCTTGCAGTCTAGTGCTTTTGTACTACAGGGTATATACAAAGGAAGTATCCCTGTGGAAGGAAACAATTGCCCTGCAACATGGCTTCCATGCAAAGCGTCTATACTCGACCCGGCAATGACTAGTTAGCAAATCTCGTGAGTTTTTTTAAGGCTCACATAATCCAGCTGTACCACTGTCATTATTCAAAACTTCAATTCTCTATTAACAAAAAAGGAGCTCCCCTCCCCATCTTTTGGCGGGTTTTTCCTTAGTTGGAGTTGTTGCTTTGACGAATGGGGTTGGGGGCGTTACGGGGTAGTATAGGGTCAGTCAGTTTCGGGAATCCGATTGTTTTGCAAATTGTCAGACAGTTTTGGGACTTAAGTTTGCCCTGCCCGACGTGTATTTTAACACTGTTTACTAAGTGTATGCCCCCGAAAGCTTGTGAATAAACCACAAGCGTGCTCGGGTGGGATTCGAGCCCAAGACCTCCTGCTTACTAGTGCAGACGTCTTAACCACTCGACCACCAAGCTTGCTGGTGTCGGCTGGCTGGTGCCATATTTAGCTGCGGGTACTGCAAACAACTGTGTATACACGTCGAGTAGGGCAAAAAAATCCAAACTTAATTTACATTTCCCGGCGCAAATCTATCCTTAAAACAGTTTTTGAACGTTTTGGATTTTTGTTAAAAAATGCATATCTTGAAGAAAAACCACTTTCAAAATGTCTTTCACCAGGAAAGGATGTCCCGTGCAGGTGCTTTACAGATCTTTTTGTAAAATTATGACCTCGTGTATGTATAGATATGAGAAAATTAACATCTCAGAGACAACAGAGAAAAAATCCCATCAGTCACCCACTGTACACTTTGCCATGAAATCAAAATACTAAATCAGTTTATTTTTTTCTGCTCAGATCACTTTTGCAAAATAAAAACAACTCTTAGAAATTGACAGTATTAATCAACACAATATTTAGCTCCAAGTGCTTCAGGCAATTAGCTAGTGATAAGATATACACCAGAAACAAGAAATCTAAATAGTTTATCGTCAGTGTGTGGGCTGTGGCGAGTGTATAGTGGTGGCCCACTCCTCTTGCTGAGAGAGCTTTGATTTTTTTCTGTGTCCTGTTGGGCACTACATTCAAAATCGTGTGTGACTGGTTACAGCGCCCTCAAATGGCGAGAACAAGGAGCAGTAACTCAAAGCTAAATCGAAGGAATCAACAAGTGCTCCTTTAATTGCTAAATTCTTGTTGAATTGTTTAAGAATTAAAATAATTCAGATAGAAATCCCTGAAAACTTGCTTTTCTAATTTTACATTTTGGACAAAGGTATGCTATATAAAACACATATATGGACTGGCATAATTCCGTCACTTGTGAACATCCTTCCCGTCTCGGGCCTGTGAGTGACCAGAAGATGGTCCTGTATGCTTTGGCCTTTTGCCTTGGGAAATAGAACCCTCTCCTGGTCTCTCATAGTCCCCTGTGGCGCATATAGACGTGGACTAGTGACTTCATTGCACTCCATATATATGTATTGGTATGATATGACCTTAGCTCCATCCTAAGTTTGGTAAGACAAACTGCCGTGCCTAATTAAACCTCTTTGATATATAGATATAATACATGATGTGCCATATTGATCGTCAGTAAAGATAGTGGGCACATCAAAGCTTTATTGGCATGCTAATCCAGTT